AGAACCCTGATCTGTTCATCATCTAACCTTGGTAAATCTATATTGTTCAGAAAAGAAATCGATGTTAGAGCTAGATAGATCAATTTGTGATGTATATAAGTTTTTATAATAATCTCTGAATGCATTGTTGATTTCTTCTGGGTTATAAGTCAGATTCCCAGCTGAGTCCTTTAAGGAGGAATTTTAATAATTTTAATTTATTCAATTTCAATTGGCTGGCTAAGAATCTGCCGGATTTATTGCCATTTTCAAAGTTCTCCAAGTGTAGTCTTTGCAACTGAAATTGGGTCTTTTTATTAATAATTTCATTTAATTCAAGTTTTGATTTTCTCAGATCATTCAGCATGTGTTCCTGTGGGGAGGCAGGAAGGGTAGTTTCTAATGTTTTTATTTTTTGTTCTAGCTCTAATTCACAAGATCTCTCTTTCTTTTTTTTTAATATGATGAATAGGAGATTATTTTGTCTGTCATGACTGCTTTTGCTGCCTCCCAAAGAAGACATGGCGAGGTTCCTGGCAGGTCATTAGTTTCCATATACATTGCCCACTACTTTTTGAAGTAACTTATAAAATCTAGGTCTTTAAGCAATGATGCATTAAATCTCCAACTTCTAGTTGGCCGTGTGACCCTTTTTTTAGTAAGAGTGATAGAAACCAGTGCATGATCACTGATAGTGATAGGGTGAATCTGAGTGTTGGAAATGTCTGTCATAATTGAGCTGCTAACCAAAAAATAGTCAAGGCGAGAATATGAGAGGTGGACTAGTGAAAAGAAGGTATATTCTCTAAGAGTGGGGTGGTGAGAACGCCAAACATCGCAAAGACCAAAATTGCTCATGTATTGTTTAAGGATGTCTGTTGATTTCCAAATACGGTGACCACCCGCCGTACTGAGCCTGTCAACTGCTGGATTACATACCATGTTGAAGTGCCCTCATAATATAAGAGCTATGTCTGAGTGAGCAGAGAGTGAGTTGAAGAAAGCATGAAAAAAGGAGGGGTCGTCAACATTTGGGCCATAGATGTTAGCAATGCATAAAGGAGTATTTTGAATCTAAATGTTAACAATAATGAATCGACCCTCTGGCTCAATAGTAGTGGTATTATGATTGAAGTGTGTTTTTCTATTTATCATAATGGTGACACCCCTTTGTGGTGAGGTTAGTTTATCTGCTGTTTTGGGTAAATGAGTCTCCTGTAGTAGGACAATGTCTGCTTGCAGATTATTTAGATGGTTAAAATTTTTTAATCTCTTTTCCCTTGAACCAACTCCGTGTACATTCCAAGAGGTGAGTTTAAGTGTGGTCATCATTCAACTAAGGGATGTGGTGTAGGCTAGTGTGTGCAGTGTGCGTGTTGCATCATTGTGTGTGTTGTATGCGCCTGTATGCGTGTCTCTATGTGTTCATGTTGTACGCGCCTGCGTGTGTGCTAGCGGTGTGCCCGACTGTTTGTGAATTAAACAGTATGAAAATTGCGCAGCTGATCGACGTGTAAACGGCGGAGGAAGAGCAACATTAACAAAAGAAAGAGACAGTGAAACAAAAACAGATGAAAATACACAAAACATTATCGGACAGTCTAGTCAGATAACCACAGTATAGGCTGTTGAGACGTGCACTGTATTTTATAACTATAGGTCACGGAGTAATTAACTGAGAGGGGGAAAAAATGATCGCATAGTGATACAGTTCACCTGTTGCTGGATTTGGTTCTTAGTAGAGCCAAGGAGTGGTGTCTCGGTCGCGGTACAGCTGGCCATCAACGTAAAGTTTATCCACCGCGATGACAGCCCGTGATCCTTCTCCAATAAGCTTCTTTCTTATCGGGAACAGGACTCGGCGTCGGTCCAGGATCTCCCGGGGTAACTGGTCATTAACGCTGATGTTAGTCCCTCTCAGCTCCCTGCCGCGGCCTTTAACCAGTTCCTTCTGCTTGAAGTGTTCAAACGTCGCGACGATGGGCCTGGGCCTCTGGTTCTCCTGTCGCCGTCCTCCCAGGCGGTGCACCCGGTGGAAGCTGATGTTCTTCACGGTCCCGGCCGGGAGCTTCAGTTGATTTTGGATGAAGCTTTTAACGGTCTCCTCAGGGGCTTCATCCGCCTGCTCCGGGATACCCGAAATGACCAGATTATCCCGCATACTACGAGCCTGGAGATCGATGTTTTTATTGTCTGCCGAGAGCCGCGTCATTCCCTCCGTGAGGGATTTAACCGAACCTTTGAGGACCAATTGTTTTCCGCCGCGAGCTCAACCACCTGTTTCTGGCTGAACTCCAGGGATCCCCGCACAGCCTGAAACTCTTTGTGAAGTACTTCCACCAGAAATAACAATTTCATGTCTATTGAACCTTGCACCTTGTGAGGAGACTGCTCCAGGTGAGTCTACAGTGCGGTTTCTCTTTGATTTCTCCATGACCACTCGATGAAAACACTGGTCAAGGTCCTCCAAACACTCGTCCTCGAGGTCCTCCAGTGCAATTTGACTGCTATTATTTGTTAATTCGCTTAAAATTGGCAGATTGTTTGTTTCATGAAATGTTTGTTTAGCTGCGCGCTGCCATGTTTGAATTTGAAAAGTCTCACGAGATTACACAAACGCTCACCATGTCATCTCTGCACAATCTCAATGCTGTCGCATTCCTTGTGTCAAGCCACTCTTGAACAAGACACAGCGTCAGAAGCGTCTCGCCTGGGCTAAAGACAAAAAAGACTGGACTGCTGCTGAGTGGACCAAAGTTATGTTCTCTGATGAAAGTAAATTTTGCATTTCCTTTGGAAATCAAGGTCCCAGAGTCTGGAGGAAGAGAGGAGAGGCACAGAATCCACGTTGCTTGAAGTCCAGTGTAAAGTTTCCACAGTCAGTGATTGTTTGGGATGCCATATCATCTGCTGGTGTTGGTCCACTGTGTTTTCTGAGGTCCAAGGTCAACGCAGCGTCTACCAGGAAGTTTTAGAGCACTTCATGCTTCCTGCTGCTGACCAACTTTATGGAGATGCAGATTTCATTTTCCAACAGGACTTGGCACCTGTACACAGTGCCAAAGCTACCAGTACCTGGTTCAAGGACCATGGTATCCCTGTTCTTAATTGGCCAGCAAACTTGCCTGACCTTAACCCTATAGAAAATCTATGGGCTATTGTGAAGAAGAAGATGCGATACGCCAGACCCAACAATGCAGAAGAGCTGAAGGCCACTATCAGAGCAACCTGGGCTCTCATACCACCTGAGCAGTGCCACTGACTGATCGACTCCATGCCACGCTGCATTGCTGCAGTAATTCAGACAAAAGGAGCCCCAACTAAGTACTGATTGCTGTACATGCTCATACTTTTCATGTTCATACTTTTCAGTTGGCCAACATTTCTAAAAATCCTTTTTTTGTATTGGTCTTAAGTAATATTCAAATTTTCTGAGATACTGAATTTGGGATTTTCATTAGTTGTCAGCTTCATCACAATTAAATAAAATAAACATTTGAAATATATAAGTCTGTGTGTAATGAAAATAATATCCAAGTTTCCCTTTTTGAATGGAATTACTGAAATAAATCAACTTTTTGATGATATTCTAATTATGTGACCAGCACCTGTATAGTGTGTGTGTGTGTGTGTGTGTCTATATATATATATCTCAAAATCTGCGCTTAGCAGATCTGGATTTTATGCAAGCTCGAGCTCTAAGATTGTGTTTAGGAGCAGTAAGAACTTTCCCTGTGTGTGCAATCCAAGTTGAAGCAGTTTAAATGCCATTGTTATGTCGGAAACAGCTGGGGGCCACTTACTGGGTCAGCCTAATTAGGTTAGGTTATTTAGCATGGAGACAGCCATCCAACAAAAAGTGCACTGCAGACATGTTGGGAGAAGGAGAGGACACAAAAAGGAAATACTGGCTGGACAGGAGAGCAAATGACAAAAAAGTACTGTATATGATGAAGAGACTGTGGTTTGGCCAGACATATCTGAGTAGTAGGCCTATTAGACAAACTGTGTAGATATGTAATTACTTAAAATGAAGCACAGTAACAAGACGGATGATTTAATTAATGAATAGTATAGTTATAGTGTAAATATTGGCTAAATATAAATCAACAGTGGCAAAAGCATTAGGATAAAGGGAGCTGTTTATACGTAATTGAGAACAGAGTAGGTATGTTAAGACGTAGGGAACAACACAGAGAAAGAAAATAATACGTAGGCTGAGAATTGGGCACAGCAACCTTAAAAGTACACTATTCATCAAAGGAATACATCTAACAGGTCTTTGCAGCTATAGTGTTGGGAAGGTTACTTTATCTAATACTTTGTCTTAGGTTACCGATTAAATGTTACCCTATAATGCTAGTGTAACTGTTTCAATTACTTTATCAAATGAATGTAACTTATTACATTTAATGACTTTTTTGATTACTTTTCTAAAATTCTAATGAATGTTTTTCAACTGCTGACCATTTTCAAAAGACAGCTTCAGAGGCAGTTTAACTGGCAGGAGGGGGGGGCAGCAAATTCAAACAGAGAACCAATCAAAGCATCAGAACAGCATCAAACTTTACTAAATGGCTGTGGCTGGAAAAGGCAAAGGTGCATATCAAAAACATGCAAAGCAACAAAATGAATATTATTTCACAGGTAGTCTATATTTTTACATAATATATTCAGATGTAACCCCAATGTAATCATTAACATTTTCATAAATAATTGTAATTTAGTTACACACATTTTTCCCAGTAACTGTAACTGTAACCGATTACAGTTACATTCATTTTTTTTATTAAATTACGTAACTAAAATACATGTAAATAGTTACTCTCCAACATTGATTATATCCTTTTATTATGTAGTTAATGTACACATGAAAGAGTGAGTTTAGTTTTTAAAGGACGACTGGACTGGAAAGGAGCTTTAAAGGAATGAACGATGAAGGAGAGTAACCTGAAGGTGGCAGCAATGCAACATCGTGGATGCCAACTACCATAAAACCTTCAGAGAAGAAGACAAAACCAACGTCCCCCTGGCCCCCTTCTTCTGCGCATGCGCAGGTGCGTTTTTTCCGGGTACGACATGTAATATAAATAGGCTGGTGTACAATACGACAGTCGGTAGAATATACGAAACCAATGATTCCCATATGTCCAGTGGTCTCCTTCACCTATGGTGAGTATCTATAAAAACGTGGAGATTATATGACAGTTAACTAGACGCGTGTAACTTTAAAACTGTAGAAGCAATATTAAGATATTGACGTTAATGTAAAGTCCTGGATCGCTCATTTATGACTGGTGCTAACGGTTAGCCTAGCGTAATCCTGTTATGTCTGTCCTCCGCAGTGCCCAGCCGGCTTGGTGAAGATGCCAAAATGGCTACCGGCAATTACTTTGGATTCACCCATGGCGCTGCCGCTCAGTACAGGTACGGCGACCATACATACTCGGCTTTTCGGTAGCAATACGCTGCATAATGTTTTTGAGGTCAAACGCCAGCTGAGTTTGCAGCAGCCATGTACAGGCTGCACGGTTCCAGTGCTGCCATTGTTCAAGCTGGGGGAGGGGGCGGGTATCCCTCTGCTGCTGCAGCAGCTGGATGGAAACGGGAGATCAGACTGAAAATTGCACTGCGTTAAAAACACAAGGGGGTGCATTGATGCCCTGTATGAATCTAAAATAGCATACGTCCATAAAAGTTCCGTTACAGTAATACATCCATGAGTTTAAGGGCTTATTAGCAGGTTATCAGACACCAGAACACGACACAGCGGTGTAACTTCTGCTATTATGAGGACAGAATTTACAGTTTAAGTAAACGGTAGAAGGTGTGTGTGTGTGTGGGGGGGGGGTTCTTTTTCTTTTTTAAAAGAAGCAATCTACCCCCAGGAATGTGCACTCACAAACCATAAAAAGAGGCCAGGTCGGATTCTGTGTCTAATACCAAGCCATGTTCTCTTATTCTAAACCTAATAAAGTAGTTGTGGTGCCTAACCTTATGCAAATGTTTCTGGCAGAAAGCTCTTGGAGTTTAAATGGGGGGGGGGGGGGCATGCAATTCTGGAGAAACAATATGACCAATACCATGGTCTAGAGTGAACGACACAGCAAGCAATGTAACTAACATCCAAGGTGTGTTAAAATGATATACTGTATGAAAGAAGTGGATGTAACCACCGTTACGTCACCCATTGGTTTATTTACTTGATTTTTTTAAATTTTTTTTTTTTTTTTTGCAACCAAACACAAGATGTGGTGATATTTAGACGAGAGTGTGGCGCTAGTTAGCTTGGTTAGCAAGGTGCACCCGTAATTCACATTAACTGTGATGGTAATTTAGGCTAGTTGGGGGTGTGAAAAGGCATACAAGGAAATGTACTGACAGAAAAATTTACATTGACCCCTAATAATAATAATAATAATATAATAATAATAATAATAATAATAATAATAATAATAATAATTTTTTTTCAAAACGCTGATTAAATTTACACAGAATCAGATAGGAGTTGCCTTTGTCTTTATCAACAGGTTGCCATGGCAGCATCTTGTCAATCACAAGGTAGCCACGCCTTAAAGCATACCCTGCTTTCTGGTCCATTTTCCTGTAAATGAGTCTGTAATTTACTAAATGAACATCATGCTGTGTTGAAGAAGCCATGAAACAATGATTGAGACCATGAAATCATTAGGAAATTGTTAACTGAGGTAACAAATCAGCTGAGAAGTAGAAGTAGTCTATTTGTAGAATTCAGAATCAGTAAGTCTAAATGGGGCTGGACATAACGATTATTTTTCAAGTCGATAATCGAACGCCAGAAAAAAGAGAAATGTTGCTTATTACTCGCTTATTACACTTACATACCAATTTATCTGCTGCACAGCTTGCATACGGAGAGGACAAGATGGTCAGCTGTGTAATTTACAAACGCCATGTTTTATTCGGCGCACATTCGCTGAAACGTGACCTTAAGGTATGCTCGCGGGGAGGGGCTTATATGCTCCAATGTGGTAGTGAATTCTTGACGTCATCATGCAATCTTGATATACAATATTTTAGAAACGGATGTGTTAAGAGTTTTATTAAGTTGTAATGAAGTGCTGAATATCTAGCAGTATCTCCGCCATTGTCATGATGTTTCATTGTTCAGTGTTTCCCCTAAGATTTTTTTTCAGAGTGGGTGGTTGACCCCTCAAAACTACTAGTTCTGCGGAGCAGGATGTTACGGATTCATGGTGTCATCGGTGCTTCGCACTTATATTAGCCTGTTTCGGTTCGCCACCTATTCTGTTCCTCTTCAACATTTTTATTGCTAAAGTTACGACTTCCTGATGGAGCTTGCTACAGTTATGCTACATTCGGATATGTGAAATCTGTTAAAATTCCGTTAAATTTTTTGCCAGAATCTGTCTTCCATTAAAAAAACAAATTCTGTGTTTTAAGCACCTTTTTTGTGGTGAATAAAATTTTAACAATTAAATGAGAAAATTACAAATTGAATCAATATAATTTTTTTATGTATAATGAAGATACGATATATTAAATGTGTGTGCAATTATTTATGGGGACAATTCACAATAAATATTGGCTACTGCAACATTAGGATGTTAAAATAGGCTATTAGAATAACATTTACTAGGAACAATTCAACCTCTACAATGACTGACCAAAGGTATGTTTTTAATTTTATATTTTTTAATTTATTTTTTAACTGATTATCAGACTCTGCCCACACAGCCACGAAATGTACAACGAGCTTGCATCTGCTGATATGGCTTAACTTCTGAGTTAAGTGAGATCTTGCCAGTACGCTGATTACGATATGACGGCGCGTGTGTCTGCGGGAGCTGCTAAGCCCCGCCCACGCTTAAACACACAGACACTGGTGTTATTGTTGACAGGGCTAAAGTTCTCCAGTGCTGTGCCGGAATTCCGTCACGGGGCATTTTGTATTTAACAATATACTGTTAGTGAAAAATATTCTTGCGTATTTTTTTTTTATTTTTATTTTTTGACTGTTGCGTGATAGGTGTGTGAAGCGCCAGTCCTCCTCTGCACAATTGGTGGTTCGGTGTCTTTGTTGGCATATACATGACAGAAAAGGGGACTGGTACTTCCTGACTACATGGACATTCATTGGCTAATGTAGGCTGTCGACAGGGGATGGAAGTTTCTATGGAGTCAATTAAGGTGTCACTCAAAAGGTATACGTGTAGAAGCTTTTTTTTCTTAGTCGTAGTTAGGCTGATATAAAACGACGCAACAGCAGTCCATATGGGACTGGGGCGGCTGTGGCTCAGGAGGTAGAGCGGGTTGGCCGTTAATCAGAAGGTCTGCGGTTCAATCCCTGGTTGCGTGTCGAAGTGTCCTTGGGCAAGATGCTGAACCCTGATTTGCCCCTGGCACTTTTGTTTTTGCCCCCAGCCAGTGTATGTATATGTTAGTTTCTGTTTGAGCACTTAGGCTCAGTGTATGAATGTGTATGACTGGTGAATGCAGATGTAGTGTAAAAGCGCTTTGATTGGTCTAGACTAGAAAGGCGCTATACAAATACGGACCATTTACATGTGTATTTATTGATATAATAATGCTTTTTGGACTAAATATTTTATTGGAATATATGGATATTTGCCAACGTAACAAGGCCATTTATGTTGGAATGTAATCCTTCGGTGGACTACAGCTCCAATGGTATCAACTTTGATTACAGGCAGTGCTTGAAGTGGGCCACCGTTACTAGTACTTCTACATTTTACTCTTTGGCTTACCGGGACTTTTCTTGAATACCGGCACGTGCCTTCTCCATATCCGGTTCTCTGGGCTCTATTTGGCGCTAATCGCTTCTCGCCTGCCTGCTAATCTCTGTCGCCGGAGACAGAGCAGGGAGAAGCTCGGGTGCCTTTCATGCAGCTGTGTGCAGGAAGTTGCTGTCAAAGTAACTTTACGTGAACCAACTAATCACAGCCTGGAGGTCGCGGGAGTTTTAAAAAAGTTGAAGCGCTACAGCAAACTGAATGCAAAAAAAAAAAAAAAATGTTGAACTTGTTGTTCTGTATGAATGATTATTGACAAGTTGGTACTTAGCATTAACTAATTAGAGACTGACCACCATGGAGAATGTTTCTTACACAAGGATTTAATAAACGAAATCACCCACAGAAATGAAACTGCCGTCCAACTGGAATTAATATTATGCTAGTGGTAAGCTTTCTACACTGAACAAAATTATAAACACAACACTTTTGTTTTTGCCCCCATTCATCATGAGCTGAACTCAAAGATCTAAGACTTTGTCTATGTACACAAAAGGCCTATTTCTCTCAAAATATTCGTCAATCTGTGTTAGTGAGCACTTCTCCTTCTGCCTTCATAATCTGTGGAGACCATGTGTGAATTCAAATGTCACTAGGATATTTTGGAATACTTACTAGTAACTAATAAATAGATACTAGTATCTAAATAATGGATAGTAGTAGCCACCCCCTGTCTTTTTCCCAATTTATCACACATCCACCACTCATGTGGCCAAGCATGCTCACTCTGATGCACACTACACACACACTCCATCACAAAAGCAGTGATCTGAAAAGTTGCGACTGGCCAACTAACTTTTGACCTTTCTCATTTGTATTGCCCTACCAGTCAGCAGCCAGCTCCTGGGGTGGCATACACGCACCCTACCACAGTGGCCAGTTACACAGTTCATCAAGCACCGGTGGCGGCACACACTGTAGCAGCAGCCTACGCTCCCACTGCGGCCACAGTGGCTGTAGCAAGGCCTGCGCCCGTCGCTGTGGCGGCTGCTACCGCTGCAGCTTATGGAGGATACCAGCCAACCCATGCTGCTACTGACTACGGATACCCTCAGCGCCAGCCTGAAGTCCCACCACCACCACCACCGGTCACCTCTCAGAACTACCAGGTATACCACAAGTTTTTACCTTTTTTTAAAGGCTGCTATACAGATGGCAGACACTTTCTAAGAACTCATTTTTGTCAATTTGATCACATCAGTTTGCATGTGTGTTCTGAGGGTGGACTGGGGACCAGATGTTCTGCCTTCATAATCTGTAGAGGACCATGTGTGAGAGGAGTAAAGAAACCAGAACATATTCACATTTGAGAAGCTGGACTGAGAGCATCTTTCTTTAAAAAAAAAAAAAAAAAAAAAGTGACTCAAACCGATTAATCTATTATCCCAATATTTGACAATAAATGTAATAGTCCACAACTAATTATTTGATTAATTGTTGCAGCTCTAATAAATTGCATGCTGGTAATTTAAATATTACATGCCTACATTTGTTAGAATGAACTGAGTAACGCTACAAAGTATCATATAATGTGATAGACTGTAAATCTGAGACGCAACAGCTCCATTATTTGTGTAGTTCTATTTTTGAATAGATTATCTTTTTATAAACCCTTTTTTATTTGACCTGTTTATTCCCTTATTGATGGATTAATATATCTTTTGTAAACTCGTTTAATAATTATAGTTTTTATTGCCCAGTAGAGCAGTGCCCGTTCAGAGCGGACTGATTGCTTGGCAAGTTGACCACACAGCAGAAGTTCTGTCAGACTCCTCACTTGTCTCACTAAATGTAACTTCTTGAAAAACAACGGGTCGGGTAAAAATGTTTGGGTGCTATGGGAAGGACTGGAAATGTACTCTAAAGTTCATATGATGCAGCATAATGTACATTTCTCCACCACAAATTCTAGTCTCCGCTGTAATTCATCCCAAAGGTGTTCTATCGGGTTAGGTCAGGACTCTGTGCAGGCCAGTCAAGTTCTCCACACCAGACTAGCTCATCCCTGTCTTTATGGACCTTGCTTTGTGCACTGGTGCACAGGCATGTTGGAACAGGAAGGGGCCATCCCCAAACTGGTGGGAAAAGTCGGGAGCATGAAATTGTCCAAAATATCCTGGTATGCTGAAGCATTAACAATTCCTTTCACTAGAACGAAGGGGCCAAGCCCAACCCCTGAACCCCTGTGCGCCTCAGCATGCGTTGACCCTGCTCTGTGATTTTTTTTTTATTTTATTTTTTTATGTGGCCTTCCAATTCATGGCTGAGTTTCTGTTGTTGCAAATCGCTTCCACTTTCTTATAATACCACTAACAGTTGACTGTGGAATATTTAGTAGTGAGGAAAGTTTTGTAGAAGTGGTCTGGATGCCTAGGTGCATGATTTTATACACCTGAATTTAATGATTCAGAGGGGTGTCCTAAAACATTTGGCAATATAGAGTACATGCCTCCCCATGGCAGCATTGGGAGCAATTTGGGGTTCAGTGTCTTTCCAAGGACGGTCGGACCACCAAACCTCTGACCCTTACTGTTTTCCTCTGCAGGACTCCTACTCCTACGTGCGGTCCACAGCTCCAGCTGTAGCTTATGACAGTAAGCAGTACTACCAACAGCCCACTGCTACAGCTGCTGTCGCTGCTGCACCACCACAACCCAGCGTGGCAGATTCCTACTACCAGACAGGTATGCTAAATTCACATGTCTATGATTAAATGTCCATTCCTCGTATCACTGAAAAGAACTCTGAAATCCAGCCGATGATGGTGGTGTCGTCTGCAAACTTCACAACAAACAACAATGAGACTTCATATCGGGAGGAAATTCATAATCTTGCATAGTGGTGCTCAGAGAACAACTTACTGCTCAGCGTCAGCAAAACCAAGGAGCTGATCGTTGATTTTAGGAAGAAGGAGATAAAGACACACACTCCTGGCTACATAGTTTTGGGTTCCTGGAAATCGGCATCACTGGGAAGAGAGAAATTTCTGCTGCCACACCACCAGACTACAGAGCCCCCCCCCCCCCCCAACTATCAGACTCTTAATTCATCCTCAGCACTGCTCCAGTGATAGTTTTTCTATTTACCATTTGTCATAATTAATTTATTAATGTATATTGTCTGTAGCAGAAGGGAGGTACTAGTGCTGTCCCCGACTAAGGATTTACATATTCAAATCAGAATCGTCAAGTCCTGCCTATAGTCCGCTTTAATCTTGAAGCTGCAGAACTGCAGTCTCTTTTCATTCAACCTACACTGTAAATTTCCAGCTAAACTGAGGCTTATTTGAAGACCCTTTTCTCTCTCGCCTGTCATTCACCGGTCTTGTGCAGAGTTTTACGTGCATTACTGCTGCCGACAACTGCATGCGTGAATTTCAAGTAGCCGGCTATTTAAAAACGATAAAATATTCTTTGTTTCATCAACGTTGATAAATTATCCGCAAGTCCCGCGAGGTGCGAGCAACTCGGCACAACACCAGTGAAGCAGGGGCTCCATCTCTTCAGCAAGTGTTCCTCCACTGCCACTGGACACATTCACACTACGCACTGACGACCCAGGGTTAGGGTTACAGTTTTGGATTTATTCACGCACTTCAAAAACATTTATTGAAAGGTTCATTCTTTTTACGTGTTTATTTACAGCATTAAACATTGAAATGTATTTTAACTCATTGGGAGAAAACTGGTAGTTCTATGTAAAATCAGACGTTGAGCACCCCCATATCGCCTAAATGGCATGATCCTGTTTCACTGCGATGCTTCGACTGTGAGATGGGCTCTGCCCATCGAATCTTCAACTATTTGGGGTTAGCCCTAGGAGTTGCAAAACTAAATTTCACTCTAACTTGCTTGTATTGTGACAATAAACCTACCTACTTTCAACTTTAATTTGAGGTAATTTACATACATATCAGATGGACTGTTTTACAATTATTTTATGGGACCAAAAGGTATTATTAGTGGGGGTTTTCTCAGAAAGGGCAAATTGACAAAATGTTAGTGTTTCCTTGATGATCTTGAATAAACTCGTACAGTAAACGATGCCTAAGAAGATAACGGAGGGTACAATGGAACATCCTTAAGATTCAGTCGTAGTTGACTTCAGGTGGTCACATGACGGCTAGAGCAACCAAACAAATCGTGTTTAAATAAAGATGTCAGTACAGAAATAATTTCAGCTATGACCTGATTTTTATGCTACACGAAGTGGTTTTCCACAATACAGGAAGTGACTTTACTGATGGAATAAACGTGCAAATTGCCACCTGCAGATCTTCAGCTCAGTGGTGACCCTTAGCAGAAATTATGAATGTTGACAAAAAATGCAGACGGTGACAGTTTGGATTTTTTTTCACCTCTGAAAATGGCAATTTTTGATAACTGATCAGTCTACAGTACCTGTGGTAACAAACGCAGTATGTTTCTGGTCACTGCTAAAAAGCGACCTGTCTTGACAGCTGAGCAGCTTCATGTGGAGCAGTGGAAGTAGGATCTTTTTGTATTAACAGTAACTTAATCCAGCTCTCCTACAGCGTAAAGATGACAAACGGTAAACAGTGATGCTGGGAGCATGGGAATGTCAGATTCCTCCACTTCCGATAACAGACAGAGATAATTACTGTATGTAAGTAAGCTAAACATCCAGGGCCTGATCTGACTAGCATGTGCTAGCTAGTATAACAAAACTGTCTGACTTTATGTTCCCCATGTGCCGCAGACATAGTTGGCATATTATTTAGTTGGTACACGTTCAACATTTATAGAAAACAATTGAGAGGTATGTGTATCAGTTTCTATTTATTTATCTTTTCTGTTTTTTCCTCTAGCCCCCAAACCAGGATATAGCCAGGGGGTAACATCATACACCCAGAGCCAGCAGACTCGACAGGTGACCGTGATAAAGCCAGCCGCTCCTAGTCCAGCCTCATCTACTTTCTCCATCTACCCAGTCACCTCCACTGTCCAACCTGTGGCTGCCGCCGCATCTGTGGTCCCATCTTACTCCCAAAGCCCAACTTACAGCACAAATGCTGTCACATACTCTGGTAAGCTTTGACACTCAATTGGCGGCTACCTAAAATGTCCTAAAAGATTGTTCTGGAAGCTTGATTTCCAGCCTTTAATTGTGCAAACAGACTAACATTTCAACACCAGTATGTCTTCATCAGTCAGAATGGATAAAGACTTGAAACAAGCAACGTGTGTGTGTGTGTGTGCGCGCGCACTTTCCTAACCTATCCTGGCCATTGTTGAAAGCTCCAGGCTTGTATTAACATGAAGGTGGCATGTAATTAAATGTAAAAAGTTAGTGTCTCCATAGTTGTACACAATTTGATGTCAGGTGTAGGCTTTTCTGTTCATCCAGGTCACATAAGCACAGACACAAATCAGAATTACAGACAGTTTAACAGTCCTGTAATGTCAAACAATATTATGTTTAGCAGTATACTTAATACTTTAGTTTATGACCAAATACCAGGAAAAACTGACATTCACATGTACTTGGTGTTACATTTGTTTTATCAATTGTAAACATGCTAAACAACCATTGTAAATGTGGTTAACATATGCACATAAACCTTTGCTTTTTCATAAGGCGTTAAAATGGCAGAGCAGTGATTAGGTTATAAGTAAGCATTGGTTCATCCTTTTCCAGGAACCTCATACTCTGGCTATGAGGCAGCAGTTTACTCTGCAGCCTCCAGCTACTACCAGCAGCAGCAACAGCAGAAGCAGGCGGTGGCAGCTGTAGCAGCGACTGCAGCATGGACGGGGAACACTTTCACCAAGAAACCCCCCTTTCAGAGTAAGCAGCTCCGGCCCAAACAGCCGCCCAAACCCCCTCAGATCCACTATTGTGATGTCTGTAAGATCAGCTGTGCTGGCCCACAGGTGAGTTCACTATAGCCCACAATGACAGCATTTTGTCAAATGTTTGCATTTGTTATCAATAAAAAGTTATGAACAAAAAATGTGCATGCAAGCATTAAGTGCAGATTTTTAACGAATTACACTCATATGCGTCAGTATAAAGCACCTTTGTTTTTCTGTTATGCATCTGTTGTGTAATCCTACAGGTCTCCACAGGGCCATGCCTGTCAGTAATGTAAAATATTAGAACATGTCTCAGACTGTAGTCTGCACATTATCATACGAAGTGTATTTTAAGATGTCACATTGGCTTTGGTCACTGCTGTGTGTCCTGTCTTTTCTCATCTCTAAGATGAATCACTTGTAGATGTGATGTCCATAAAGACTGTGAAGAGGGTCTCCATATCATATCTCACCCAGAGTTTTGCCTCAGCCTATCATATTTAGACAGAATTCACCTTGCTGTGAGTCTAGAATATATATACACTGCTCAAAAAAATAAAAGGAACACTAAAATAACACATCCTAGATCAGAATGAATGAAATAATCTCATTAAATACTCCTTTCTTTAGATAGTTGAATGTGCTGACAACAAAATCAAAAACAAATTGTCAATAGAAATCAAATTTATCAACCCATGGAGGTCTGGATTTGGATTACACTCAAAATCAAAGTGGAAAACCACACTACAGGCCGATCCAACTTTGACGTAACGTCCTTAAAACAAGTCAAAATGAGGCTCAGTAGTGTGTGGCCTCCACGTGCCTGTATGACCTCCCCTACAATGCCTGGGCATGCTCCTGATGAGGTGGCGGATGCATAGCATCAATGCCTTCCTCTTGCAGGAACTGCTGACACACTCCAGCCACATGAGGTCTAGCATTGTCTTTCATTAGGAGGAACCCAGGGCCAGCCGCACCAGCATATGCCCCCCCACCCCAGAAATGCCACCCCACACCATTACTGACCCACCGCCAAACCGGCCATGCTGGAGGATGTTGCAGGCAGCAGAACGTTCTCCACGGCGTCTCCAGACTCTGTCACGTCTGTCACATGTGCTCAGTGTGAACCTGCTTTCATCTGTGAAGAGCACAGGGCGCCAGTGCCGAATTTGCCAATCTTGGTGTTCTCTGGCAAAGGCTGTAAGCACAACCCCCACCTGTGGACATCGTGCCCTCATACCACCCTCATGGAGTCTGTTTCTGACAGTTTGTGCAGACACATGCACATTTGTGGCCTGCTGGAGGTCATTTTGCTCCTCCTTGCACAAAGGCGGAGGTAGCGGTGCTGCTGGGTTGTTGCCCTCCTATGGCCTCCTCCACGTCTCCTGATGTACTGGCCTGTTTCCAGCAAACCTTCTTGCCACAGCTCGCATTGATGTGCCATCCTGGATGAGCTGCACTACCTGAACCACTTGTGTGGGTTGTAGACTCCGTCTCATGCTACCACTAGAGTGAAAGCACCGCCAGCATTCAAAAGTGACCAAAACATCAGCCAGGAAGCATAGGAACTGAGAAGTGGTCTGTGGTCACCACCTGCAGAACCACTCCTTTATTGGGGGTGTCTTGCTAATTGCCTATAATTTCCACCTGTTGTCTATTCCATTTGCACAACAGCATGTGAAATTGATTGTCAATCCAGTGTTGCTTCCTAAGTGGACAGTTTGATTTCACAGGAGTGTGACTGACTTGGAGTTACATTGTGTTAAGTGTTCCCTTTTAATTTTTTGAGCAGTGTACAATTGAAGTGCTAGAGTAGTCCTTCTAGTCTAAATTACTGTTGAGTAAAGATGGTCCCGACCCAATCAGCATAATGGGGAAAATCCAATTTTTTTTTTTTTTTTGCAACTTCTGATCCTCCAATTCACAAGTCTTGAAAATGCTTCATTGAAACACTGTCTTTTAACACGTGGTGATATGAACAAGTGAGTACACAAAATACCAACGATCATATAGGATCAAACATCAGCAGAGCAGTTTTGGGTTGAAATATGGTTACCTTTTGATTTCCTCAGCACAGTCAAGTGTAGAACGCCTTAATGTAGATGAATAGAATAGATGTGTTTGTCATTTTTATACTACAAATCTTAAAAAAACAAAAAACACAAAAAACAGACAACTAATGGCTGTGTCCTTCAAAACATTGAATGCACAAGACTTACAAGGAGCATCTGGAAGGCCAGAAGCACAAGAAGAAGGAAGCTGCGTTGAAGGTTTCCCAGAACAACAGCAGCAGTGGTAGTGGTGGAGGGGTGTTGGCCCGCAATGCTCAGAACCAGCTCCGCTGTGAACTCTGCGATGTTTCCTGCACTGGTGCCGACGCTTATGCTGCCCACATCCGTGGAGCTAAGCACCAGAAGGTATGTATATGAGTAGGGTTGGGCAATAATGATGATTATTGCGATAGAATTTCCCTCAATAACAATATGTTTGAATCGGGGGGGAAAAAGATTTTACATAATCTTACTCATGCATATCTGTTGAATAGACTTTATTAGGGGTCCAAGCACGAGTGGGGCTGGGAACCCTATTGCAATCACGCTCGTTTTTATTATACTTGGCACAGTCTCTCTGGACGAAGCTAATACAGGCTTGTACTCCCCACATCGATAGACAAAAACTGTTCCGTTTATCAGCTAACAATAAGTTCTATAACCACAAGCCGCATTGACGTCAAAGTTGAGCTGAACTGTTCAGGACGGTCTCTTGACTGCAGGCACCAAAGTTGACCCTAATGTGCCCATAGGTGGCACTGTTACTGCAGATTAAAGAGTTTAATAAAATAAAAAAATCCCATTGCACATGCATTTTAGATCTCTATAACCACAAGTCTGATTGATACCAAATTTGGGTCATTTTGTTCCCCATGGGACCCTAATGACACCTGAGAAATCTAGTGTAATTCGGCTTAAAGGTGGCACTATAATCAAAGTTGAAATACCATGGGGAAGATCCTATTAATTTGAATGGGATTTTGAACCTACGCACATTTTGCCTCATAACTACACGCCACTACATCACACGTTCATAAACCTTTATGTCTACGTGTTTGGGCGATGCTGCTGATTCGTATGGTATAGGACAGGGCTATATGGAATTTAGGTGGCGTTAATCGTATATCAAATAACCCTCCCATAGACGTATATCTCCGTAACCGAAAGTCCCTATTCACCATAGGCCCCTGAAGTTGTAAGCGGGGTCCATGTTCTACCTTAAATTTGTTAAGTGAGCCACTGTTTTGCATCAAGTGTTTGTTTTTGACCATAAAGAACAGTTTAAATCCAAATTAACTATCTGGTTTCTTCACCTTTCACTCAGGAGAAAAAAACTGCCTTTAAACCTGAAAGAAATGATTTGACATTTATCCTAAAAATTATTGCTATCGAATAATGAAATTTTTTTATCAACATTTTTGGCCATATCGCCCAGCCCTACTGTAGATTTTAAGTGGGACATTCATCATTCGGTGGCTAAAGTGGTGTTAATCCATGTTAGATGGTAGTAAAACAAGACAGTCCTTGGGTGCAGCATCTGTTGTGTTCAAATAGTTCCTTTTGTTTGTTGCCAAACTTGGTTGTAAAATATCCCATAGCAACCAGCCATGCATCCATTTTCTGCACCCTCTTATCTGGTGCAGTGATGAGGGGACTGGAGCTCACACTGGATGAGAAAGACAACTATTCACATCTACAGAATGTGCAGTTAAGTTTCAACTACCGTGACCTGTATGTCTTTAGTTGGAAACAGGAGCACCCATTTATAAAAATAAAAAAACACACCATACAGATCATGCAAACTCCAAAGGGAAGGAGAGGACAACATGTACATCAGACAGAATAGAAAAGATGTGTACAAACCACAAAGTCTGAAAAAAAAAATCTGAAGTTATAAATACAACTTTATAAACAATAAAACATTCATCAGTTAAAATCAGGTAAAACATTAAACAATGAAATTGTTGGGAGTCAGCAGTCTACTGCATTGTGCTAAATGGAAACCTCAGACCTGCTGAATGTGCGCTTTCTTTACACTCCCCCACCATCATCTAAATTCTGATCTCTCTTCTCCAGGTTGTGAAGCTTCATACTAAACTGGGTAAGCCCATTCCCTCTACTGAGCCCAGTATGGTCACTCAAACATCATCCTCAACCACAGCTACTCTCAGCAAGGCCACCACAGCTACCCTGAGCAGCACCGCCAGCTCTCAGTGCGTGGCTGCCGCCTCCTCCCCCGCCACCAGCTCCAGCGCCCCCTACCTGAAACCTGTCAACATAGTCAGCAGTGGTGTGGCTGGTGTCAAGAACCCATCAGCCAACAGCATCTCTGCTGTCAACTCTGCCTCTGCTGGGAAGAAAATCAACACCCCCAAGATCAATTTTGTTGGTTAGTAAGCACATGTTGAGGGTGCAGCATGTGTCTTCTTACTGTATTCCTTCATCCTCCTGAAATTCATGAAATATTATTATAACCAGTAGTTTTGCTAAAGTTTATAGTCCTGCCTTAGTTGTTCAGGAACATTGCTGCTCGAATAGTCATGGTTGCTCACTGCAGTGCAAGTGTCCTTGACTTTGTTGCCTTTCTTTTGTCTTGTCTGTTTTTACTGCAATCCAACACACATTTTGGGTGTCACTTTAATCAACTCCTCCTGGCTTTGTTCATAATATCACTACATGTGCTGGTCATATAATTAGAATATCATCAAAAAGTTGATTTTATTTCAGTAATTCCATTCAAAAAGTAAAACTTCCACACAGACTGATATATTTCAAGTGTTCATTCCTTTTTAATATTGATGATTAAAACTGACAACTAATGAAAACCCCAAAATCAGTATCTCAGGAAAATTAGAATATTGTGAAAAGGTTCAATATTGAAGACACCTGGTGCCACACTCTAATCAGCTAATTAACTCAAAACACCTGCAAAGGCCTTTAAATTGTCTCCCAGTCTAGTTCTGTAGGCTACACAATCATGGGGAAGACCGCTGACTTGACAGCTGTCCAAAAGACGACCATTGACACCTTGCACAAGGAGGGCAAGACACAAAAGGTCATTGCTAAAGAGGCTGGCTGTTCACAGAGCTCTGTGTCCAAGCACATTAATAGAGAGGCGAAGGGAAGGAAAACGTGGTAGAAAAACGTGTACAAGAAATAGGGATAACTGCACCCTGGAGAGGATTGTGAAACAAAACGCATTCAAAAATGTGTGGGAGATTCACAAAGAGTGGACTGCAGCTGGAGTCAGTGCTTCAAGAACCACCACGCACAGACGTATGCAAGACATGGGTTTCAGCTGTCGCATTCCTTGTGTCAAGCCACTCTTGAACAAGACACAGCGTCAGAAGCGTCTCGCCTGGGCTAAAGACAAAAAGGAGTGGACTGATGCTGAGTGTACCAGAGTTATGTTCTCTGATGAAAGTAAATTTTGCATTTCCTTTAGAAATCAAGGTCCCAGAGTCTGGAGGAAGAGAGGAGAGGCACAGAATCCACGTCGCTTGAAGTCCAGTGTAAAGTTTCCACAGTCAGTGATTGTTTGGGATGCCATGTCATTTGCTGGTGTTGGTCCACTGTGTTTTTTGAGGTCCAAGGTCAACGCAGCCGTCTACCAGGACATTTTAGAGCACTTCCTGCTGCTGACCAACTTTATGGAGATGCAGATTTCATTTTCCAACAGGACTTGGCACCTGCACACAGTGCCAAAGCTACCAGTACCTGGTTTAAGGACCATGGTATCCCTGTTCTTAATTGGCCAGCAAACTTGCCTGACCTTAACCCTATAGAAAATCTATGGGCTATTGTGAAGAGGAAGATGCGATACGCCAGACCCAACAATGCAGAAGAGCTGAAGGCCACTATCGGAGCAACCTGGGCTCTCATACCACTTGAGCAGTGCCACAGACTGATGGACTCCATGCCACACCGCATTGCTGCAGTAATTCAGACAAAAGGAGCCCCAACTAAGTACGGAGTGCTGTACATGCTCATACTGTTCATGTTCATACTTTTCAGTTGGCCAACATTTCTAAAAATCCTTTTTTTTGTATTGGTCTTAAGTAATCTTATTTTCAGAGAGATACTGAATTTGGGATTTTCATTAGTTGTCAGTTTTAATCATCACAATTAAATTAAATAAACATTGAAATAGATCACTGTGTGTAATGAATGTATACATTATACCCATATTTCCCTTTTTGAATGGAATTACTGAAATAAGTCAACTTTTTGATGATATTCTAATTATGACCAGCACCTGTATGTGAGCATATAAATGTTTGAGAGAAACGAGAAAACGTAAGTTTCTGGGGAATTTATTTGTGTTTTAAGATTTGAGTGTCAGTACAAGGTCATGTGTTGCAGTTGTGTACATTTAGATCTACTTATTAATTCTATAATGACATTTATTTTAGGGATTTTAGTCTAGTTCTGTTTAGGAAAAATCCTTTTTGTAAAGGCATTTAATCAGCCTTAAAAATACTGAGGTATTAGTTGTTAGATATATTACTGTCTGTGCTGTATTGGGCTGCAAACTATGGAATTAATTTGCAAACAACCAGGTTATTATACCTGGCATGGCAGTCATATTAACCATTATGACGACCAGAGAAACCTCTCCATCAGATCATTCCTCCTCACTGATCCACCTTATAACTTTTTCACTTGTCTTTATTTGTTATTGAGGACATTTGACCGAAGTTCAGCAGTAGCGTTGTAAATGCTCCGTGATTTAACTATGTTGTCATTTCTTGAATGCAGGTGGAAATAAATTGCAGACCACAGGGAAGATGGAAGAGGTAAGAACGGAGGCCAAAATGGAGGCTTCTAAGCCTCTGATGCCCTCTTCAGGTACTCAGGACCCCAAGTCTGAAGGTTCAGATTCTCTGTCTACATCAGCCCTGGCTGCGCTGCAGAGTGACGTGCAGCCTGTCGGTCATGATTATGTTGAAGAAGTAAGTTTTGACAGACCTGGGCATGGCCTAGAGCCAACCTTCACTTACTGAGCAGAAATGCATTTAAACCTTGAGTGTAATATGTGGAACGCATTCCTAGGTCCGAAATGATGAAGGCAAAGTCATCCGCTTCCACTGCAAGCTCTGTGAATGTAGTTTCAACGATCCAAATGCAAAGGAAATGCATCTGAAGGGTCGTAGGCATCGCCTGCAATACAAGGTTTGTAGCTGACATGTCATGCACCACTCTGCACATAGAAAGGTTATCTGTGTGAGGGTTGCATAGCTTGAACTAACCTGTTTGCAGGAAGTCATCAACAAACAAGGGTATTTGGCTTTGCATTCATCATTGGCATGAATTAGTTACGGCACATGACGTATGCCTATTGACTCATGAGAAGGTGGTGGGGTGGGGACAGTGGTGGATCAAAGACCTCTTTCCTGATGTAATTCTATGCTTATGTGGTGAAACTGCTGTTATTCTGGAAAGGGAACTTCTCCTTGTGGAAAATGAGTGGAAGAAGCTTCATGAATAAATGCTTACAATACTCTAGCCCACGGGACAGTCCACTGTATATCTCTTTCTGTATTACCCCGGTGTGTGTGTGTGTGTGTGTGTGTGTGTGTAGAAAAAGGTGAACCCAGATCTGCAGGTGGAGGTCAAACCCAGTATCCGAGCCAGAAAGATTCAGGAAGAGAAGATGAGAAAGCAGATGCAGAAAGAAGAGTACTGGAGAAGAAGAGAAGAGGAAGAGCGCTGGAGAATGGAGATGCGGTATGGTTACGGTCATTTCTTGTTAATGGTTGTTAAGGAGGGGAGTGTGTGTGTGTGTATATGTAGTGGTGAATCTTGTATACATCTTGCAGGGTTTTTCCTGTATAGATAATTACGCCTCTGTCAGATTTGGGCCAGCCTCCAGCTCTCAACAAAATTCAGCCAGTCATGGTGGACACTGTTTTCTAGTATTGCGCTTTGTGGATTTCTGTCATTTGTAACTGCACTTGCAGCATTATGTTGACGTGGCAATGCTGTATCATAATCAGCACAGTGCGCCAAGAAAGACGCTGCCAGAACTTTCAGAGAGGTAGAAGAGAAGTTTGTTTTTGTTCTTGGGTTTTTCTTTTTTTTTTTTTATAAATAAAGAGTCATCTGATTGGCTGGACTACAGCGTGGGGGTGCTGTAAACAGGAGCGTTTGTAACTTACTGGCCTGAAGACATTTTTTACTGGCCCTTCTTCCAAAAGTTTTTTTTATCAGTGTTACAACAAAACCAAAGACTTAAGTTATGTTATACTGTTAACATGTTTAATTGGTTATTAAATGCATCCTGGATATAAAATAAAACTAAACTAAAATGTTATCATAGTTAAAATTATAAAAAGGCTAACAAAACTATTTACTTTTAAAACAAAACATACAAGAGTCAAACATGACATGTGCTCTCTCCTGCTTGACAGCCATTTAATTAAGAAAATGTACACAGAGCAGAGGATACCAGTTGCCTACCATGGCAACCTGTCAATCACAAGGTAGTCCTGCCTAAAGGCATATGCTGCATTTTCGTCTATTTCCCCCTAAATGGGACCATAATTTACTCAATGAACATCATGTTGTGTTGAAGACTTGAAATAAGTGACTGAGACCATAAACTCATTATGAAAGTGTTTACTGAGGTAATAATTCAGCTGAGAAGTAGCAACATTTTACCATTATTTCTAATAGAACTGGACTTCTTTTTGCAACCAGCTGACCTCTGCTGGCCGTTAGAGAATGCAGTTTTAAGTTCCGTCAGCATGGTTTCACTTTCAGACCCAGACGTTGCAGCTTGATCAAGATTGGAGAAATAACATTTGACAACCACTCGTCATGTAAATACAGATCTGGATTGGACAACGGCCATGAGCAGCAAAGCAACTGCAGGATGTTGAGGTTCAAATTATTACATTTATTTATTTTTTTTAAATACTAATGTTTGTGCACTGGCCCAGTGAGTTGCTAGTTACTTTTTACTGGCCACAGTTATTGTCGAGCCCTGTACTGGGACATGACAGAAAGTTACAGATTAACATTAAATAGCCAGGTGTTCACATCAGCTGCACTGCAAAATGACCCTGAACTTTAAATAAAAGGAACAGCTGATGATATATTTGTGATATCATTATTAGAACTATTAAAATTTGTTGCTTGTGTTTATTTGAGCCGTGACGTGAACGTGATGAGGATGGGATCACCTCCGCCTCAATTTGAGCCAGGATAAACCCTGTCTTTGGCTATTGAAAAATACTACCTCAGAAGCAGGTACGCTTGGAGTAGATACTATGCCCATCTATCTAAAACTGGAACTAGTGTCTAAGTCAAGAACAGCCTTTTGGCAGTCCTTATAACCCTGCATTAAAATTATTCAAGATGTAGGGCTGTGGCTCAGGGAGGTAGAGCGGGTTGGCCGTTAATCGGAAGGTCTGCGGTTCAATCACTGGCTCCCACTGGTTGCGTGTCGAAGTGTCCTTGGGCATGATACTGAACCCCGAATTGCCCCTGGCGGCTGTTCCGCCAGTGTATGAATGTGTGTGAATGTTAGTTTCTGTTTGAGCACTTAGGCTCAGTGTATGAATGTGTATGACTGGTGAATGCAGATGTAGTGTAAAAGCGCTTTGAGTGGTCAAAGACTAGAAAGGCACTATACAAATACGGAGCATTTACATGTTTACTTTGAGTAACAGATCCATGAGAAGCCAAAACATATAAATCATTAGGAGACGTGTTTACAACTCTGGAAAGTTCACAGCAGCAGTTATTTTAGTTTGTGTTGTGACTGTAGTGTGGTAAACAATACAAAAATGATGTTCATGTGACAAAGTAATCTACTAAGAGGGTCCGTGTACTTTGCAGCCAACGGATTTTCGTTTTGAAAAACAAATGACAAAGTTCCAGGCATTTAACCTCCGTAGGGGTCGTCGTCGGGGTTACGTGGGTCTACTTGGCTGTCTTTTTGGTCTGTGTGTGGTTTTTTTGTTTTTCATCCACCATCTTGCATGCTTGTACAACTGTTGTTTCTATTTCCAGGCGTTATGAAGAAGACATGTACTGGCGACGTATGGAGGAGGAGCAGCACCATCACTGGGATGAGAGACGTCGTTTACCAGACGGAGGATATCCACAGGGGCCTCCTGGTCTACTTGGCGTCCGGCCTGGCATGCCTGGCCTGCAGCCTCAGGGTCCTTTGGTAGGGCATGACTATTGTGCCTATGCACAAGAGCTATGTTGAACCCATTTATATACACAAAAGCGCACGAAGGTATGCATGTTGGGGTTTTTTGCTAAAAGGAGGGACTGTACTCCTGTCTGCCTCTCCAAACTAGGGGCCTGCAGACTGCCATCTACTGTAGGTAATACTGTGACTAGGGATGCCATAAATTCAGTAGTTGATTCAGATACCTGTAAAATTCCACCATTCTCAATACCAATTTGATACCCCAGTAAAGAGAAAAAACAATAAATGCCATGTACTTCAACATAAAATCTAGGGTTGGGCCTATAAACGATGCCTGACAGAAATCACATTGTTAAGCCGGCATCTTGATTGTTTGCCCCCCTGCAAAAAAGAGAATTCTCAATTTTTCACATTATACCGTCCTGTGAATACATGTTTTAATCCACACGGACATTTTTATTAAAATTAATTGTAAATCTACCTGCTTTGCACCTGCCTCGGACTTCTCTTGTCCCCACACTCGGACACTGACACACACCTACACCTCTGGGGGCCTGTATCACGAAGCGAGTTCAACATACCTCGGATATTTGGTTACCAACTCACTTTTTACTCACCTCTAGCTCTCTCTGTAGCTCAGACAATCCCTGCTACCTGTACCTACGTGTGCTAATCCATTATTTCACCCAGATTCTTTGTCTTTATAATTGCTCTCTTTATAATAACAAACAGCTGTTTCGTGTGTAGGTCCGTGTCATTTTCCGTTTCACATTTCATGTGTGTTTTCTTGACAAAACGTGGTTTGGCGACCAGCGTCGGGTGACACAGCTGCAATCAGCTCGTGTAGTGTGTGACCCCCTGTCACCGATCAGTCACATAATGTGAACACCACAGCGACTTCAAGACTCCCGTCACAAGACGGCAAGTTGTGTAGTGTGAACAGCACGGCAATCGGCCGACGCTGAAAGTTGTGTAGTCTGCACAAGCCTTAAATGAACAGACATAGTCTATAATAATGCCTTGATTTGATGTGTTCATATGGCATATATGAAAATACACTGAACAAAATTATAAACACAACACTTGCCCCATTCATCATGCGCTGAACTCGAGATCAAAGACTTCCTCTATGTACACAAAAGGCCTATTTCTCTCAAATTATTCACAAATCTGTGTTAGTGAGCACTTCTCCTTTGCCGAGATAATCCTTCCACCCCACAGGTGTGCCATATCAAGATGCTAATCAGACAGCATGGGTATTGCACAGGTGTGGCCACAAAAGGCCACTCAAATGTGCAGTTCCATCACACAGCCATGCCACAGATGCAATTGCAATTGGCATGCTGACTCCAGGAATGTCCACCAGAGGTTTGCCTGTGAATTGAATGTTCATTTCTCTACCAAGTCTCCAAAGGTGTTTCACAGAATTTGGCTTTACATCAAACGATTGCAGACCACGTGTAACCACACCAGCACAGGACCTCCACATCCAGCATCTTCTGAGACCAGTCACCCGGACAGCTGCTGCAACGAATCTTTGGTTATGCAGTCGGTTTGCATAATGGCAATGTGTTGCACTGCATAAGGCAAATGGTGGTCACACCAGATATTGACAGGTTTCCCCCAATACAATGAAACTGCACATTTTCAACTGGCCTTTCATAGTGGCCAGCCTAAGGCACACCTGTGCAATACTTATGCTGTCTGATCAGCATCTTGATATGCCACACCTGTGGATGGATTATCTCGGCCAAGGAGAAGTGCTCACAAGATTTTCTTGATTTTGACAAATTTATGAACAATATTTGAGAGAAATGGGCCACTTTGAGATTTTGTTGAAATGTAAAGTTATAAATTTTATTATTTTGTGTCCATAGAGAAAGTCTTAGTTCAGCTCATGATGAATGGGGGCAAAAACAAAAGTGTTGTGTTTTTATAATTTTGTTCAGTGTATTAGCCTTATTCTTTCAGCTCTTTGAAGACGTTGTTCCACCTCCATTTTTAGGAACTTCTTCTCGTCACTTCAAAAATGCGATTAATTCATTTAACACACTCAAAAGTGTTCCAAACATTGTTCTTAATTAACTTCAAGCACTAAAATAAAGCAATAAAATGTGCTGAAATAGTTGTTGAAAGATTGAATCTCAACATTTAGGCTACTGAAAGCTCACGTCATTACCTGCGCCCACATCGCAAAAGGTGGGGCAGAAGATGACCAGTCTCTGTGATGGACTAGAAGAAAGCTACTAAATTAAAATAAATGGCCTACGTTCATATTAAAATTAATTTCAATATCCCAACTAAACTGCTCATAATATTCAACCTCACATAAGAAAAAGAAAACCCATTTATTTTAACAGCTGCAAAAGGCTGTGTGAAAAGGACTGGGGAGGAAATAAAAAAATAAACACATTTCAAAGCAGTAAGGCGGCTTACTGCAGACACCTGTACAATAGTCGCTTACAAGGCTTTCAGTCTCTGTAGGATGAAATCGCTATACAAACGTTTCTGTATAATCACAGCAAACAAAGGCAGCCTATTTTAAAAAATAAAAGTCTGTGGGATTTCCTACAGATGGTAATGTCATTTTTCCAAGAGAGCTGATTGGTCAGTAGGCGGTGCTTTCATAGAGTTGATCTCTTATCTGGAACATAACCGGAGCAGGTCAGCCGTTCAGTATACGTTACCTTGCCGATCTACCCCGGTAAGAAGTGAACCACCTTTTTGTGGTACTGAAAACCCAGGGTTAACCCCGAAGTTATCTGAATAAGCTCAAATCCTGCTTCATGGTGCTGGCCCCTGGTCTCTCACTGTAAACACACCGGTCAGAGTCTCTCGCTCTCTCTCGCTCTCCCCCCCCCCATGCCTTTTATAAGAAGACCGCTACCACCCCTGTCCCACCCGATGTGTGGTTTTTTTTGGGGGGGGGGGGGGTTTGTAGATATTTTATAGACATCGTTCAACCCTAATACAATCCTTTTTTAATAAAAACAATTGAACATCTTTACAATCTCTGTTGTCTGAGATTTTCTATTTAAAAACGAAACGTTATTGATGATTTGAAATTATTGTATTGCACTTTTAAGACGGTCCCTAACTCTACCTACAGTAAGAGGCCCGTTGGACAGACATTCAGTTCTTAGTGCTGCAAACTGCATCGTCATCTTTGGTGATTTTCAGGTGACCTAAACTGTAAAACATCTGCAGCCGCAAAACTAATTTCACCCCAGTCTTTTAAGTCTGGTAAGATGTAGTTTTAGGGGGGTGTTTGGCATGAAGGAACTACAAATTTTTTTTGCTATGCAGCCTTATATAATGACTTATAAACTACCTTGTGCCGCGTAATAATGCAATGTGCCCTTATGATTAAAAATATAAATGCTCCGTACTTGTATAGCGCCTTTCTAGTCTTTTCGACCACTCAAAGCGCTTTTACACTACATCTGCATTCACCAGTCATACACATTCATACACTGAGCCTAAGTGCTCAAACAGAAACTAACATATACATACACTGGCGGAACAGCCGCCAGGGGCAAATCGGGGTTCAGTATCTTACCCGCTCTACCTCCTGAGCCACAGCCGCCCTGGATTACAGCGGTTTGTTTTAAGCTTTAGTTTTGATGCGCTTGATTCTTTGTCTTTCAGCCCCCACGTCGGCCTGATTCTTCAGATGACCGCTATGTCATGACTAAGCATGCAGCCATTTACCCCTCAGAAGATGAGCTCCAGTCTATCCAGAAGATTGTGTCGATCACAGAACGTGCCCTCAAACTGGTCTCGGACATAATTACAGACCAGGACAAAGCCAAGGAAGAGGACAAAGAAAAGAAGGAACCCTCTAAAGACAGGTGTGATATCCGGGCTACATATATTTCAGACGGTCTACTGAATGCAAGAACATTAGAATGGTTAGCATCCCATTGCATAGAAATACATTTTCATATCCTCAAGTAAATGCTGTACTTTGAAACATAGTCGTGCACAGGTCCAGATTTTGCAGACCCTCGGTACCAGAACCGGCCCTTTATCCCCAAACCATAAAAATATGTTCAGTTATGTGGAGTTTGCTGCATTTATATCCAGCGTTCATTTAAATGCAAATTAAAATGCAACTTTCTGTGCCTTTTTAATCCGGGCAGGACTCCCTGCAGAGTCTGAGAGTTAGATTAATGTGTCACTTATATACCTGTAGCAGTAGGCTTCTGTGTTGCATCTGCATGTTTACATTTGCAGATGCACTGCATGGTTTATGTGACACTGCTCTTTTGTTAGTGTTTTTCATCTTCCAACATGGCAGTGGGATGTAATGATTGTTGCTTGTTTTGCTTTTGCACATTTTCCCTTCCATCTTCCTTGTATGACTGTCCAGAGCCCTGAAGGGAGTGATGCGGGTTGGAGTCCTGGCCAAAGGCTTGCTGCTTCGTGGGGACAAGAACGTCAACCTGGTCCTGCTCTGCTCTGAGAAGCCAACCAAGGGCCTCCTCAACAGCATTGTGGAGCACCTTCCTAAACAACTAACAGTACTATCTTTACAAATATCACACCACAATAATTTCTTCCGTTGCCACTTTATAGGTACCTACCTCTTGGTTTGGTTGTAAAATTGGTCAGAGTAATTTACTGGGATAAATATTAAACAATAGTTTTTCTTAATGTGTGTGTGTGTGTGTTTCAATATAGTGTTATGATAGAGCCAGTCCCAGCTGACACTGGGGTACACACTGGACAGGTTGCCTGAAAAAACAAAGGGTTTATGATTTATAACAGAATGTCATCTGTGTAGATGCTTATTTTCAGCAGTGGGATATATGTAACGTTATCCCTTTGCCTAACTGAAAGTAAATGGGGATGATGTCTGTAGCTAGTGGTAATGGCAGCTGCAATGTTTTTATCTGACTTGTAAAATACGGCCCATATTTAAAGTGGCAGAGGGAGGGAAAAAGACTCTGCTCCATTGTGCATTGTTGGAGATCTAGGTATTTTTAACAGACTGAATCAAGCTGATGTTATGTAATCTACCAAATTGCTTCAGTTGAACAATGTGTACCTGTCAAAGTGGCCACTGAGTGTAGATGATCAACTAGATATGTTCCCTAGCTGTCAACTAGTTGTTTGTACAATGGACTTGGAAATAATGTTAGCACATTTGCATCTACACCATTTCTTCCAGATGGTAACACCAGAGAAATATGAAGTCACTGGATCTATCCAGGAGGCAGCCATCATTCTGACGTCCTGTACCGAGCCAAAGATGCAAGTGACAATCACACTGACTTCACCTGTCATCAGAGAAGAAACTGGCCGGGATGGAGGTTGGGAAACCATCACAGCCTGTCCATTGCACCTCCTTTTATTGTCTTTCTGCTATCATTCTATGAAATCAGTTTAAATATGTTTGTTGGCACCCTGAAGAGCACGGTCCTGCTGGCACTCTATAAAGATTGTTTTGTTGGGCCTAAATCAGATTGTCCTTGCAACTTGCTCTTTTATTTATGATTCATTTGGATTTCAAAATATGGAATGACAGGGTTACCAAGGAAGTGCAAGCTCACCATAGTTAATGCTGGGGTAGGTAATGTTTGAGAACTAGCAAGACTGCCTCTTTTCCCCTTGGGGATAAATAAAGTATTTCTGATTCTGAGGAAAAAGGCCCCTGCTCATCAGACTTCCCTCCAAAGCCACTCCCCCCAACACATGTTCATGCACAGTGAGTGCACGGGCAGAGTGTGCACAGACAGGTGGTAGGGCAGCCAATCATTTCATTTGGACTGAATGAAATGATTGGTCGTGCTTGTTACAGGCCTGCGACAGCCACAGATTTTTTTTCCTTTTTGTTTCATTCGACTTATTGATTGCTGAAAGAACTTTAACCGATATAACCAAAAAATGCTTCTGAAATACATTACCTACCCTAGCTTTAATAACTTTATGTTGACGTCTCGTTCTTTCAGGGTTTTTTGTGCACAGCTGATGACCTGCAAATATTACATTTTTAATAAAACCTTTGTTTAAATCTTTTCAATGAAACAGCAGATTTAGATTATCTGCTTTTACTGGTCTAAGGTTTAAGCCTGAGAGATTTTTTTTTCTCAGTGAATGCTCTTTTTAATTATGTGGGGCAGATCACTTCTAGTGTAAAATAAAACAAAATGCAAGAAGAGGCAAGTGCCAGCAGTATTGCTCTTAGGCTTTTAGCTCTGTAACTCCTACCTCTCAAATGCTGTCTTTATCCTTTGAACAAAGCATGATCATGGTTTGCATTGTGTTAAGTCCTATTATTCTCAGGTGAGATTCTATTTTGTTTCCTGTGTTACTGGGGATTCTGTTTCCATTTTGTTAGCGATAATCAGTGTCTGACATGCATTACAGTATTTCTCCAAACTTTCTTTTAGATGAGACAAAAAGTTTAATTTGGAATTTATTGCACAAAGAGGTTTTTGTAGTCCTTTCTCAAATCAAGATTTGGCCAAGGAAATTGGATATTTTCCCACAGGAAACAAATTTTCAAACAGTTCACCATGCTGAGGTCCCCTGTTCTGAAGTGCTCCCCTGAGTAGATTGACATGTTCCTTTTACACACAAGACTCAAAATTGGTCAAAATAGAGATAATTAGTTTGGTTCAGCAAAAATGAAAACCTTTGACACTCATTTTGATTTCACTGACTATGGAAAGATGGGACAAATCCTTTAAAGATGGATATTTTTTTCTTTTGAATTAATTGACAGTGGAAAGATGAAGAGTAATCATGACTATATTGCTTTGAAATCTGATTATTTCAAATTATTCTAAGGGGAGGATTGTTACATGTTCAGGTAAAAAGCCTATGAGGAATCTTTGGTTGGACCTGAGTACAGCCTTTGGTATACAATGATTGTTGGGGTCTTATTCCAACCTACTGATGTTAGATATGCATGCAGTGATATCCTAACCCCTTTTGTTTGCTGGTAGTTCTCATGTTTTATTTCTCTTCTTCAGCACCCATTGCTTTCCTCCTTTTTATATTTGTAGTAATATAAGTCCAGCACAAATATCCCTTTTATTTCTTGAAGAAGGAAAAAAAAAAAAACAGATTCCCAGTACATTGTCTCCCATCAGAGGTTTAGTAGGGCCCAACAGCTTCGGAAGGATTTTTGACCAAGGTTTTCTCACATCCCAAAAACTTTGCCACACCTACTATTGCCATGCCACTTTTTTTTTATCAGGTCGCTTCCTATTAGCCATTGTTCATAGTAATTATTAATAGTCATGGAATCCCTCCTCTGTCCCAGTGTTTGAACTAAGTAAATCTGATAAAATTCAAAATTCCCATGGTACTTACCAAGGTAATGGAAAATTTCTAACACAATTACCTGATAAAATGGTATTGGCTTCAAAACATTTTGACCTAAACCCATGTAATTTAACTAGACTGTTGCTTTTCAAACATAGCAATTTGTCTTCAATATAATGACTTAACAGATAGTCAATGTAAACGCAATTTGTATCTATCCACTCACTTTGACAATGTGTTGGTTTGTGTAGTCAGTCTTATAATATTAGTAACCTACAAAATAAGCAACCAACTCTAGGTTGTCATGGGAATAAACGCTGGTATGTGTGGCAATGTGTTTGTTCTTTGCCAGCCTCGCTGACCTGGTCAAACACCCATTCCTCATCACCATTTTGACAATTCAAATCCATTTTTAGATGTAACCTCGGGTATGGTGAAAGACCCAGCGGACGTCTTGGACAGGCAAAAATGCCTTGACGCTCTGGCTGCTCTGCGCCACGCTAAGTGGTTCCAGGTTCGGAACATCATTTTACTTTCTTCTTGTAGCCTTATGAGATGCTTATGTTTATTTATTTGTGTTTTACACATTTGGTTTTCATTTTATTATAATGATGAAAATTATTACTATTTGAAGCAAAAAAAATATTCAAGGATGCCACCTATTACAACAAGGATCTGGTTAATGTCCATATGTATTGATTATAAATCTAAGTTAATTTGAAGCTCTTACATGAAAAATATACTCTAGCAATGAACTGGCATCCTTGTATTCCCTTAAAATTTCTCCAAGTACTGCATTATAGTTACATGTGATTCCATAAGGCTGCACAATAACTTGCACAAAGTTGTGCCACAAGAAGTGCTTTCATGTTCAACGTTTGTATTGTTTTTATTCTGTATATTTTGTAGAATGGGGATTGAGAGAAAAAGGAATATCTGAGTAGTTTCCTGTGATTCTGCTACCTGAGCAAAAGCATAGGCAAAGTAAAGCAGATTTCCTTTGCTCTTTCAGTCCTTATACTCTCCCCTCAGGTGGACTCTTGTACTTTAAGTACCTGTTTGTGAGATACCTGGTTAAACCTGGGGTCAGGGTTTAGAAGATGGCAAGAAAAGTCGTAATTTCTTGTGCATCTTGCAAACTTTGAACTCCCTTACTAACTGTGAGGTACAAGACTACTGGGAATGGCAGCTGATTGCAAACCTTTATGGCTCATACGCACCTCCAACCATACTCCAGCTTCCATTATGCACAGTAGTGTTTGGACCTCAATGATAGAACTGATTCACTTGTTTGGTCCATCTCTTGTCACTCTTGAACACTCCGTAAACCTAACTTTATTACATCAAAAGGCTAGAGCCAATGGACTTCAGTCCTGTGTGATCATCATCCGAATCCTGCGAGACCTCTGTCAGCGAGTTCCTACATGGTCGCCCTTCCCAGGATGGGTAAGTAATGTTATTTAAACATGCTTATGAACACACAGGCACACAGTGGGGAGGCGGGCCACACTGGTGGCAACAGGCAGGTGACACAGGCGGACAATAGGGAGGAAAGCAGCACAGCAGGGGAAGACAGTCAGTATCCTGACTGAAAACTTCAGAAATTGGCATGGAATGTGTTTTGTGTGTTTGTTTTTTTTTTTGTTTTGTTTTTAAATGGCTCAGGACACAAGGGCTCTGCGGCTGGTGATTAAAACCACTCAGAAAATCATTGTTCCCCATCTACTGAGCATCAGTGATATCTGTGAGGCGAGGGGCCTGCAGAGACCAAAGGATACTAAAGGACAGTACCCAACCACACATACACTGTTCACCCTACTGCCGTCTGTGCCAAGAATTACATCATTACACCACCACCAGCCTGAACAGTTGATACAAACAGGATGGATCCATGCTTTCATCTTGTTTATGCCAAACTCTGACCCTACCATCTGAATGTCGCAGCTGAAATTGAGAATCATCAGACCAGGCAACGTTTTTCCAATCTTCTATTGTCCAACTTGACCCTGTGTGAATTGTAAATCAGTTTCCTGTTCTTAGCTGAAAGAAGTGGCACCCGGTGTGGTCGCCTTCTGCTGTATCCCATCTGCTTCAACGTTCGGCATGTGCGTTCAGAGATGGTGTTCTGCATACCTTGGTTATAACGAGTTATTTGAGTTGCTGTTGCCTTTCTGTCATCTCTAACCAGTCTGTCCATTCTCCTCTGACACCAAGGCATTTTCGTCCACACAACTGCTACTAACTCGATATTTTCTCTTTTTCGGACCATTCTCAGGCGTAAACCCTAGAGATGGTTGTGGGTGAAAATCCCAGTAGATCACCAGTTTCTGAAATACTCAGAGCAGTCTGACACCAACAACCATGCCACGTTTTAAAGTCACTTTAAATCCCCTTTCTTCCTCTTTCTGACACTCAGTTTGAACTTCAGCAAGTTGCCTTGACCACGTCTACATAGTTGCTGCCATGTGATTCGCTGATTAGCTATTTGCTAACAAGCAATTGAACATATACCCGTTTAATTGTCTGGCTTAATAAACTGGCTGATTTCGGTTTACCATTTTAGAATTTTTCAGCTACAGTATGTAATTTAACTCATGACTGTGATGTTACAACCCAAACTCACAGCCCAACCAATCAACAAACGCACACGTATACATTTACAGCTGAGGATTGCGGCTTACGTTTGCTAGCCTTCAACTCAACAATCAATCATGCTTTCAGTCAAATGGCATGTTGGTAATAGTAATATTTGCCTTGTAAACAATTACTGTAAGTAACATGTCTATCATAATACAAGTGGAGATTGTATTTGCCAGACATTTAAGCCATCTTTACTGTTCACTCTGTTCAGGCTATGGAGTTGCTAGTTGAGAAGGCCATCAGTAGCAGCTCTGCCCCCCTCAGCCCAGGTGATGCCCTGAGACGTGTCTTTGAATGTATTTCATCTGGGATTTTACTGCCTGGTAAGATCTTGTTTCTTCTTTTTTTTTCTTTTTTTTTTTTTCTGTACAATTATATGCATTCACGTTGCTGTATCTACATGCACTAATGTTATCTGACTGTTCCTGTAAACAAAACTCAATACTTCTATAAAGTTTCTGGAAGATGCGTTGAGTTTCACTCATGGTAACTTAACGCCTTCTGTGTGGGGGGGGAAACTCAAAGTGAATAGCTGATGTGACCTTTGCTGTACTGATGAACTGCAGTGGAAATGGACATTACACAGAACTTATCAAGACAACAAGTAAACATAGAGGAAGTGTAGAGTTTACATTAACTGGGAAATGGGGGGAATTAAAAATATGGGCTGCCTCTTATACTAGCCTGTCCAAAATAAAGGTGTGGTTCTCTCTGCCACTGAGGTAAGTAAAGACCACTTAGGGTACACTTTTTATGCATATTTAACTTTAATACATGTGGCCCTAAAACAGAGTGCATTGTTAAATCTCAGATTCAAGAGGAGCAATCGACTAAAGTCTCCTTTCCATCACCCTGACAAAAACCTTCCCAGGGAGGGGGGGGGGAGGGGTGCTTTTTAAAAAAAAAAAAAAGAGGAAACAAAATTTCTGTTAGGGCCGCCTGCCACACAGATGTGAAACACTAGAAGCAACATTATATCATAACTCATGTGCTAACTGTCTGTTATCTTACCTGGGTATTATTTACACTTGCCACCTGGGGCAACAAATAGTAAGGTGCTACACAGCTGATAATTGCTTTACTAAATGGACCAAAGAGACCAATGAGGTCGATTTCATTTTTCAAATCAATTAATCTTAACGACTATTGTTTAGTCAATTCATCTTAACTAATTTATTTATTATTATTTTAAAGATATTTTTCTTATGACTTAATAAATACTGATAACAATTTAACCAAAATAAATGTCAAAAACTTGAAAAAGTGACACAGAAAGCACGTTAGAATAATGGTAGCATATGTTAAAATTAGTCTAATTTCTACATCACTGCTGTGTTGTGATATCAATAATTAGTCAGATGCAGGATCAGAAAAATACTGAACCTCAAATTCAAAAGGATTGCTGTGACACAGATAAATTTAAACACTATGTAAACCTTATCCTGAACTGGAGAATCAGTATTTTTCACTTTGTATGATCTAGGATCCAAGGAACCTGAAATTTGGTTATGATAAAGTAGGTAAGTTATAATAATATGCAAGATTTTTGCAACATTGCACTCCAGACTTCAAAAATCACAAGAACGTTCAAGAGTTGAAGCTTTTTGCATCGTGTCTTGCAAAATGTGAAGGACCTTGTGGAACTATGCGGTGCCCAGTTATTTACAAATGGGCCTGAACGATTTTGAAAAATCTTAATTGTGTGGTTTTTTTTTACCAATATTGCGATTAAATATGCGATTAAATTTTTTTGCTCTTTACCTTTTTTTTTATTATTCAAGACCAGCAGTAAATCGGTGTATAGTTTGACCAACACAGAATTAAATAGATTAAACATACACTGTTCTATCCTGTAGGTCAGGCCTGTGTTATGATGAAAAGTGATGCATGAATTATTATGAGCAATGGTGGAGAAGAAGTATAAAATTTTGATAATGTGAGAAAGATAACTTGAGTATAATATGATGCAATATCATCAGGTCTGCTTACCCACAGATGACAAGAAAAACTAAGTTCACCACAGTGTATTATACAGTAAGTGCTCAATACAAAACCCACAGTTCAACTGCCAACGGAGTCCTTATCTCAGTTCAAATCTGAGTCCTTCATTCTATATCCCTGTAAGCAAAGAAAAAACACTCAACAAAAACCAGCCAACAAAATAAAACCAAGTGACACCCCTCCTGTTTAATAGACAAGCTTAGTAATTCTCCGACAACAGCGGTTTTGTCTATATGAAAAGTTTGCGATGATCGGTATTAATACAGAGGACAATGAAGATGTGATGAAATGAGTTAATGCCATTTTATTTCTTTGAACAGGTGGGCCAGGATTGGTAGACCCTTGTGAAAAGAAGCCTGTGGATACCCTAACAGCTATGGGAGAGCAACAGAGAGAAGACATCACCTCAAGTGCCCAGGTACATGCTGTTTAAATTATACATGAATCAGGTTGATTGAGACCAAGCAATTGTAATTGAGTGCTTTGAACAATTACTTTGTCAGTAATAGTTTGTCAGTTCCTGTTGATGTCAATATCTTTTGTACTTTTAGAGTGGTATAATTGGGTATTAAATTGTCCTTATGTCATTATCTGTCCTTAGGTGTACCACCTTTTTGCCAGCTCTTTCTGGCAGTAAAATCCAAATATAGTATATAGTTGGATTACTCTAATGAAGATGAAAGGTGTCTTGTATTTGCCTTGGCTTACACTAAAAGTCCTTGGTTTAAAATGTTCTTTCTGTGTTTCCATACAGTTTGCTCTGAGGCTGCTGGCATTCCGTCAGATCCATAAGGTTTTGGGTATGGACCCTCTGCCGCAGATAAACCCTCGCTTCAACATCCGCAACAGCCGCAAGCGTCGCCGTGACAACAGCGATGGGACAGACAGCTTCGAGGGTGAAGGCAAAAAGGACAAAAAAGATTATGATAGTTTCTAAGTTTCTCTGTTACTAATTTAAAGTAATCTACATACAGAAATCCACGAACATGTTGTATGCGCTGTCTTCTGTGTATTGGCTAAGGTCCAGAGTTGTTAGTTTTCCTTTTTTAAGCTTCAGATGTACCAGTTTAATTGCAGCCTCACTCGGTATTACACAAACAAAACTGTCACATTTGTGTACTGTATTAGTTGTAGATTTCTTAAAGATGGGGTTCAGAACTCTCTGTACTAGATACAGCAGTTTTTAAACTATCTTCTGACAGTGGCTCTGATGCTAACAGCGGCTTCTTAAGCTGCCGCTGGTCCCCCCTGAACTGTTTTCTGTTCTTCATTTAAGTTGTGGGGGACGATAGAGATTGTAGGATCAAAAATGTTGATGCCTTTATTCATCTGTATAGTTGCATTCGGAGGTGGACTATGTTACTATTGTGAAGCACTAATTTGGCAAACTTCATTTTCTTCTGAATATTAATTACTGTGCTTAATACAAGTGGTGATTGATGCTGTGGTCTTGTTATGTCTCAATGCTAGGCTACACTTAAGCTAAAAGACCTATGAGTCATTGCACAAAGATTCAGAAGAACTGTTGATAGATATTTGTTAGTATTGAAGTTGTCAGCCCTAAATGTAGTTTTGTCTTTTCATTTTCATATATATGAAAGTATTTGTATAATCTTTAAATATCTAAAAATGCTTTGGTTTGTGGAAAACATAGCCATGTTCATATTGCTTACTCTACTGGCTTTTAAAATGTGTTTTCCTGGTTAATAAGGAACTTTATTGGCTTGCTTGCCTTTTAACTTGGTTAGGTGCTAAATGAAGTTCAATACTGGAAATAAAATTAAAAAATCATTACTGGGGATGGTAATGTACTTGCCCTTCAGTGTAGGTCCCATTGTGAATGCTTGCCGTACTCTGCATTCTGCTTTACATTTCCAGTAGCAGAATAAATATATTTCCAGACTGAACACATGTGTATATTCTGTTTATGTACAGTGGTTTATCACATGGTATACAGTGTAAACACAATATTTCAGGCAAGGTTAGCATCAAGCCTATTTGCTGTTTCTTACCTACAGTAAGTATTGTATGTATTTTTTTTAAATCTCTCTGAAAAGGATTCTTCTTTCCGTTTTTAAACTAAGTTTGGAGTGTTCTGTTGTGTTTGTTACGAGCCTGTAAAAACACAAAATGGGAGATTTGAACAGAGTAATTAAATTATGAAATGTACTAGCAGCCAGCCTATTCCGTGAATTCAAATGAGGAGCATATGGGCTAGTGCTATTCGAATGTGAATCTCTACCACCTATTCAGGGACAAGGGCAGTATGCACCACATTAGGGTTTCAATCCATGTTAATCTTGAGTTGATAGAAAACCACCATTTTCCGTTCCAGAAACCCATGATAACTTAAACTTAAGGTGCTCAATGGCTGATTTTCAGTCAAGGGCAGACTGACCATCGGGGAAACCGGGACTTTTCAGGGTGGGTTGCTGGACAGTTGAGCCAATAAACTGGAGACAAAAACCTGCAGTTGAAAATTGATTGGTCTGTGTTAATCAACGTCCATGGCACAGATTCTAATGTTTTATGCACATTGGACTCATCGCCTAGAGTTTCAAAAAGTAAGTTTTGCACATTTCAAAGACCATATTCTGGGTTATTCAATCATAAATTCACAATCAGAAAAGCATCAATAGCCTACAGATGCAAACAATGAATAAATAATATACAGGTGCTGGTCATAATTTAGAATATCATCAAAAAGTTGATTTATTTCAGTAATTCCATTCAAAAAGTAAAACTTGTATAATGTATACATTCATTCCACACAGACTGATATATTTCAAGTGTTCATTCCTTTTAATATTGATGATTATAACTGACAACTAATGAAAACCCCAAAATCAGTATCTCAGAAAATTAGAATATTGTGAAAAGGTTCAATATTGAAGACACCTGGTGCCACACTCTAATCAGCTAATTAACTCAAAACACCTGCAAAGGCCTTTAAATGGTAAATGCTAAAGACAAAAAGGACTGGACTGCTGCTGAGTGGTCCAAAGTTATGTTCTCTGATGAAAGCAAATTTTGCATTTCCTTTGGAAATCAAGGTCCCAGAGTCTGGAGGAAGAGAGGAGAGGCACAGAATCCACGTTGCTTGAAGTCCGGGTGTAAAGTTTCCACAGTCAGTGATGGTTTGGGGTGCCATGTCATCTGCTGGTGTTGGTCCACTGTGTTTTTTGAGGTCCAAGGTCAACGCAGCCGTCTACCAGGAAGTTTTAGAGCACTTAATAATTCCTGCTGCTGACCAACTTTATGGAGATGCAGATTTCATTTTCCAACAGGACTTGGCACCTCATACCATCTCACTCAGGACAGTGCTCCAGATTTATAATTTAGCAGTACTCCCCATCCTGCTCTATGGCTCCGAGACCTGGACTTTAAATAAGACACTGGCTGCAAGACTAGATGGCTTTGACAGCAGGGCCATGAGGACCATAGAGAACATCAGGTGGCCCCAGCGGGTTTCCAATCAAGTGCTTAGAACCCAGCCCAGAGCATCTGGTCTGGCTGTGCAACGCCGCACCCGCTGGTTTGGCCATGTCCTCCGCCTCCCTCTTGACCATCCAACGAGAGCCATTCTCCAGTTTGATCCGAGAGCTGCAGGTTGGAGACGACCACGAGGTAAACCCCGTACCCAAGGGCTCAACGTTCTCGCGGGTGACCTCCAACAACACGGAGTTGCTGTGGAGGATGCAGAGCAGCTGGCTCAAGATCGTCAGCACTGGAAACATCTGGTTCATCTGGTCGGCTCAACACACAGGGATGGGACCCCATACCCATTGCAGGAGCCAAAATAAAAAATAATATACTTGGCACTTGCACACAGTGCCAAAGCTACTAGTACCTGGTTTAAGGACCATGGTATCCCTGTTCTTAATTGGCCAGCAAACTTTGCCTGACCTTAACCCTATAGAAAATCTATGGGGTATTGTGAAGAGGAAGATGCGATACGCCAGACCCAACAATGCAGAAGAGCTGAAGGCCACTATCAGAGCAACCTGGGCTCTCATAACACCTGAGCAGTGCCACAGACTGATGGACTCCATGCCACGCCGCATTGCTGCAGTAATTCAGGCAAAAGGAGCCCCAACTAAGTATTGAGTGCTTTACATGCTCATACTTTTCAGTTGGCCAACATTTCTAAAAATACTTTTTTTGTATTGGTCTTAAGTAATATTCTAATTTTCAGAGAGATACTGAATTTGGGATTTTCATTAGTTGTCAGTTTTAATCATCACAATTAAATGAAATAAACATTTGAAATATATCAGTCTGTGTGTAATGAATGAATATAATACCCAAGTTTCACTTTTTGAATGGAATTTACTGAAATAAATCAACTTTTTGGTGATATTCTAATTATATAACCAGCACCTATAAAGGCATTCTGACTGAGGCACTAGACTGTGTAGGTCTACCCCGACTTCACGAGTAGCAGCTGAATTACATCACAAAACAATATCAGCGCCCATGGAAGCACACATTGTAAATAGTAAACTGTTGTGTTTTCAGATTTTGAGACAGGAGAGGCTGAGTCCAATCAAAATCAACAAAAAGATTTAATTACAAAATTGGCGAATAAAAAGATGGCATTACAGAACAAATAACACTGCAGTGGACTGAAAAGTTGGTCCTCCTTTTAGATTTACAGCTTTCAGTCCTGATTCTCACAAAATGAGTTGTTAATATCCTCTAGGTATGTGGGCAGGTCCGTTTTCCTCCAAATGGCTTAGGACCATAGTCATCGGTCGTTTGATTAACTTATTTGGGACCCAATTAGGAAGGTGTACCTTTATTGTTCTACATTACTTTTGGTCAATCAAAAGAGCACCAATACCAGACGTAAACATCCTTTTATCTATGGGAACAGCCTTTTCTCTAAACTAGTCATACAGAACAACAGGGGTGGTCTCCAAATGGTCGAAACCCAATCTTAGATGTCTATAAAACAGTTAAACAAAAGAATCCTTCTGTCAGTTTTCTTCACATTACAAAGAGGATATAATGGTTTAATTAACATTCTGATGCAATCACCTGGCCTAAAACCCAGCAGGTGACATTTTCAGAAGACAGAGAACACTGAAATACCTTTGGTAAGAAATATCGGCTTTGTTGTAACTTTTCAAACTCTACAAAACCATAAACTAAAAAGCAAGACTGACTTCAGGGTTACCAATTGATGTAGCTAGAGGGGTACACAGAACTAGTAAAGTATAGGCTATTTATGTCAGCTGTTGCAATTAAACTGCCATCCTTTTAATTAACAACTAAGGTGAGGGTGCAACTGTGTGTACACTCTGTCACGGTCAGCCATGGTTTTCGTTCACTTTCGGCGTCATGCACCACCATGCACCTGGAACGCTTTGAGGTTGGACTTTCGGAAGTTTCAACTTGGAAATATCCCAGTTCTGACCAGTCTCAAACGCGGCATTAGAGCCGACTGACAGCTGATCGAGATCAGATCAGATGTGATCAGCTGCTGCCGTCATCAGAAACGGACGTCGCTTCACGTGACACTTCAAGGGACGTCTCATCTCTCTAAATCATGGACTTCCTCGACTCCTCGAGGTGCATTTTAGGAATTGAGATGTCCTTCAAGATGGCGCGCTGATATCGATTTCCAGGTCACATGCTGATGAGGATCGAGCAAGGGGGTAAGCCAGACATCGGGCAGTGAAGCCGACCAAAGCCTGCAAACCGGTCGACTGATAATAACACAGCACAGCGAAAAGTTGAAGTCAATTGGACTAATTCCCAAGGAGGAGTTCATGAAAGTAAGGAGTATGTAAATCGCTAAAAAAAATGACCAATAAATTCAAAATGGCCGACTTCATGTTGGGTGTAGGCAATCGTTTCAAGAGGCATTTTTGTATGTCTGGACGTGATACACGTACCACAGAAATTTCGTACATGTAGGTGAAAGTTAGTTCGTGGGCTGCTCTGTAGAGGGTGCCAGCGAGCCATTTTGCCATGCCCATGCCTGAAACCCATACACTACGAAATTCTTCGCCACTCTTGAATTTTGTGCAAAGTTTGGTGAGTTTTTGAATAAGTTGAGCCCCCCAAAATTGAGGTTACTTTGCAGAAAAAAGTCTGAAAAAATTAAAGCTGCAAGCAGCGGGCCCTCTCACGTGTAGCGTGTCGAGGTGTGAGGTGGCTGCCTTGAAAATTCTGGCGGTGTGGCTGTAAATTTGCCATGGGCTTCGGACACTGCACAAACGTGTTAATCATCACTTCTTGTGTCCCCTTTTTGGCGTTACATAGCACTTCCCACTATGACTATAACTGAACATGTAGATGTGTTCGGGGCAGGACAGTTATCAAGCACATCAAGTTTGGTGCAGATGTGAGCATGTACACTGAAGTTAAAACAACTTCCTCTTTCATGGCAAATCATCAATTTTGGACGCCACAGGCATGCCGTTTCACGAAAACCCACCATTTGTTCAACTTTTAATCATCAAGGGCTTTAGAGTAGGCAAGGAAAATCTGAAGTCAGTCAGACTAATTCTCTAGGAGGAGTTCGTAAAAGTACGGAGCCAGTAATGACAAAAATGACAATAAAATTCCTGTTGGGTTTGGGGTATTGCTCCAAGAGGCTTTTTGGTGCGCCTGGACATGATACATGTGCCATAGAAATTTCATACATGTAGGTGAAACGTGCCATGGGGGCTGCTTCGTTAAAGGCCATTTCCTGTTGCCAGCAGGTGGCGCTGTGACTTTGAGTGAATATTGTATGCATTGCATGTGGATGTGTTCAGGGTGGGACTTTTATAGTACATTCCAAATTTGGTACAGATGTGAGCATGTAGACTGAAGTTACAACAACTTCCTGTTTTCTGACGAATCATCGATATTGGACGCCACGCCATGGCCATGCCGTTGCACGAAATCTCACCATTTGTACAACTTTTAATCATCAATGGCTTTAGAACGCACAGTACAAATCTGAAGTCGATCGGACTAAATTCGTAGGAGGAGTTCGTGAAAGTATGGAGTGTGTAAATCATCCAAAAATTACCATAAAATTCAAACTTCCTGTTGGGTTTAGAGCATCGCTCCAACAGGCTTTTTGGTACGTCTGGACATGATACATGTGCCACAGAAAGCAGGTGGCGCTATGACTTTGAGTGAATATTGGCATATCGATGTATTCAGGGCGGGACTCTTATAATGTATTCCAAATTTGGTGCAGATGTGAGCATGTAGACTGAAGTTATAATAACTTCCTGTTTTATGGCGAATCATCAATTTTGGACGCCACGCCACGGGCACGCCGTTCCATGAGAATTCACCATTTGCAAAACTTTTAATCGTCATTGGGTTTAGACTGCACAGCACAAATCTGAAGTCGGTCAGACTAATTCTCTAGGAAGAGTTCATTAAAGTACAAAGTGTGTAAATCGCCAAAAATGACCATTAAATCCAAAATGGCCGACTTCCTGTTTGGTTTAGGCAATTGCTCCAAAAGGCTTTTTGGTACATCTGGATATAATACATGTGCCACAGAAATTTCATACATGTAAGTGAAACGTGCGGCAGGACCTGCTTCTTTGAAGGTCAAAGTCGCTATGAAATGCGCCAATCCCATAAAATACAAAATTCTTCGCCACGTCTGAATTATGTGCAAAGTTTGGTAAGTTTTTGAATATGTTTAGGCCCCCAAAACTGAGGTTACTTTGAGGAAAAAAGAAAGGAAGAAATCCCCTCAGTTTCAATAGGGACCTCACACGTTTCGAACTCGGGCCCTAATAATCTCTTTAATTTCAATAGGTACCTCGCAGGGTTCTTGCTCGGGCCCTAATAATTTATTTTTAAACTAACACCTAACTACTACCAGTATGTGGTAATTACGATATTTCGAGGAAGTCACTGAAGGCAGCATGGGTGCATCTGAATCGTATTTGTTGTTGATAGTGAGCAGCATCCAGCAACACACCCTAAGCGCAGGTGGATGAAATGGAACTGATTTTTTATTATCGTTTTGATCATCTTAATAGTTATAAAGTGAGGACTACCCGCTGAAGGGAAGTGTTTTAAACATGAAGAGACCCCCGAGGCTGTTTCACAAACGTTGAGCTAACCGCAGCTGTTAACTTATTTTACCCTGCTGGTGGGGATTAGACTGGTTGCGCACATCTAACGTTAGTGCTGTAACGTTATACTTTACAAGGTAATGTCAGTTATGTATTTTTTTTCTGGGCGGCCATTAAATCCTCAGAAAAACAGTTAAACAAAATAAATGTTTCTCCTGTACGCTATATTATTTAGCCATGGTGTCGGTTGTGTTAGGCCTCAAGCCATGCCTCGGTCCACAGTTCGTGTGTGAATCCGACAAAACGTTATTTCGAGACACTGGCGCGTAATGAAGGGAAAGAGCCGCTACAGCGGGGCAGTAAACACCAGAGTTTAGCTCTTGTGTGAAAGTAAACTTAACGTTAGTATGTAGTTACAGTAAATTATTTGCTATGTTGTAACGGTTTCCTTCTGTTAATGTTTTATAAACTGCATAAGCTAATGTACATCGATATTAAGTAAGTTATTGATTCAATGAGCCTGTTGATATAACGTACGTGCGTTTGCAGACGTGATGACGGCTAACGTGATATAGCTAGCTGTGATGTTCTGTGCTAACAACCAACATCTATGCTTACATTTCTACTGAAATGAAACGGCACGAGAATTACTTAACGTTATGTTACTATGCTGTGCTGTGAATGTAGATTAACGATACAGCAGCTTTTATGTCATCGTGGAAACCTCCTAAGGTTTTCTCTGCAAAGCTAAATGTGTGTATAGTGAATTGTTACGTTAACGTTAGTCGTCGAAACTCTCCTCTTCATATCTGACAATATGGAATTCACAGCTCTCATGCTACCTACATCTAGTCCCCCTAGTTTGTTTGGAGCAGGGTTAATATAACCAGGCTTGCCCTCTCCACCTCGGCTCATCTCTTATTAACACTAGTAACTTTTCAGTGTGTCTCTTCCTCCAGGGCTGGGTCGCAGACATGCACCCACCATCTCGACAGGACTATGTAGCTATAAGCTTTGCTAGACAAGGAAGTGGAAGCTACAGTAACAGTAAGCAGTGGAGGAGGCAGTCCTGCTGGAGGGTGAGTGATCCCCATCTATGAGCTGCTTTGAAAGACCTTTCTTCTTCTTCTCTAGACTTGACGGTGCTCTGGTTTCCCACTCTGCAAAGACCTGCGAAGTACAATGCTATTGTGTTCCACTTTAGCCCAGTGCTGGCTTTAGTTGTCGATACTTTCCAACATATGCAAAAAGATTTAGAGGATTAGAAGAATCCTTGGTCTTCTTTTCTGTGCTGTGAGGTAGAGCTGGGTGTTGTGCCTGTGGTGAAATATTCAGAGTTTACTATAAATTTTTAAGGACAGAGTTATACCAAAAAAGGAATGACAAAACATACAACAGTTCTCAAAGTATCATTGCACAGGCTTTAATAAGTTCAAGTTTCTGTTGATTTGTCATTCCATCTATTAAAGAAATGCATGTTGCATATTTGAGATATTCCTGTGATCCTTTGAATAAAAGCTGTGGAGAAGCTGAAAATAACTGCAGACCACTTCTTGTCTGTTTTTATCATCAAATTGTGTTGGTCAGCTGCAGCATACCTGCAGCAACACAGTAATGTTGTGCTTGTGGATGAGCCACACAACTCAGTACAAATGTGCAGTCGAATCTTCATCGCTGCATAAGTAAGCGTTTAGATAGCAGTTCCTTCGGTTCTATGACTATGTGTAAGCTGTTGCAAACGATATACTTTACTAATGTTACATAAAATCTATATACCCGTACTACCCAAAGATATTAGACTTTATTCATTAAAAAAATATGTAGGAATGTATTCCATTTGTGAAAGCAAGTCAAAGTGGTCTCCTCAGAATTAGTGCAGTTGTGATACCAATTTCCAATAGTGCATTTAGCAACTTATTTTGCATATACTTCTGTACTTATTGCACTAATTTAAGTTAAGAGGTGGAATGGTGATGCGTACAAGTATGATATAGGGTAGTTGATCCATTCTTTAATGAAAGCCTTGGGTCTGGCATAATGGGGAAAGTTACAATGTTAGCAGCATGGTAATTTGACTCTTCAGAGAGTGGTAACATTACCCCTACTTTTGTATGTTGCCATATTATGCGACCAAAAGTGTTACGGTATCAGTATAAAGATGTACACTGCCAGGTGGCTTAGCAGAACTTGAACAGCCTTGGTGGTGGTGTGTGAATGATTAGGTTCATGGTTTGTTTTTAGAAAGCATAAAGGACATCATCTTAGCTGTGCTGCCCCTCACATGATCAGTACACCACAGCAGTTTTCCTATTCACACCTTTGTAGCACCACATTGATTTGAGTGATGACACCTGCTTGTTTGGTACCATAGACATTCTCCAGAAACTGGATAGAATTTGGCATTATTCTCCATCTTCCTCTCTTCTGCATACCTACAGAAATGGAAGCAGCTGTCCAGGCTGCAGCGGAGCCTCATCCTTTTCATCCTCGTCCTCCTGTTTATTTGTGGAATTGCTTCCTATCCTGCTGTAACTGAACACATCAGAGGTAATGCTATTATATTTTAAACATCTCCTTATGATATCCCTTTAATCTGAGTCTCTGGCATGCTGTCAGAGCTTTCAAGGAGCTGGAGCTGTTAAATGGCAACAGAATAATTAGTTTTTTAAAAGGTGAAGTTAAGGCAAGCATATTGATCATTTATCAGTTTGACAGGGGATCCTGGGGCTTCTAACCCGTGACCTTCAGTAATCATTAGCCTTGCCACTATTGAACTAATGTTGCTGCATTACTGTAATGCTTTTATACTAAATTTGCTTGTGTGTGTGTTGAGGCCTTACAGATGGCGAGCAAGACACAGACAGTAACAGCATCCTGAGGCCTGTCATCCCTCATGTGCCACCTCTCAAACAGGGCCCACCACCACTGCCAGAACAACCCTCCCAGGTTTCTATATATATGCTTCTCTTCTTTGAAGGGAAGCACTGGGTTTTATATTCAATGTCAATATATATATTTGGATAGACAGATTGTGTTATTCAGGTGACTGTAGTGAAGAGTTGGAGTTTTGTTTTGGAATTAGATAGTTGGTAGTGTTGTACCGAATGTTTTTTTACATTCAGAGCTTCCATTGAGGTTTTCGAATGAAGCTTCAAATTTCTGGCTCTCTTTGAAAGAGATTTGAATAAAGGGACATTTTAAATAAATTCAAATGATGTGATTGAGTGGTCAAGCTTCAGAGTACATGGGGAGAGTGAGCTGTGTGAATCAGGGAAATTGAACGTTATGTCGCTCTGCAATTTCACCGCCAAAACACTGGTGGTGGGGTTTCTGTGTTCCATTGTGATGACTTTTGCTGGTGAGCCGGCTAACTTCCGGTCTGGCCCTTCGCTAGCTTGAATGGGGTTAAAATGATAATGGTGAATACGGTGGCCCTGAGAGGCCAACGCACTGCAATTTTAGAAAAAACATTCAAATTCATCACAACACAACACATTTCCACAACACACTTCGACAACACAACACATTTAGACCACACAATGTTTGTGATGAATTTGAATGTTTTTTTTCTTAAATTGAAGTGTGTTGGCCTCTCAGGACCACCGTAGATGCAGCTCTTCTAGACTTTCCAAATGTTATAGACTGGATAGATCAAATAATATTGCGTCGACTCATGTTTTTACAGCCGCTTGTTTGGCCCCTAGTAGATCTGGCTTCAAAGTACAGAGCACTTCCTGTGAGCTACCTTGGATGCTACCAAGTCGACCAATCACAGTTCTTGTGGTCTGTGTTGCAGATGAACATGGAACAAAGACAAGACCTGTAGGTCTTCCTGTTTACAATCATTTACATAACTGTCAATGTGTATGGGGAATAACAGAAGTTTAGAATATACTGTCATGGCACTAAAGGTGCTGTGAAAAATTTGGGTAGGTGTAGGCATATAGGTGCACCAGTGCAATAAATTCAAAAAGTTAGTCTGGAGCCCTGCTACCTATTTTCACTATATTGGTAAATATGGTCACTAGACCCTTGCCACTTCGACTCTAATACGGAGTAAACTCAGGTCGGAGTCACCCTCACAGCCAAATCGAGCTCATTAACCCTCGAAGGGTTTAAATACAGAACTACCCTCTCCCTAGCGTAAATAGGATCTGGCTTATTTTTCTCTGCCTTTTTTGCTTGTTACGCTCACTCTCAAACACATTGGCAACGGACCCATCTGTGAATAGCCCCTTCTCTTCGTGCACAATCTGAATCAAAACACGATCATGCGCTGGAAGAACGATTATTACTTTCCCCCACAGAGTAGATTGTTGAATCAGTTCGGAGTTGAATGGTCCAAAACTAATGCATTCAAGTTAAGTCTGATAAGTTAGTCTATGTTCTTGACGTAGATATATATATATATATATATATATATATATATATATATATATATATATATATATATATATATAACATACCCACACACAGTGAGGAAAATAAGTATTTGAACACCCTGCTATTTTGCAAGTTCTCCCACTTAGAAATCATGGAGGGGTCTGAAATTGTCATCGTAGGTGCATGTCCACTGTGAGAGACATAATCTAAAAAAAAAACCATCCAGAAATCATAATGTATGATTTTTTTTTTAACAATTTATTTGTATGATACAGCTGCAAATAAGTATTTGAACACCTGAGAAAATCAGTGTTAATATTTGGTACAGTAGCCTTTGTTTGCAATTACAGAGGTCAAACGTTTCCTGTAGTTTTTCACCAGGTTTGCACACACTGCAGGAGGGATTTTGGCCCACTCCTCCACACAGATCTTCTCTAGATCAGTCAGGTTTCTGGGCTGTCGCTGAGAAACACGGAGTTTGAGCTCCCTCCAAAGATTCTCTATTGGGTTTAGGTCTGGAGACTGGCTAGGCCACGCCAGAACCTTGATATGCTTCTTACAGAGCCACTCCTTGGTTATCCTGGCTGTGTGCTTCGGGTCATTGTCATGTTGGAAGACCCGGCCTCGACCCATCTTCAATGCTCTAACTGAGGGAAGGAGGTTGTTCCCCAAAATCTGGCAATACATGGCCCCGGTCATCCTCTCCTTAATACTGTGTGTGTATGTATGTGTGTGTGTGTGTATGTATGTATGTATGTATGTATGTATGTATATGTATATATATGTATGTATATGTGTATATATGTATATGTATATATATATATATATATATATATATATGTGTATATATGTATATATGTGTATATATAATTATTTTCCCTCTCCCAAACTTAGGACAACAAAAAATTATTCTGTAAGGTCATCTTGTAAATGTATTCACTGCGCAATTAATCTGTTGACAGTTGTCCAACGAAGGTTAAAGTCAAGGGCAACTGGACTTGGTTGAAGATACTGGAAGACGTTTCTTCCCTCATCCAAAGGACTTCTTCAGTTCTGACTGACTGGCAGGGAAACTCAGCTATTTAACCTCAGTGGGGTCGTTGGCCCGGGTCATCGATACCGCTGGTTCGTTAGTGTTCCTGGTTGCTGTGACGACAGTCGTTACAGTCGTTAAGACTACCTGTGGCCAAGACTGAACGACCATCGTTGGTATCTTCACCTGAGGCCAATAGGTTACGTTTGTTGAGTTTCCTGGGAAGTGATGAAAGGACAGCATTGTAAGTGGGGGATAAGTGGTGGCGTAGACCCCCTTCTCTGTTCAATGACGGCTTCTCAACCCTGGTGTAGATGGCTTCCTTGACACCTCTTTCAAACCATCCATCTTCTCAGTCTAAAATGTGCACCTGGTGGTCCTCAAACGAGTGTCCTCTTGACCTGAGGAGTTGGCCCTTCTGTGTTGAGCCGTGCGTTTGTGTAGTGGTTGTTTAGTCTCCCCAATATACAGGTCTGTGCATTCCTCACTGCATTGGACAGCATACACTAGATTGCTTTTCTTGTGTTTGGGTGTGCGGTCTTTGGGGTGGACCAGCATCTGTCTTAGTGTGTTCTTGGGTTTGAAAAACACAGGGATGTTGTGTTTGTTGAAAATCCTCCTGAGTTTCTCTGATACTCCAGACAGATATGGAATCACAATGTTGTTGTATTTGACCTTCTTTTCCTCCCCTGTAGTTTTGTTCTTCTTGGATCTTGCGGCTGTTTTCACAAAGGTCCTTTTAGGGTATCCACAGGCTGTAAGTGCCCCCTTCTGGTGGTTCTGTTCCTTCTCTCTTCAATGTGTACAGCGCAGTCCAGGAACGCCAAACTGTTGTTGTGAACATCTTCTCGTGTGAATTTGATATTACTGTCCACAGAGTGGATGTGTTCTGTGAAGGCTTGCACTTCCTGGCTTTTAATTTTGACCCAGGTGTCGTCCACATATCTGTACCAGTGGCTCGGTGCTGTTCCTCTGAAGGAGTTGAGGGCTGTGCTCTTCCAGTATCTTCAACCAAGTCCAGTTGCCCTTGACTTTAACCTTCGTTAGATAACTATGACCTGGATGACTGAGAATCTTCATAGACATGTTGACAGTTGGTTTCACCGATAGACATATAGCTTAATAGAGCCCGACCGATTAATCGTTTTGCAGATATTATCGGCCGATATAAGCTTCTTGCAGATATATCTGCATCAGCATTTATAACAGCCAATATATGACTATTAAAAGAGAAACGGAGATTCTTCCCTCATGGTATGAGTGTTGCATAGTTTGCCCCCCAGAGGGAACGCTGCAGTTCCTTTGTTCAAAACACTGCAGCACCACAGAACAAAACATCAGCTGACCGCAGCCTACCAGGGCCACGAAGAGTAGCTCCTGGTAGCTCTCACACTCAGTGTTCCCAGTGAGTTAGTCAGTTGTCATGTCAATTACATGACTTAAATAATAATAAAAATAGCCCCATCACTTCTCCTCTGACCAGACCAGACTTCCTAACCCTCCTGTCTTTCACTTCCCTCTCCAGGCTCGCAATAGTATGATTAATGTTATGGTAATGATAGGTGAGTGGCGGTTACTCTGCTGACAAACGTGATTGTAGATTTATTTCTGGAACAATTCTAGCGAATGGTCCTCTTATTTCTCTCTAATTCATTACTTCTAAATATTCTTAAACCTCACTTACAGCAGTTGACGCTGCTCGTTGCTAAATTAGCCACAAAGCTGGCTAATGCCACATGTGTCAGTAGAGGAGCACTGACTTAATTGAGCGGTTAAACTGTATTGTATAAAATATTCCAAATATATCTGCGAGCTGCTTGTCTTGCAGTCGGTACGTTGGACATGAGAGGGGACTTAAATAAACAGGAGCTGAACAAGTAGGCCTAACTAACACGGCTTCCAGCCAAACAAAGTTATTTATCTATAAACTAGATGTGTGTACTACATAGTAGAAAGTAGTAATTGTGGCAGATTATATGTAAGATAATAACGTAGGTAAACTCAGGAAAAAAATATATAATTTTTTTTGCCTATTCAGGAGAGCCCTGTTTACCATTAATATTATAGCAGTGACATGAGATTAGATATATGGTATTATTATTGTAAGTCATAGTAGTATATTGATATATTTTTTTATAGTTTCTGTTTAGCTGGCCCTCACAATACATACACTATTTAATTTATTAATAATTTAATTAGATATTTGTAAAATGTTTTCTGTAGTATTATACATTTGACTTTGTCAAAACTTTAACATTTTGTTGTACTTTGTTCAAAGTACTATTATAACAATAGAAAAAGTTTATTTTTATACTGCGTTATGTCATGGTATCTTGGTGAGGTCTCAACATAACAAATATTAGGGATAATCTTTGCTTATGTCATGTGTCAAATATTGAAATCGGCATCGGACTTAAATCCCATATAGGTCAGGCTCTATAGCTTTAATTAAGTTCTAGTATCTGCAGTTTAGGAATGGGGGGGGTGTGCGTAATATTTACCTATAATGTGGATCAATCTGCTTTTCTTTCCTAACAACTCCTTACATGAAGTGAAAATTTTAATAGTAAAAAAGTTAATAGTTTGTCACCATTTGCCCAGAGGAAATTATCCAATAAGAGAGGACCACCTGTCCTTCAGAATCGTCTTCAGAAGAATGGAAACGTATCAGATACAGTGGTTGAAGAAAAGGCAGCGGGCAGCAAGAAAGAAGGGCCGGAGGGGGCCGTCATCAGGTGAGGCTTGGAGAGTGATCACAACTAAAGTTAGTTTTGTTTATATGTATTATTTATTGATTTATTCTCTGTGACTTTCAGCTGGCGTGGGGCAGTGATTGACAATGACCAGGCCACACAAGGCTCCAAGGATGGGGAAAGTAAGGAGGTTTCACCTGCTGACCAAAAGGCCAAATCATCAAAAGAGTCAGGTATCTGCAGGTTATTTTTAATCACCTTGAAATAGTAGTTTTCCATTGAGCACTTTCAACAAAATTAAAACAATTGGGTCTCAGTTTTTAGGAGGTTTGACTGTGTTTGAGTCAGACCATGAAATGTATCAACTTATCAACTAACTTATAAGTGCAACAGTCGAATTCCAAATCACTCTGTAGACTTGGATGGGATAATAAACTGTTATCTTGTCTATATTGTGTGTCACAGAAACTAGCAGGCCAGAGGCAGTGCGTGAAGCTTTCAGACATGCATGGAAGGGTTATAAAGACTTTGCTTGGGGCCACGATGAGCTCAGGCCGCTGTCTAAGTCCTACAGCGAGTGGTTTGGCCTGGGTTTGACGCTTATTGATGCCCTGGATACCATGTGGATCCTGCAGCTTAAAGAAGGTAGACTGATCCTTGTGCTTTCCAGCTGGGAATGTCTTCCACTTGACTAGGTCATTGCTATAGAAATATGTGTGTTCAGATAAAACCTTCTCAGGCTGCTCTTGCTACATAAACCACTTCTCCGTCATTTATCAGTATGTTAAGGATGTTCCACAACAGATCTAAATACACTACTCCTGTGTTACACTATCCCCTCTGTATAGCCTGAAAGTTCCGTCAGAAGTAGCATATTTAATGGATTGCTGAAGTGAGGAACAATTAAAATTAAATTTCAGATTATATTGGTGAATTTATAAATTAATCTGTATTTATTCCCAAATCTGTGTAATGCTGTGTTGTAGAGTTTGAAGAAGCAAAGGCGTGGGTGGCCACAGAGCTCACATTCAACAAGAATGTAGATGTCAACCTGTTTGAAAGCACCATCCGCATCCTGGGAGGCCTGCTGAGTACCTATCACCTGACCGGCGACATCCTGTTTCTAGACAAAGCTGTGAGTCCACACGCATGCAGTATTTACACAACTGTGGTATTTATTTTTGTGAACCCAGCTGTTTCATGTCCCAGCTTAACAAATACCGGTTGTTTCTGTTTTTGCTGAAGTGGATAAAAGTGTTGGAAGATATATTTTATCTACCATTGCCAGAAACTCTGAAAACCGCATACTGTAACTTATCCACATGTGTGCTTTCATGGCCTTATTATTTTCCTCCACATTTGACTGGGGAGCAGACAGTGTAAAATGTGTGTGAGGGTTCAACAATCGGAGGAATGGTTGAATTTGTTTGCTGAAACTTTGACCAAGTCTAAAGATTAATGCAATTATTTTTTATGTAGAAATACTTAGAGAAGGAAATTAACACCAGCCAAATGCGGCGGTGGATTTGCCGTTTGGCGGCCAAATGTTGGAAAGCTATACCTCCATGAAATAAGGCAGCATGAAAGCTAGTGTTAGGGAGCTAATTACAAAAGTTTTACTAGGAGTGTTTTTAGCTTTCAGCTGGGTAGTTAGTGGTCCAGTCAGTGTCTGACACACTGTCAGACCCTCTAATGGTCCTGCTGTCCTCCCCAGAGATCAAGGAGATTGATCCAGAGGCTGTATTAAAAAAAAAATAATGATCCCACAAAAGCTGTGATGCTGTGGCACCAGGACTCTGTCAGAACCAGGAGGCCAGAAGAGACTGATTGTAGAAAGTGAGCAGTCTGATGAGCAGGTTTAAGTTGAATGATAAGCAGCAAGAGTGAGCAGTGATAAGATTTAAGTTTGAATGATTTAATAAGCATCTTGTAAGTTTATAAAACAATTGACTGTTATGTTTTAAGTACATTTGATAACACTAATATAATTTTGCTTCAAATTTCACTCTGGGTCTTCTTTAAGTTTGTATTTGACATAATATATTATTATCTCAATTAATAGGTCAGAAACAAATGTATATGTGACACAAAAGGCAATTTATCATTTTGGTCGGTAAAAAATACACTTGGCCGGTGGATCTTTTGATCTACTAGCCACCTTGGCAGATGAGCCAAAAAGTTAATTTCCACCCCTGGGTGCAACTAACTTTTATTTTCATGAAATAAAACCCAAGGTGAAATCTTCAGATTGCTTGTTTTTCCCAGAAATTCTCTAGAAACCCAAAGATAGTGAAGTTATATCAAATAAGACACAGAAACAGAACATCTACACATTTCAAAACACGGAGCATATGTAATTAAAGTCAGTCATGAATGACACTTGAATTTGAGATTCTCAGTACCTTTCATCTGCAAATATCTGCGTGTAATCTGCATTCTTTCATTGCAGAAAGACATAGGCTCCAGGCTGATGCCAGCCTTCAACACCCCGTCCAAGATCCCCTACTCTGATGTGAATATCGGGAAAGGCACGGCCCACCCCCCTCGCTGGACTTCGGACAGCACTGTGGCCGAGGTTACAAGCATCCAGCTGGAGTTTAGAGAGCTCAGCCGCCTCACCCAGGAACCACAGTACCAGGTAATTGACCAAGGGATATGGCCCCGCTGATCCAGAGTCTGCCCAGAGAGTTTTAAGATCGGCACTTAGGCTCAGCTTTCCATTTGTAATAGTGCTGACACAACTTGATGTCGTGCTGTTACATAACATTGCACTGCACAACAGCACTGACTGATACCACATCCCATCTGCAGTTGCTGTTTTAAACTGGTCTGAAGCAGCATGAATTTGGCATTTCGTGAAGATTATGATTACTCAAGTAATTATTTTAGTCCTACGTTAAGCTGAAAGCACAACTGAGGCTGGCAAATTACAGCTGAAGCCAATGAGAACACGAAGTGCAACAATCTGAGGGGATAAATACTAACAACATAGCATTTTCCTCTGGCGCCACCCTCAAGTTAACGTTTTACAGCGGGGTTTTTTGCTCCCTTTGTTGTAAGATCTAGGAGGTGCTAAATTGTCTCACCAATGGTTTATCCATCAAGTAGTTTTGTCTTCAGTTTTTGTCATTAGCATTACAGCCTCGCCGAGCTGCAAGTAGCATGTAGCTATAGACCGTACACAATTGGAGAACTTGTTGTCTAGACTGGGTGTTTTTCCTAAAATAATCTTGTATGCATTGATGCTTACTGGGTTTGATATCAGCTGCTGCTTTCGTTGCCTTGCAGCAGCCATGGTCATCTCTCCCATCGGACTGTGGCTAGCTGTCAACTGCAGGCTAATAAATTCGTGGGTCACAAGAGATGGGCCACATACGAACCCAAGAAGTCTTGTTAACATGGTACGTGTCTTAGCCCACAGAACTGCAAGGATTCTCCTTAAAAGGAAATTTTGAGAAGACACGTAAAAACTGATTCTGTCTGAGAATCTTACGCACCCAGCACCCAAACCCAGTCCTGTTTAGTCATTTGGTAACAGGAACAAAACGCATGGACCAGGTTCATCAGTCATTACTGCTGCCCAGAATGATAGAATCTACTGCAGATTTTCTGAAAAATGTAAACATTGTTTGGGGTCAATTGTAGTAATAAAGAATTCACTGATAATCAAGGAAATGTAATTGTTACTAAAAGAAACGTTAAAAATGGACTTCAGCTTTAGTGTATACAGATTTATTGTGGTTATTTAATGTATATGGATGGTGAGCAACGCTGTAGTTGCAGACTATGGGCTAATATGCACAGGGTTATGATCACAACCCCCTCCAAGCAGGCATACTGACTAACTGGAAGGAGACGTTGGTAATACAACAAGGACATGATCGCACACTAATAATGGTCTTTGTTGGACCGTACAACCCACCTGGAAGTGCTGTTACCAGGCCTTGACCCTTTCCAGAGATATTGTAACAACTGGACAACATTGCAGGCGGGTGTAAATAATGCTAGGATTGCTTAAATTTCTGTTAATTGTTAATACTGCAAGATTTAACACAAATTTAACTGCAGGGAAAGGACAGTGAGGGTCCATCAAATGCAGTTGTGAGTGTAGAGAATACTGTATTCAGGATATAAGAGAGGAGTGGAGCAGGAGACTGTGATGATGAATCATTATCTTCTCTTACTCTCTGTACAGGAAGTAACTGCTCTCCATTACAGGGGCCATTCTTGGCATCCGCCACTGAATTTAGCAGAGAGTCCAGACTAGGGCTGGGCTATAAAACAATAATAATAATTATCTTGTAACAGTTTTCCTCAATACCAAATGTTCATTAAATGTTTGATTTAATTCATTTCAATCACAAACAAATTAACACCTATTTTTTCTTTTTTTTGACGAAAGATTTTGAAAAAGATTTTACTTAATTTTACTCCTGTATTTTTGTTAAAAGATTTTATCATAATAGTTTTGAGTGTTCTACCTCAGATTTGCGAAGTGATCAGTGTTTGTCATCAAGTGTTTGTTCTGACCATAAAGAAAAGTTTAAAACCACAATTAACCATCTTCAGCTTTCACTCAGGAGCAAAAGTCAGCCTTTAACTTGAAAGAAATAATGATTTCACATTTATCCTGATAATTATCGATATCAAATGATACAACCATTTTTTTTATTGTAGTAATAGCAATATAGTATTTCTGATTTCCATCACATAATTTATTCATGTGTGTTTTCGGCTGTAGGGTACTATACGGGGGGGGCTTCCCCCAGGAAAATGTCTAGTGTTAGACGTATGTTGTGCTGATTGTTAAATCAATTGGCAAGTCAGTGTGGGTTTAGGCATTTATAATTAGTGTTCTTGATATTTTACAATTATTTTTCTGTCAAGCTAATTTTCCAAAACCCCCCCATATATTAACTCATCCTGACTTCTTAACTTTCCCAGGCTGCTGTGGCTGAGGTTATGGAACAGGTCCACAAGCTGGACGGCAAGCTGGACGGTCTAGTGCCAATGTTCATCAACACAAACAATGGACAGTTCACGCATCAAGGCATCTACACATTGGGAGCCAGAGCAGACAGCTACTATGAATACCTGCTGAAACAGTGGATACAGGGAGGCAAGAAGGAGAACCAGTAAGTCGGACTAAAGATTCCCAGCATTCACTTTCACATGAGTGAATGAATAAATAAATTTAGTTTAGTAGTTATTAAAATCAATCCGCAGACTTGAAACTTAGCTCATTATAGCTAATGCATCATAATGAAACACACATCCTCCAGAGTTTACATTAAACAGTTTCCGGGTTTAACTAAAGGTGCTATCAGTTTGCATTATGGTAAGTACTGAACCTGGTGTTTTTGGAGTTTGAGCTAACTAGGGACAAATCTGGACATCTTAGTCCCATATGTCTAATCTACTGATCATTTTCAGTATCCATTAATGTGCTAATTACATTCTCTATTAATTTTTTGTTTCTAAAAGTTGTGTCAGTTTCTCAGAGACTTTAGTCCAAAACCCTGAGGGATTTGTTTTATTGTCATACAAGAGAAAGAAAAGCAGCCAATCCTCACATTTTTGAGCTGGAACCAGAAAATTAGGAAAATCAGTAAAATAATGAATCCTTCAAATAGTCCATTCTTTTTACCTCACTTGACTAACTAACTAAATGTTTTAGCTCTAGGTGTATCTCTGCCAGATACATTGATTTAAAAGCGGCCAATATTTACTTTGCATTTGACACTGGCTGGTGTTTTAAAGGATACCTATTATACTGCATTTCCAGCCCTATATTGTGGTGCTGTGACTCCTGCATGGAAGCTTTGCATGGCTCAATGTAAAAATCATTTTGTATCTTATACTGGCCCTTCAGGCAGGCCCTCATTTCAGCCTCTGTCTGAAACGAGCTGTAGATGCTCATGTTTACCAGGCTGATGTTGCTGCAGGTACAGTATTTATACTGTTCTATCAGCACTAGCAGTGTTTAGTTACTTTGGCTGCGTCAGTGGGACCGATAAACGATGGATACACTGGAACAACAATGCACACACTCAGCACCACTTGAGGGTTAGATTAGGCAGCTTTGAATATCTGAAATGTTTTTGTTTTAAACTGTTTTGTGTCATTTCTGGGTTTTGTACTACATCAGTTGGCATGTATGTTGGAGTTAAAGGGGAATATATTCGATGTTCACTCAATTAATTCTTGAAGAAATCATCTGCTGCATGATTCTGTCTGCGCGTGTGTGTGTGTGTGTGTGTGTGTGTGTGTAGGCTCTTGGAGGACTATCTGCAGGCAATCGAGGGTGTAAAGAAGAACCTGTTGCAGAAGTCTTCACCTAATGGCCTCACCTTTGTTGGAGAGCTCTCCCATGGACAGTTCAGCCCTAAAATGGTCAGTAATTCCTCAACGTTCTCCTACCGATCAGTACTAATTTAATCTTAGTTGTGAACCTTCTGTTACCCTGTCAAATGCAAATTCATTATAATGTTCCCTCTTGTTGACCAAGGTGGTCCAAGTCTGTTCAGTCAGGGTTAGTTGGTATTGATAGTAAGGGAGATCATTTAAAAGCATGTGGTGTTGAAAGATTGTAATGAACTGTACATTCATGTATTCTTCATGGATCTACATGAAATCACATCACTGTACATTTATTTGCCTCGCTAACAACTGGCTTCAGTGGGCCTTAGTGGGCGTTTGAAACAAAGAGCTAAACACTTCTGAAACATGTTTTCATTTCTTGGGTTTTGTGCCTATTTTAAAATATGGACAAACATTCTGAGCTGAGTTGATGTAATCTGAATATTTTATAAGCTGTCTGTTAACTCCCGGTTGGGTTTTTTCAGGACCATCTAGTGTGTTTCCTGCCAGGCACTCTGGCACTTGGTGCCTACAACGGTCTGCCTACCGATCACATGGATCTGGCCAAACAGATGATGGAGACCTGTTACCAGATGTATGTCAAGATGGAGACGGGCCTCAGTCCAGAGATCGTCCACTTCAACATGCATCAGGGCAGCACCCGAGACATCGACGTGAAGGTAGGTAGAGACAGCGCTGCAGGAGAGGGTAAAGCGTGTCCGCGTCTAATCATGCAGCAGTGTCCTTTTTAATAACATACTTTAGTACCTACAAACTTGTGTCATTCCAAATTTCCCACTCATGACACAACTCGCATACAAAACTGAGGATGTTTGGGAAGAATGGGACAATCATGAATGATTTAGGAAGAGAGAGAGTTTAAATCAAGCAGATGTTGAAACTCAGAATTTTGTCTTCTTTTGTTTTCTGTGTGATAGCTTGCGGACAGACACAACCTCCTGCGACCAGAGACAGTTGAGAGTCTCTTCTACCTGTACAGGTTCACCAAGGACCACAAGTACCAGGACTGGGGCTGGGAGATTCTCCAAAACTTTAACAAATACACCAAGGTTAGTAGGATGAAGGCTGTCTACACTGATCTGTGTGGATCAGACAAACTAAGAATCAGTCTGCAGTCTAATGCAGAGCTGTCTGCGTCCCTCACACGATAAGGATTGGTAACATCTGTTATCATTAAGTCCATATTAAACAGCCTGTTGGCATAAACCATATGGAAAATGCAAGAAAGTAAGGAAAAGTCTGTAGTCTGTATCCACATCTATTCAGATATCTATACAGCCTCTGTGCTGCCCCCGGCTCTCTCATGCAGAGCTCCCAGTCACTCTGTAGCTGTCAGTCGAAGCTCTCTCCCTCCACTATGCTGGGTCTTCCTCGCACAACTTAAATGGAGCGATTTTCCGCGTGTTTGCGTCATTTGCACCGCCTGATGGGAACTGCATCTTTGCATTGACGTTATATGTAATCAGGCCGTGCGGAATACTCGCTTCACGTTGTTTGTGGATGTTTCGTTAAAGACGCAGTTATGCATTAGGCTGAGTTTAGTTATCCGTGCAGAACTACAGTCAGCTAGTAGTTCAAGTAAGTAAATGTACATATATATAGCCCCACAGGGCAAGACAAAAGGCATATCTTTCCTGCACTGCTTCCCTCATTGTCCTTCTGCTTGAGTGTTTCTTTTTCCTGTTTAATATCTAACAGCAGGTATGGACGGGCCAGTGTGTAATTATTTATTTAAGCAGTTAATTATTGCCTTCTCAAAAAACTTGTCAAAGGAGTTAAAGTTAGGAACTACAAATCTCCCATGTATTAACTAACAAATACCCTTCACAGTTTATTCCAAATAATTCACTTGTGTTTGTCTCTCATTTACAAAGGAGAAGGGTTAGGTTCTCAATCTGTAATCTTTCTAAAATCTAATGTGGACAAATCCCTGTTCCTTTCTCCTCAGGTTTCCTCTGGTGGTTACACCTCCATCAATAATGTGCGAGACCCAGACTACCCAAGTCCCCGAGACAAGATGGAGAGCTTCTTCCTGGGAGAAACCCTGAAATATCTGTACCTGCTATTCTCAGATGACCCCAACCTCATTAGCCTCGACCAGTATGTATTCAACACTGAGGCTCACCCCCTGCCTATATGGCCTTCCACTGCGTGAGACACGCGCGCACACACACGAATTCCAGTGGTAGATAAAACTGTGTATAAACAAGACAAATATCTCAGGGTTGGTTTAATACCAAGAGAATTCCTTCGTCTTCAGTTTCAGTAACTGAATATTGTGATAAAACAACAACCTTGACGGGAAAAAAAGCCTACTTTTCACTGATCGAATCAACTGTTCGCTATGAGCTGATGACAGGAGCCTGGTTCAGTTCGTGGTTTGTTTATTTATTTGCCTGGTGGATTTCATTGCGTGGTTTCGTAGTGAGTTTATACTGGAAGCAGAGGAAGGTTTCTGTCCTGACTGCCCATCAGCAGTAAAGAAAAACCTGATTGTGACTGAACTGAAGATTTCTCAGTCTCATGTTCCCGGGATGAGGAGGAGTGTCGGGTTGGACTGATAGGTGTTTGAAAGCTTATACTGATATTTTCAGTTGAAGGTTTTGAGCTTTTGCAGTTGTATTCTTATTAAAGTGTAAATGCTTCTGAAACTGCATCTAAACGTTTATGAAACAAAGCCAATATCTGCCCCTGTGGTCTGACCCCAGAGCTGGGAATGACCGCAGGCTGGCTGCCTTCGTAGCAAATCGTTTCCTGACAGCAGCCACCAGCTGTCTGAACTAAAACCAACCCCTGCCTGCTGCATCTACAGCCTGACCGCTCCGCTGACATGTCTGTACATAGGTGTGACTTTTGCAGGGATATGAGAAAAAGCTAATTACTCATCACACTGTGTGTAATATAGTCAACAAGGGCTCTGGCTCTGAATCCTCAAATGTCCTCTTTCTTATGCTGTCCATGTATTTGCTGTCCTGCTGCGTTCATGTCATATAGGAAATATGACTTTACAATGAAATATCTCTGTTTAGCAGTGCTGGGAGCAGCCTTCAGATCCTTTACTTAAGTAAAAGTACAGAAATATTTCTGCCAAATATATTAAAAGTGAAAGTACTCATGGCTCCATATGAAGGACCGAATTATTGTCTTCAACCTGGAAACCCAAAAGCTGTATATAAGGGGGCAATTATTAGCTGTGTTATTCAGTGTGCAGGGAAGACATGGCAAATGAATTGGTGAATTCTTGAGGCACAATTTAAATTTTCCATTTTCACCAGTTATCTAAGATGTCTTAGTAAATGCTTTAATAAATCCATTAATTACAATGTATGAACCCTTTTTTAATATCCCTAATAAGACATACTTTAGTGGTACCCAACATTTTAATATTGCATCCAGTGGAGCTGACCTACTTTCAAATGCTGTGCAGTTTTTGTAACAACGCATCATATTTTATAAGTTTTATAGTATGTTTGTCTTGCATGTAAAATCTTAATCTGAAAAGTAAGCAGTAACTCCAGAGGAGAGAGAAATGTACATTTTCCCCTTAATTAACTGTAGAGGTAGCCTGGCATTAGACTGGAACCTCTCCGTTCATTTAAAATTTCCAAGGGGCGTTATCGATGGGCACAGACCAAAATGCCTCTGGACGCAATTCAATAGACCTACAACCAATCAGTAACAAATGTGGTCAAATTATGGTAAACAGTACACTAAAATGTTTCTGAAAACATTTGAGGAAGGAAAGTAGGCAATGCAGTAACAGAATCTTTATTCATATGCCAGTTTGTGTTGGATACCGGTCCAGCCCTACAACCAATCAGAGCAGAGAAACGTGACTTTTCTTAAATCTTTTTCTAGCATTGCTTTAATTCAAAACTTGAAAATGCATAATAATAAATCTTTATTTAATCATGGTCTATCAGGTATTCGCCACAAACACAGCAATCATATAGTACTATTTTTGACAGTAAAAAAAAGTGTATTTTTAAACTAGTTATCTTGGTGAGTTCTCATAACTACACATAACAAATGATACAGAACATCCGTTATGAAAAGAATATCGGCCAATGTTTCAGATTTTAAAACCCTCAAGTATCAAAATCGTTATCAATCTTAAAAATCCCCCTTCGGTCGGGCCATAGTTGCTATTCAGTTAAACTCAGTTTATTCCCACTGACATGAACGCAGCATCAGATGATCATGGTTTGATGATTCCAGATGTAGTTATGAACTGTGAAGCTTTTGTTTTGAGGCCACCCCCATGGGTTCATGTGTCTGTGCTGAGCAGCTGCTCCTTAATGTTTGCGTCTTTATAATTTTGCCATTTTCCTGGTGTAGAGTACATTTGCTTTCCTTTCAAGAAATGAATTCTTTTTAAATATAAATCTAGCATAATATATTGATTTGTAGTGTATAATTGCAGCTACCTGAATACAGTGAGCTCTCTTGTGCATTTGTTTTTTGTAGCCACAGCTTGCAGTCATTCATGTAAATATTACTAGTTTACGTATAGCTCTACTTGTAGGTGTTTTTTAAGAATTTGTATTGAGACCAAGCTCATGCTGTACATTCTTTGTAGTGTTTTCTTGTCTCACTTATGCCTTTTTAACGTTGCTTCAGACAACTGTCCGTTCGTTTCCATTTCTATCCATTCCAGAGATTTGTACATGTGCATACATTTCCTACAGTATAAGGTTACTCTGATCACTGCTTTTACAGTAGAACAGTGAAATAAGGATTGATATTTTAGAGAAATTAGGTTTACATAATGCTCATCTCTACCAGAGTGTGCATTTAAATCCTGCCTACAAGGGCTCTGTGTGGTCCCTCCCTGGATGTATTTCAGCAGTATTTTTGAGCCAAAGATATGTTGAAAATCTAATCGGCCCTGTGGTTTGCTTTGTATGGGCTTTCACCATGAAAAGCCATTTCTCCAAAGCCGCCTCTTTCAGGAAAACACAAAGGAGATATTTTTTGTGCTTTTGATAACAATTTCGCTAGTGAGAGTTTTGAAGGCTAACACTACTATATTTAGACTTAAGTGACTGATTCACTTATAGTTTAGTCAAAGCCACCAAGCAGACTGCTTTTAATAGGAGGCTGCACACAGAGACATCATTATTTAGTCTTCATGATCAGTGCATAAAACTTTGGTTTTCATCATAAAGTAATTTACAGTGGCCACCAGAATGTAAAGTGGCAAAAGTGTACTTTTGCCAGAATAGAAAGATTCAAACGTCATGTAGACCATCATATCAAGTGCAAGAGAAATACAGCATTTATAAACTTAACTCACATAGCTGAAAAGTTAAAAGCTCCATCTTGGAGCAGCTGGTATAGTTGGGAGGATTACTCCTTCATTTACAGGGCTCCAAATGAATTATGGGTACTGAATTATTTTTTTTTCCAGGGCTTAAGAAGTTTGTTACTGTGTGAACAAACACTGCCTATTATTTTGGGTTACTGTCATAGACAAACATGTTAAAACTAGAGCCCAACCGATATGAGGTAATTGCAGATAACTTGGTATGTCCGTTTTTGCCAGTAAATGACAATCATCATAATAATGTTGAGTGTTGTCGTAGCATAGTTTGTCCAGGAGAAGGCACTCTGCAACTCCCTGTTGGCACACCACGAATCTACCACAAAACACAGCGGACAAAATCAACTGTACTTTTGTTCAAAGTAGTATATATAACAGTAAAAAAAAATTTTAAACTTTTTTTTTTAAACAGTTATCTTGGTGAGGTCAAAATCTGTATCGGTCGGGCTTCAGTTAAAACGTTTTGGTCTTGAAGCATTTGCAAATACTGATGCAATTACATATGAACATGTTCACGTTATTAGATTTACTGTAAATAGAAGATGGTGTTAGTGAGAGAAATGTTTACAGAAATACTGAAACCACTCATGCAGCATAATCATCCTCACCTGACTGCTCAGTGTGTTCCAAACTGCCACAGTTTTACCCAAATAGTCTTTACACAGCTTGTGACAGGTTCGAAGAGGCTGACAGACAAAACCAGTCACCATTAGAATCCAATGAAAGTGGGTCTAAGCTGGATATGCCTGTTTGGGGATGTCTGATACTTAAAGAATATCTTTAGTGTAGTGTCTTCAGCTTTACTGTGCTGAGGTGTTGACAGACCAGAATCTCTCCTGGAGACTTTCTGAAAAGTAGAAATCAGAATCCAGTAAATGTTTCAAAGACATTGTTACAAACTGCAGTTTGTCTGTGTCAGACCTGACATGTCCTACATCAGTCTGAAGTCTGGTGGGGTTTTTTTTTCAAACAAATGTTTTGTCACCTGGTGTATAATAAACGCTGGATCAGCTTTAGTTTTGTACAAAAAAAATTAAACATTTTATTAACAGAAACAGAACATTTGTGTCGATGATTGACTCAGGAAACACAGCAGGTCTGCAGTAGAAGCAATATTGTACTGTATTTGGATTGACTTCATGGATCTTAAAGATGATTTGTAATTTTTCTAAGCTAACACGTCCAGATTTATAGGTTCCAGCTTCTGGACCAGGCCCTCTTCTGTAAATAGAAGCTGTTTTTCAATAATCTTCCATGATTAATGGAATACATTTGAGTTTGGACTGCTGGTTGGACAAAACAAGCAATTTGAAAAAAAAATAAATCAGTGAAACTTGAGAAAATGGCGGTGGGCATGTTTGTTTGTAATCCTGTTGCCTTTGTAGAATCTTGAAATGTGATGAACAATGCAAAACATGATTTGTAGTTTAATGATTTTCATTAAACTATCACTACCATCCAGGATCAGTTTTAATATTCAGCAGATGTAAGCTGACCCTCCATTCCTGCTGTGTATTGTATTGTGGGCCAGCAACAACTTGAAGATGAATTCTGGTACAATTGTATTAGAAGGGACTTATTTGATTTGAAAGAAATAACTGGTTTTATGTTCAGTCCTGAGACACTCAGATCCCGTGCTTTTAAGTTGACTGTCTTAATCTGGTCCGCTCCATCTTCACCCACTGTACAATGAGGTCTGCTTCCATCTTCCTGGCACTGATAACTGACACTGGATCAGCATCATTAGACCCTCTGTATAAAACAGGAAAATGTCAAATTAGATTTTGCTTTGAGAGTTTAAAAAAAAAAAAAAAGTAAAGGACTACTCTCCAGGGGCTAACAGCTTGCTGTACCTGAGATCCAGATGATGGGCTCCTCCAGAAATGTTGACAGCTATTAGTGAGGAGCTCAAGGACTTGCGTACCTGTACAGCAGAGAGCTGATTGATTTAGACTGAAAGCAGTGACTTCACGGTTTACTTAAGTGTACTTTCTTGGTTTAATCTCTTACCCCTCCATTTGCCCATGGGTCCAGATCTCCATTGGAGAAAATAATGTTGCTGGCTGTAGAGAGGGCTGTAGAAAGGGGAAAGCTCATCAGAAACAAAAACCACCTGTCTTTCACTGCCACAGTTTCTGTGACTCTCTAAATAAAAGAGTGCCTCCATGATAGGTAAGGGCAGTACACCAGTGTCATAGACCTCATCAGTGTGATGACGTGCCACAACATGGATTTTGCAATTCCGTCATTGCCATGATAAAACAGTAATTCTAAAAATAAGCCTATCTTGTTGCAAATAAAAGACAGAACATGTGTGTTACTTAATATAAACTGTATAAAGAGCTAGTGGCCCTTACATTAGTTACGAAATAAATAAAGAGAACTGGTGAAAACAGGGGAAGAAAGAATGGGCCTATAGCCTTTTGTTTGAAAAGAGATGACTGCGCTTTGCATGTTCTCCCTGCGTTTGCGTGGGTTTCCCCCGCCATCAAACACGTTAGGTTAATTCTCCTGTATATGTTGCACACATGCATAGCCTGTCAGGATATTTTTTTTGACAATATAGAAATGTGCAATAAATGATTTAATTAATTTGCATCACAAACACATTAGCACAAAATTTTTCTATTAAGATATTTATTTTGTTGAGATTTTACTTTATTTTACTCATGCATATTTCTTGAAAAAAAGCTTTACCAATGAATGTAGGTAGGGCTAAGGAGCAAAAATCAGCCTTTAAGCTTGAAAGAAAATGATTTGACATTAATCATTATCACTGGACTGCTTCACCATCTTCTTCATCGACGACTGGAATATGCGCAGCAAATGCCTTCAGACCTTCTTCCCCAATCAGACAGGAGCAGTAATTGTGCACAGACTGAAGGGAACACTTTCTGCCTCGCGTATTGGACACAGACTTCACATTACTATTGGTAAGTTGCACCAATTCAAACCCATAGCCTGAATATATATAACATACTTAGGGTTTTCAGCACAAAAAAGTGCTATTGAGAAGCATAATACTCTCCCATGTCTCCCTTCAAGGATCCATACTATTTACATATTAACAAAATATTAATTCAGAGTTATCTTTGATCAGGAGATATCCTTTATCTCTCACATTAAACAATCATCAAGGACCGCCTTTTTTCACCTACATAATATTGTAAAAATCAGGAACATCTTGTCTCAAAATGATGCAGGAAATCTAGATGCATTTGTTACTTCTAGGCTGGATTACTGCAATTCCTTATCAGGCTGCTCAAATAAGTCCCTTAAGACTCTCCAGCTGATCCACAATGCTGCGGCACATGTACAGACAAGAACCAGGAAAATACACATTTCTCCTTTTTTAGCTTCTCTGCATTGGCTTCCTGTAAAATCCAGAATAGAATTTAAAATCATTCTTCTTACCTACAAAGCTCTTAATGGTCAGGCACCATCTTATCTTAAAGAGCTCGTAGTATCTTACTACCCCACCAGAGCACTGCGCTCCCAGAATGCAGGGTTACTTGTGGTTCCTAGAGTCTCCAAAAGTAGACTAGGAGCCAGAATGTTCAGCTATCAAGCTCCTCTCCTGTGGAACCAGGTTCCAGTTTGGGTTCAGGAGGCAGACACCATCTCCACATTTAAGAGTAGGCTTAAGACTTTCCTCTTTGATAAAGCTTATAGTTCAGGTGAGTCCTGAAATGAGGTCCTCTCTCCTCCTTTCCCTCTTCATTTGTATGCATTCTTGTCCCATTAATGCATGTTACTAACTCGACTTCTTCCCTCCCCTAGTCTGCTTTGTGTGTGCTTTCTCGTCCCTCTCCTCTCTCCTTCTGTTGCTTCCTGCAGGTGTTTCTGGCTCCAGAGCTGTGGGGTATGGATCTGTGGGCTTCCTGCTGCCCCCGTGTTCCTGCTCGACACCCAATGCCACAATTATTATAGATCTATTGTTAGGGCCCGAGGACACTATTACTGTTTTTTTCCACATGAATCACTTTTTTGACGGTCTAAAGGTGCTCTAAAACTCACATGTAAGAAGTGGCCAAAATGTACATTAATTTGTCATTTGGTTCTCGCAAAACTGCCCCTACAAAAGCCCCTACACCACAATTGACCTAGATGTACAAAATGTTTGTGGCACACGTATCATTGTGCTACTGTCTTTCCTCCTGCCCCCCTGTCCACCACAGCACATGAATGTTGATAAACGAGCAATCACTCTGCACAGTGAGGCTCAGACATCCTAATGAAGAAACACAACAAAACACATCTGACTGACTTACAAATATCACAAGTGTGTGTATTGGAACAGATCCAATGTACCCAAATCCCATTACTTTCAATTTCTAGATTACACCTCTTGATACCATGATATTTCTGGACAGTATGGTGTGCTTAGTAGTATCTAGTGCTCACCATCACCCCAGAACTGGGTTTTGAGCCACTCTGGTCGTGGAACCACAGCCCAGCGCTTGGAGCAGTAAAGTACACGGTCTGTCTCAGTGAAGCCCATGGGAGGAAACATGTCCGTCACATTATTGCTCTCATAGCACAGATCAATTTCTGTGCAAGCCTGCAACCAGAACAGAAGAAGGGGTTAGTGTTAGTATGCTAATCAGTTTGAAGATAAAGCACCATAGATGAACGGGATATTTATTTTGTCAATGACATTCCATCCATCAAAAATGGAAATACAAAACAAAAATCTTTATTGTAATGTTTTTTTTTTAAATCATTACCATTTTATTTAAATAAATCATTTACATGTCAAAACTCAGAATGCATTGTGTGTTCCATTGTAATGGATAACAATAACAATTTTCAGTGGTTATTCCATTACAAATGATTCACCTCAATCATCCAGGAAGAACATCAATTCAAGACAAAATGAAACTATCCCCTGTACTGAAGGTTTCCTGTTCAGAAGACACCAGAAGGCAGGTGTGAGGTGGTTCTCCATGAGCAGTGTAATGTGTACAAAATATAAACTGTACATATCTAGTATGTCTGAATTTCAACCAGGACTAAATGCATATTGGTACTGGTATCAACAGATCAGGTGTATCTATCCCTACACCAAATACAACAGAAGGTACTTCATTACTCCTCCAGATGCTAACAATTGTTGAGTTGACTGATACCAACCTGAAATTATCATATACTGACATTTTGATCAGATTACATGCAAGTACTTAATGCTGTGTGTTGGTGGTGGTGTTGGAGTACCTGATAGTCCCAGGCCAGGCTGTCGAAGCCCAGTCCACAGCCAGTGGGATCAGCACACTCCAAATACAAACTGTACAGGTCAAAACAGCTCAGCACCTCGGTGGAGTTGTACACAATCCCTGCACGAAAATGCAATTAGAAATACAAGTTAAGGAAAATCGTTTACTCGTGCAAAGGATGAGAGGTCTTATCTTCACAGGTCTGTCCAAATACCACGAAAGTTGGGCCAGCAGTTTACCTAGGCAGAGGCAAAATTTGGCCCTAATCAGCCTTTTGTTGCAAAATCATTAAATATGGTATGGTTATTTTTCCAAACTACTCTTTTTCTTTAAATTATATGTTTTCCAATCTCAGTGCTTTGGGCCATGCAACTGCAGGTTTGCGTTTGGCTTGTAACGCACATAGTATGTCACACATCAAAAACCTTATATCTAGGCATCCCCTGCATTGAGCTGCATCTCCTGATACATGTTTAGACCCCCCCCCCTCACAAAATCAAGTTGTAATAGAACAACTTCCTGCAAACTGCAGTGAAAACAGACCCATATGGAGATATGACATCACTTCCTGCCTGATTTACACAAAACAAAGCTTTTTTAAATAAAAAGTCAATGTTCATTTCCTCACCTGCAGTCTTCCTGAGGTTGGTGAGCAGGTCAGATCCACTCAGCATGGTTTCACAGGCCACCTGAACAAAGTCATGTTATACATCACTTTCAACTGCAGCCTCCTGTTAAAACATCTGGAACAGATCTGTCTTGCCATATCTGCTCATTTACGTATACCCCACCTACAGTGAGGAAAATAAGTATTTGAACACCCTGCTATTTTCTAAGTTCTCCCACTTAGAAATAATGGGAGGGGTATGAAATTGTCATCGTAGGTGCATGTCCACTGTGAGAGACATAATCTAAAAAAAAAAAAAAAAAAATCCAGAAATCACAATTCATATTCACTCATTTTTTAACTATTTGTATGATACAGCTGTAAATAAGTATTTGAACACCTGTCTATCAGCTAGAATTCTGACTCTCAAAGACCTGTTAGTCTGCCTTCAAAATGTCCACCTCCACTCCATTTATTATCCTAAATTAGATGCACCTGTTTGAGGTTGTTAGCTGCAGAAAGACACCTGTCCACCCCATACAATCAGTAAGAATCCAACTACTAACATGGCCAAGACCAAAGAGCTGTCTAAAGACACTAGAGACAAAATTGTACACCTCCACTGGGCTGGAAAGGGCTACGGGGAAACTGCCAAGCAGCTTGGTGAAAAAAGGTCCACTGTTGGAGCAATCATTAGAAAATGGAAGAAGCTAAACATGACTGTCAATCTCCCTCGGACCGGGGCTCCATGCAAGATCTCACCTCGTGGGGTCTCAATGATCCTAAGAAAGGTGAGAAATCAGCCCAGAACTACACGGGAGGAACTGGTCAGTGACCTGAAAAGAGCTGGGACCACCGTTTCCAAGGTTACTGTTGGTAATACACTAAGACGTCATGGTTTGAAATCACGCATGGCACGGAAGGTTCCCCTGCTTAAACCAGCACATGTCAAGGCCCGTCTTCAGTTTGCCAATGACCATTTGGATGATCCAGAGGAGTCATGGGAGAAAGTCATGTGGTCAGATGAGACCAAAATAGAACTTTTTGGTCATAATTCCACTAACCGTGTTTGGAGGAGAAGAATGATGGTACCATCAAGCTGTGAGCAGGTAGCATCATGCTTTGGGGGTTTTTCTGCACATGGGACAGGGCGACTGCACTGTATTAAGGAGAGGATGACCGGGGCCATGTATTGCCAGATTTTGGGGAACAACCTCCTTCCCTCAGTTAGAGCATTGAAGATGGGTCGAGGCCGGGTCTTCCAACATGACAATGACCCGAAGCACACAGCCAGGATAACCAAGGAGTGGCTCTGTAAGAAGCATATCAAGGTTCTGGCGTGGCCTAGCCAGTCTCCAGACCTAAACCCAATAGAGAATCTTTGGAGGGAGCTCAAACTCCGTGTTTCTCAGCGACAGCCCAGAAACCTGACTGATCTAGAGAAGATCTGTGTGGAGGAGTGGGCCAAAATCCCTCCTGCAGTGTGTGCAAACCTGGTGAAAAACTACAGGAAACGTTTGGCCTCTGTAATTGCAAACAAAGGCTACTGTACCAAATATTAACACTGATTTTCTCAGGTGTTCAAATACTTATTTGCAGCTGTATCATACAAATAAATAGTTAAAAAATAATACATTGTGATTTCTGGATTATTTTTTTTAGATTATGTCTCTCACAGTGGACATGCACCTACGATGACAATTTCAGACCCCCCCCATGATTTCTAAGTGGGAGAACTTGCAAAATAGCAGGGTGTTCAAATACTTATTTTCCTCACTGTATATTTTTATTTATGTTACAGATGTTTTATTATCTGAAGGTAGATTTTTATTATCTTTGAGTAAAAGATATGATAATGAATAACTCCAGCCTACAGCCGTCCCACACATACATACAGTAATATGTATGGCAGCAACACTGGAAAATCATCTGTAGTAGATGTTTGAGGTCAGTAGCACCATCAATATTTAGAGTTTAAAAAATATCTCAATAAATATCAGCTGATACTCCTAAAAACATGAGATTGAGAACTATGTAGTGTAATTCACTCAAGCTATGATGATGGCTATTAAAGTGTCTCGCAAACAGATGATTTTACATCCAGATTACAAATAGCACACTTATTTTCACAGATCCTGGTTTTCAACTCACGTTTGGTTTTCCGACACTTTAACAAATAAACACCATATTTTGTATTACATGTAATTCTGCCCCTGACCTTTATGTCGCCACCAGTCTTGGGATGACTAAATTTACTGCCCTTAATCATAGCTTAGGAGTGACTGAAATTATGACAAGAAATATTCCCACAAGGGATCTGAGACAAGAAGTAATGGATGTGTCTCTAAGGAAAATAGGACTTCACAAAATAATCATGTTATCAATCAAGTTAGTTAGGTGAGATTAAAATGCACTCCAATTAAAGACTCACTTTTCAGTATGTATCAATGTCTACTCACTACTTGCACTGATCTAGACAGGACTACAAATGCAAGTCTGTGTGTAGAGGTTTCTCTAGAACTGCAGAGACCTGAACCTGACGTATCTTATTAAGATGGTTGTCTAATAACTCATCGCTGTATCTCGCCGTTGCTTTAAAGTTTTCTTTCTTGAAAGTCTTTTAGCATGTGCTTCAGAAGAATCATCAGAGTCATAAATACATCTAACCCTCAGTAACTGACTGCACGGAAGAGTTCTTTTGATATGCTTCAGTATGTTAACTGGTTCCTTCCCCCCCAAAACAACCAAAAACAAAATGCGTTCCAGATCATGACAATGAGAATTTTATATATTCCTTCACTGAATTTATGAATGCATGAAACTCATTTAAATCATCAGCACTGCCACTCCAAATAAAAATTGTACCTCCAATATATTTTGATGAACTTAGAATAGGGATTGTGATTATAAATTAAATCCAACTCAAACGTCCCCATAAATAAGTTAACATAATTAGGAGCCACTGGTGACCCATAGCTGATCTTGTTTCAAGTCTCTAGGTATTTCGTATAACTTGTTTTTTGAAGCATTCATAGATTTTGTTTAAGATGCTTAAAAGTACTTGCTGAAGTACTAAGTAGATTTAGTTTTTGTGTTCCTGTGTCTGTAGCTCCCTCTTCTGGAATAGACCAGTGGTGCCTATTGTGATAATGCATAAGTAATCCCATCTTTGCGTAACTGAATGTGAAGCAAAACGTCCGTGTGACATTAAACAGTGGCATGGGAGTGCTGTCCTAGTTTCACATCACATTTTTATACAGACATTAATCAGTTACTTATCGAGCAGCATAATCACCTCACCAATACTAAAATTTAAAATACTTTGTTTTTAAGTGGGATGGCTGAATATAGAGGCTTTTGTTCTGCATTCACATTAGCTTCAGGATATCTGATGTTGCTCACTCATGGATGGCATTTTAGCATACTTATTTGCACTAAAGCAAAATTATCTGTTCATCCTCCATCAGACTGTGTACCTTGACAGGGTTGGCAGGCATGTTGCCCATGAAGTGAGTGCTGTAGGGGTAATCCAACATGGCCATCAGAGTGAAGGCATTCCTCAGCAGGCCGTTCAGCTGGTGGATGTCCTGATCAGATGTCGGAGGCTTACACAGGGAGAACTCTGACTGGATGCGACTGTAATCTGGTAACATCGACAAAAGCGGGCTTACATTTCTTATTCTGTTACTTCATCTCCCTGAAAATGTTTTATTTTCCTTTCAGACTTAAATAGAGCAACACCTCCAAGGTCAGGTGAAGGCTTGCATATTGAACAAAAATCTGTGGAATCTGTTTTATACTTCAGAGGTGTCATTCTTTTCTTTCCTTCTTCTCATTTGTGTACATAAATTGAGGCAATCATCTCCTCAAAAAGACCATCGCACAGATGTACCTTGGCGTTCAGCTAATTCCTTCAGCTGATGGAAAGCTCCTCTCACAGCATCTCTGCATTCAGGGGCAACACTCTCAAAATCCTTTGAAAGGGAATCAGAGAGTCATATCCAACCTGCACACGTGTGTAAATTCACAAATTATTCGATATAACAAACCAATTAAATAAACTAAATGTTTCAGCTCTACTTGGAAAATAACTGTTGCCACATATTCGGATATTTTGGAACCTTTGTCAGGTTTGGTTTAGGTAGATTAAGGACAACGGTCTGAATCATAAGGTGGGTGACATCAAAAAGAAGAGCATCCATGAACATACAGCTGTAACATCTCTGAAAAACTGCCTGGAATCTCCCAGCCCTGCGGTGGAGAGTATGGGGGCGCTGGCAGCCAGAGCTCCAGCCACGATGTTTGGATACTTGAGTCTCATGTAGACCGACAGCATCCCACCATAACTGCAGGAAGAGATGAGACAACTGAACAGGAAATACGCAAATAAGACATAATACTAAATGGTAAATTGACTGTAGTACTTGTACAGTGAATTTTTAGTCTTCTGACCACTCAAAGCACTTTGCTCTAGGGATGTCCTGATCACATTTTTTGTCCCCAATCCTGATCAGAGGATTGGGGACAAAAATTGAGTATCAGCATATATAAAGTCCCAATCTGATAATTTATATATCTATCTTTATATTATTTTCTAGATAATACAGTTGCACAGTGCACACTTAAAGTACATTAAAGAGCTGTTGCTGTCTTGAGGAAATTTCTCTCTCCTTTTCAAAGTATACTCCAGTGTGTGTTGCTTCGGTGCAGCCTTTGCCTCAGTTACCTGAGTAAACTCACTGAATTCTGCTGGGTGTTTATTTCTTAGGGGCTGTGTCAAATTGGTAGTATTAAACTAGGGCTGCTCAATTATTGCAAAAATCCTAACCACGATTATTTTGGTCCATATTGAGATCACAATCATTTAACACGATTACTCATTGACTTAGGAAACATCATGCATTTATTGAACTTCCGTGTACGCAGGAGTGGAGCGGAGACAACGCGAGACAACTTCTTACGTTACATAACACTAAAATTCAACCGTGGAGTTCTGCCAGGCCATTCAGTTACTAGAAAAAGTATAAATAAGTATATAATATGTAATTTGTTAAACTATGACCAGAGGGAAAATTTGCTAGCTGCTAGGCTAATTTATGCAATGTAAAATTCCGTAGTCTTAAGTTATTAATGTTGACTAACAAGTTATAGTAGTTACAGCATTTATAACCCGTTACCTTGGCTCAAGCTGAACATGCCACAGGCTGGCCGAGAGTGAGTTTGGGTGTTTAGGGAGGGACAGGAGCAACGCAGCGCTGGATTTATAACAAGACAAAACAAGAGCAGCAGCTAACAAACCAAGAATCGGGCTTAGGATTGTGCTCAATAAAGCGGATACTGATCAGTTTTAAAAAAATGCCTTGATGGGCCCTGATTACAATCTTTGAGATCCAAATTCAGTATCTCAGAAAATTTGAATATTACTTAAGACCAATACACAAAAAGGATTTTTAGAAATGTTGGCCAACTGAAAAGTATGAACATGAACAGTATGAGCATGTACAGCACTCAATACTTCGTTGGGGCTCCTTTTGCCTGAATTACTGCAGCAATGCGGCGTGGCATGGAGTCCATCAGTCTGTGGCACTGCTCAGGTGGTATGAGAGCCCAGGTTGCTCTGATAGTGGCCTTCAGCTCTTCTGCATTGTTGGGTCTGGCGTATCGCATCTTCCTCATCACAATACCCCATAGATTTTCTATAGGGTTAAGGTCAGGCCAGTTTGCTGGCCAATTAAGAACAGGGATACCATGGTCCTTAAACCAGGTACTGGTAGCTTTGGCACTGTGTGCAGGTGCCAAGTCCTGTTGGAAAATGAAATCTGCATCTCCTCTCTTCCTCCAGACTCTGGGACCTTGATTTCCAAAGGAAATGCAAAATTTACTTTCATCAGAGAACATAACTCTGGACCACTCAGCAGCAGTCCAGTCCTTTTTGTCTTTAGCCCAGACGAGAGCTTCTGATGCTGTGTCTTGTTCAAGAGTGGCTTGACACAAGGAATGCGACAGCTGAAACCCATGTCTTGCGTCTGTGCGTGGTGGTTCTTGAAGCACTGACTCCAGCTGCAGTCCACTCTTTGTGAATCTCCCCCACATTTTTGAATGCGTTTTGTTTCACAATCCTCTCCAGGGTGCGGTTATCCCTATTGCTTGTACACTTTTTTCTACCACATCTTTTCCTTCCCTTCGCCTCCCTATTAATGTGCTTGGACACAGAGCTCTGTGAATAGCCAGCCTCTTTAGCAATGACCTTTTGTGTCTTGCCCTCCTTGTGCAAGGTGTCAATGGTCGTCTTTTGGACAGCTGTCAAGTCAGCGGTCTTCCCCATGATTGTGTAGCCTACAGAACTAGACTGAGAGACCATTTAAAGGCCTTTGCAGGTGTTTTGAGTTAATTAGCTGATTAGAGTGTGGCACCAAGTGTCTTCAATATTGAACCTTTTCACAATATTCTAATTTTCTGAGATACAGATTTTGGGGTTTTCATTAGTTGTCAGTTATAATCATCAAAATTAAAAGGAATAAACACTTGAAATATATCAGTCTGTGTGGAATGAATGTATACAAGTTTCACTTTTGAATGGAATTACTGAAATAAATCAACTAATTAACTATTCTAATTATATGACCAGCACCTGTATATCAGCAGTTGAAAAATATAAGTTATTGATGAATGAAATGATTGTATTGCACTTTTAAGACGGTCCTTAACTCCACCTACAGTAACAGTCACGTTTGACATACATTCAGTCCTTAGTACTGCAAACTGCATCGTCCTCTTTGGTGATCTTCAGGTGATCAAAAGTCTGCGTAAATTAGCTCTCTTACTGGGAGAAATTGAGGCTTTGACAGGGAACTGTTGAAGGTAACAGCCGCTAAACTAACTTCACCCTGATTTCTATTCATCTCTTTTCTTTTCGAAGGACATCGCTTCAGCCGCACTTGTCGGTGTCTTCCACAGAATTTTAGTATCGGTTCTTGTGACACCCATAGTCTGGATTTAGATGAACTGAGGAATACCTTTTCCTCAACTTTAATCCAATATCTGAAAGAAAAGGGAAACTTGTCATTGTGCCATTTCATACTAGTACAAAGTATGAAAAAGGCTCAGATCACCTTCTGAAACCCGACACTGCAGCTCTCGTTAGTTCTAGTATCTGAATTCCAGCCTCAAATCTACATGGATGAGTTTGAAGGATTACAGAATGCTTAAAGTGGAGAATAGTTGCAGTTTCAAGTTTGACTTGACGGCTTTCTTTGCAAAGTTGTGTAGGATCACATGCGGCCTACAGGTGATTAAGTTTGTAGAAACTAGAGCTGAAATGATTAGTGGATTGTTAAACAATTTGTTGATTCACGGAAAATTATTCAGCAACTATTTTAATAATCAAAACATAATCTGTGCTTCCAGCTTCTCAAATGTGAAGCGTTGCTATTTTTTTTTTAGACGTTTAAATGTCAACTTGACATATTATCAACCTAAATATTAATTGATTAATACTAAAAATCCTCATTAGTTGCAACTCTAGTAGATTGCCATGCTTTCATAAAATAGTTACCCGGATAGGTACAGCTAGCTAAAACACTTTCCATTTGGCATCCTATTGGCTATTCACAGTTTGATGCTCCAAGTAATGATCTGCTGCAGAGAAGAACAGGGAGACAACACGTGAGGAGAACAGTGGTCTGTACTACGAAGAGAGTTCAGCCTACTCAGAGTTAACTCGGGTTTATCAGGCAAACTCAGGATTGACAAAGTCTGATTGCCTACACTGGAGTTAAACAGTACTACAACTACGTGAATAAGACGTCGGTCAGTTGAGTCGGTGTTAACTTAATTGGAGTTGGTGCGCGTTCGCATAAAAGGGACATGTTCAGAAGAAAACACCAGAGTGATTTTTGATCTTTTGTGACTTTACTTTCAGGGAATTTCTGACTTTGTTATTGTAAATTTGACACTTTCATCTAGGATTTTTTTCCTGTATTTATCAACCCCCAACCTGGCTCCGTATTTTTGGACACAAAATAAATCAATCAACAGTCAATATGTGAAAAAACTGGAGAATTCAATTATAGCCTACAGATGGGCTACATCTAAGAAACTGTTCCATTAATTAAGATCTCTGTACAATCAAAGAGGCTGCAGGGCTCGTATGAACATATATAACTTAATTTCAGCTGCAATCGCAGTGGAACAAATCAGCACGAAATCTAAACATATTTTATAAAGTGGTGTGTATTAATAGTCTACTTCTCATCATTAACACCGAGTACAGATGTGGTGTGTAGTCCACGTGCATGGTAACCTCGAGTTAACCACGAACAAAACCTGCTTGGAGCAGTTTAGAGATGCAGCGTAAATTGCCATGGCAACAGACCTCGGTTAACACCTATCCACCTTTCGTAGTACGTACGTACTTTCATACAACGAGCCTTGCAGCCTCTTTGATTGTAGAGAGGAGATATTAATTAACAGAACAGTTTCGTAGTACGGGTGAATCGGGAAGTTACACCAGACGTCACGTTACTCCTGAAGTTACCTGGATAAGACAGTTACCTCGCTTTGTAGTACAGGCCACAGGGAGACAACACAGGAGGGGAACAGGGAGGCAAAAGAAGGATAACTGAAACTGAATAATGTCAGTCAGTACCTGCCACCAAACACGATGACAGGACAGTCTGTGGCTGCCAGTTGCTGTTTCAGCGCCGTAATCATAACAGCGTAGTCGGCGAGGGCCTGCTCCACTGTCAGCAGGCTGATCTGAGGGATGTTGAAGGACTCTTTGCCAAAGGGCAAAGATCTGCCATAGTACCTCTGAAAGAAAGAGAAGAGGACGACGAAGGTGTTCAAGCGTAATAAATTTTTCAAAACAAATGCAGGCAGGCTCACAGCTGCAGTATGGCTCAGCTCCAGTCATGAACATCATGCACCCATATTAAGGAAGTGATCCAAATTCCTCCATTGTCATCAGTATTATGTGACTGTCAGGTCACTAGAACGTATTTCTTGTGCAGGTACTTTTATTTTTAAATGTTTGATTCTTAAATTTAAAGTCTTTGCAACTCTGGAATTAATATGACAAATGTAACAACCAAACTCTAAACCAGTATTGTATTTCTTATTGAGCATTATATGTTACTATTACATACAGTATTTAAGAGAGTACATGGAATAAGACTGCATTGGCAAAAAGGTCTGGTGACATTCTAACAAACACACTACAGGTCAAGTTTTAGAACACCCCCATTTTTTTCTAGTTTGTATGTTAATATAAGTGGTTCAATTAAGTGAAAAACCTTAAATGATACAAAAGTAAGCAGAAAACTGCCAAAGTTAAAAACAACATTTACATCACCAGAGAGACATTTTCAGATGAAGAAAATTAACAATTAAACACAAGGAGTTTTGTTCATTATTTCACTGTAGGATCTGAGGGTGTGTTAACAGGCTGTTCCAAGGTTTTTAATGTTGAAAACTGTTTTTGCATCAATTCAATGCAATCAAGGCTTCATTTACTTCCACCGCAAAATAACCAAAGACACAAATAAGCAGAGAGAAAAAAAAACAAAAAAAAACACACACACAATCTGACACATTCCACACAGAACTCCGAAAGTGCACTGGACAAAATTATTGACACCTTTTCAAAATCTTCGGAAATAATTGTATTTTTTAGCATGTGATTCTCCTTTAATTTGTAATTACACTCACCTGTAACAATTCACAGGTGCTGGCAATATAGAAACCACACTTACAACCAGTTAAAAATGAGAAAAGTCGACTCAACCTTGGTGTTGTGTGTACCACACTGAGCATGGACAAAAAAGAAAGAAAGGAGTTGCAAGATTCCAATGAAGGAGTGTTCGAATAGTAGATAAAGAACCTTGATATTTCAGGCTGACCTGCAGACACAGGGTACAACAGTGTCAGCTTGCACTATCCGTCACCATCTGAATGAAATGAGAGGACCCTGCTGCTGACACAAACATAAAACAGCCACACTTACCTAAGGAAGTTAAAAGCCTTCTAGGAGAATGTCCTGTGGACAGATGAGACTAAAAGAGTTTTTTGGTAAAGCAAATCATTCTTCTGTTTTCAGAAAATGAAGTGAGGCCTTCAAAGAAAAGAACATGGTCCCTACAGTCAAACATGGTGGAGGTTCACTGATGTTTTGGGGTTGCTTTGCTGCTTCAGGCACTGGATGTCTGAAGACTACCAAAGCATTCTGCGGCGCAATGTAGGGCCCAGTGTCAGAAAGCTAGGTCTCCGTCTGAGGTCATGGGTCTTACAGCAGGACAATGACCCAAATCATACTTCAAAAGCACCCCAAAATGGTTTAAGACAAAGCACTGGAGAGTTCTGGAGGCCAGCAATGAGTCCAAATCTAAATCCCATAGAGCTCATATGGAGATATCTCAGAACAGCAGTTGGGAGAAGGAACTCATCAAATCTTAAAGACCTGGAGCAGTTGGCAAAAGAAGAGTGGTCCAAAATTCCAAAAACTCATAATGGTTACAGGAGGCAATTGATTTCAGTTTTTTTTTTTTTTTTCTAAGAGTGTGCTACCAGATATTAAGTTGAGGGTCCCAATCATTTTGTCCAGTCCATTTTCACAGTTCTGTGTGGAATGTCTCAGATTTGGCTTTTTTCATTGTGTTATTTTAATGAAAACAAAATAAATGAGACTACCAAAGCATTTGTACTTACAACTATTTTCTCTCACACACACACAGTTTTGTAATAGTGTCTGGTTTTCATGTTCAACTCACTGGAAGTGAAAATCAGCTGATAGAAGGAGTCAAACTTTAACCATCAATTTCCTATTTTTCTGCAAATTCTATACACACCTACTTTTGATCAACAACTGTTTAGTCAAAAATGAAACTAATGTCTGCATTGGCTGCACTGTTTTATGATGTGTACCACTGCTTTCTTACATGTTCAGCAAATATGACTAAAGCTGCCTGCTGTGCAGCTAACTCTGTGATGAAACCAGAGTTGAGTGCAAACTCCCAGATGTCTCCCTCATTACCAGTGTAGAAGAAAATAGGACCATCGCCCTTCTTCCAGTACTTATCTAAAAAAAGAGGGAAAAGAGAATGCAGTGAGTCAGTTGCTCATATATTCATTACATTTAAAGCAGGAGAGTGGTTTCACCTGTGATCAGGTAACGCTGATTGAATGTCCCGTTCCCCATGCTGTTAAAGTTGAAGTGGTCCAGAGTCTGACTGAAATACTTCTCTGTGAACTGGGGTTCTGTCTTGAATCCATGATGTTTTCTTGGCTATAAAAATAAATGTTAAGTACAGCTTATTAAATTATTCGTCATTCATAGTTTTATTTGAATTGACTAACGTTAAAAGCATCGCTATTCGTTGGTCACTTTATATAAAAAATGTACTATATACTAATATAAGACATTTGTTAAGTCACTTTCTGTCTGGAGTGTTGGCAACCCTGACCGACAATAACAACAAGTAGGCGAGAGCACGAAAACAGAACAGAGAAACAAACAGCAAGCATTATAAACTTAAACGTTACCTGAACATAGCTGTGTGGCAGGGCATTCTGCCCCCCAACAGAACACAGGACTACTGTTACCGTAAAAAAAGGTACTACCTTCCTCATGTTGTCGGACGTCGTTACTAAAACCACTGCACAGTAAGATTGATTTTCCTAAGAGTCACATGATATGGTCACATGCAAGCAGTGCCGGTGTCCGCGAAAAGGCGGGGTTTGGACGTTTAGCCCCGCCCACATCTAGTACGTCACCCGTGCTTCCTTCAGGAATAGTGGGAACTTCGTGAATGGAGGATATTTTTGGTCATTATGTAAATTAAAGGGGCTAACTTATATGTACTTTTTCAATGAAATTGCTTCTTAATAAATCATTTTTACTGCCCTATTGTCAATGGACTGTAGCTTCACTTAGAAATGAAGCACAGGCCTGTTTTCTCTGTTGCTTGGAACAGCCACTATTCTGTTTAATGTGTTTACTTTACCTATTACCAAATTACAAAATGGATACTGCTTAAATTGAAAGCTTAAATAGATGTCTTGCATGTAGAATTAGATTCATGAACCAACACTATGGATTTTCATGGGTTTCTCAACAGCTTCAGTGATGTTGATAGGTTTTAAATGTAGTGAGTCTCCAGGTCCCACAGGTGTTCATGTGAGTGGCACCAAGTCTCTAAAATGTTTCTGGTGGCACCCAGCAAGAGCTTCCAGTCATGTTTTCTCCTGTTTGGTGGGCATGTTAGAGGTGTTTCCCAATCAGCTGTGACAAGTTTGTAAACTATATTTGCATATATTTTCTAATTTAATAAGTAGGTGTAGGACATTTAACAGAAAAGACCAAGTAAGTTGTTTGTTGAGGTGGATGGAGGGCCAGAAACCGGACTTTCAACCAGGAGACCAGTGTTTCCCATGTGAAACAAAATGTAATTTAAGTTACATAGGTTACGTAAAATGCACAAGTTACGCAAGTAACAACTTAAATTGACCCTTCGCTAAGCCACACCCCGAATGCACAACTGGCCAATCACAGCGCAGTATAGGACTCGCTCTAACTGAGGTCTGACACTTTCATGGCGGCGCTCCATTGACTCTAATGTAAAAGAAGTCGTTTTCTAGCGTTCTTTTGCTGTGTTTTTCCAAGATATAGTCAAATGCTGTTCCTGGGGCACTTGTAATAGTTACAGTCGCTATCCAGAGAGGTTGAAAAGAGAAATACGATTTCCTTTCCAAAACCTAAAACAAATCCAGAAAAAAGTTGGCTGTGGATTGTTCCTAATGTAATGTTAGTTAGCTAACGCTAGCTAACTACTGAATGTAATGTTATATAACCCATACTTTTCTACCCTCTTTCTCAATATTCAATAATAAAACTGGGGTTCACTTTTACTCTGTGATCTTTTATTTTTTTCAAGTCAGTTTGACAGATTGAATACAACCTTCAAATGCACAATGCAACTGCAAAATTGATGAGATCGCTTTATCCAAAAATTTGACAATATTTCTCCAGGGAGTGCAGTAATTGTGATAGCACAGTGCTAGAAGTCTGACAGTTCCAATAGTTTGTCGGGCTTAGCAACAGTAACTAAGGGGGGCGTGGCTAAGCGAAGGGTCAATTATGTAAGTTAACTGTCGTACTTAACATAGTTAGTTCAACCCTAACCATGATCTTTTCCTAACCCTAAGTACTTTTTGTGCCTAAGCCTAACCAAATTGCAATGTTTCATAATGTAAAAAACATGTCGTTTCAAAATGGCGATGTTTGACGATGTTTGGCGACATTTTAACACTTGAAGAAATATTCAGTGCTGAATGAGGGATCTTGGGGTGCTTCCCCAGAAGATTTTGAGCATTAAACACTGCTCTGCTCACCAATATATGGTGGAAATGTCTTTATTTATATGAAGCAAAAAACTAAATTTAGGTCTCAGGTGACATATCAAAATATGGGTCCTGTGGTATTTTTAAAAAAAGTAGATTTTTGCATGTAGTAGGGTTGAAAACCATGGTCCATTTAACATCTTGACTATGAAAACACTAAGGGTAGTAACATTTCTCTCATTTCATAAACTTTATTAAGGTGTTCCACAATGTACATAATTCTCTACATCATTCTAAAAGGATATCAAGCAGAAAATCTGCAGCTTTGACAAACGTTTTAAAACAAATATGGTGATAATTGCCTGACAAAAAAAAGAATCCTGTGCTGGTAAACTGGTATGGATGTGTTTCATGCCCACCAGCAATGATTGGTTTGCCAGAGCTCCAGGGGAGCAACCCATCATAAGCACTTGTCCACAATGTTGTGTCAGCAGGGGGAGACAAAAGTTCCACACAGGTTTATTTCTTCTTTATGTTCCCAAAGTGCTCTATCCAATGTATGTACAGTATAAATATAATAAACATACCATGTATACAGTACAGTATGCTGAAAAAGAATACAATGCATTTCTATTAAAAGTAGAAAAACTGGAAAAAAAAGGGAAGTACTAATGCAGTGGGAACCAGTTACAATGTTCCACATTACAAGCATTGAAATAAAACAATATTAATGGAAAAAGAAAACACAGAAAGAACTGTATGAAGAAGTGATCACACTGTGTGTAGAAAAGGGGATAAAAACATATTGTACATATTAATCATATTCCTAGTTACTGTACAGATTAATATTTTTTACATGAAAACCTATGACATCTAACTCATTATAAAACTGATACATTAAACATGATGTATTAATACGATGCAATAGATACAATCATCAAACAGCATGAAAAATAGTAGAAATGAGCTCCATCTTGACAAGATGAAATATTAAAATCAGTCATCTAATATTGTAATGTATGACTGGAAGGTTGTATTTAGCATAATAAGTACACTTGCTTTTGATCATTAAATTGACGCTACTGTATACTGTATTTTACATTTTTTAATGCAGGACTTTTACTTGTAAAAGAGTATTTTTACTATTTTGTTCTATTATTATTATTGTTATTATTATTATTATTATGTGCAAGCTTAATCAGCCACATCACTTTTGAAGAGATGTTTGAAGAGATGTGACTTCTGGAATGCAGAGACATTTTTCTCTGAATCATTCCTGAGGTCAAATGTCACTCTGACTAGATCTCATTCAAAACTATTATCATGTAAACCCAAGAGAGTGACTACAGCTTCCTTATGTGTGTTAGCATAATGACTCAGTGTAACTAGACCTGGTATGGAAACCTTAACCCCTATTGTTTCTGAACATATAATATAGGATTTCACAGTCATGGAGCTTCTGCAATACATTTCCTGGGTCAAATAAGATTTAAGATAGAAGTTCCCAGAATAGGCTTTAGTTTTACCTGCCTGTACGGATGTGGTGCGGGTTTTTGCCATTTACAAAATATCTCTGACAGTCAGTTTGCTACATTCCCAAACAAAGCATCTGCTGTAAGAAATCATGTTCAAAACTAGTTTGAACACAAGGTTAAATCTATCCTCATGGGGTTTTTAGGTCCATCAGGTTTAAACAAATATGAGTCATGTGGATTGTAATTGTCATGCGTACGTGCCACATTGACAGGTGAATTCCAGAGCCTGTGTCCGTCCTTTCTAGGGAATGTGGATGGAGGACTTCCTTGTAGCAATAGGGTGGAGACTCCTGAGGAGGCCTGTTTCACAAACTCTCACTTCCCTGTTGACACAGTGTGGAAGGCAGCAGGTACTAAGGCAGAGCTAGATAGTGACTGAACTCTCACTGGCCTCTCATTCAGGAGAAAAAGGTAAGCAGTCTATGTCACATATTTATAATGTCTCCCTGATAAACTATTCTGCTAGTATGAATGGAACTGAACAACATGTGCAGATAGATTCTGGGTAAGATACAAGGAAGTATTGTGCACAATGTTAATGATTAACATTAGTACAATTTCCCTTTAGGTTTCTCTTTTATTGTATTCTTTATTTTTTATTTGTTATTAATTCTATATAGTTATCATGAATGGTTGGGTGTATTTGTTTGTATTTGTTTTTTATCCATCCTAGATATTCTTTACTCTACCTTACTCCCCTGCACTCTCTCCCTTTCATCTCTCTGTAGCACTTCATGGCTCGGTAATAACATGAGGAAACAGTGTGATAATAAAAAAAGATATAGCTAAGTAATAGGTTACCATGTAAATTCCAAAGTAATAACCAGGTAATTACTTGGTATTAACAAAGGGTATATCTGGGTAACATTGGAATGAAATGTATGTAAGTACTTTGCTACAATGTAAAGAGTGTACAGCTTGTATAACAGTGTAAATTTGCTGTCCCCTCAAAATAATACATCACACAGCCATTAATGTCTAAACTGCTGGCAACAAAAGTGAGGACCCCCATAAGTGTCAATATTTTGTGGGCCACCATTATTACGGAGCTGGTGGATGTTAGAGTCCTTGCGCTCCTCCACCTTCTGTTTGAGGATGCCCCACAGATGTGACCTTTACCCTCAGCTTTTTTAGCAAGGCAGTGGTCGTCTTGGAGGTGTGTTTGGGGTCGTTATCATGTTGGAATATTGCCCTGTGACCCAGTCTCCAAAGGGAGGGGAACATGCTCTGCTTCAGTATGTCACAGTACATGTTGGCATTCATGGTCCCCTCAAAAAAGTGTAGCTCCCCAGTGCCGGCAGCCCCAGACCATGACACTTCCACCACCATACTTAACTGTAGGCAAGACACACTTGTCTTTTTGCTCCTCACCTGGTTGCTGCAACACACACTTGACACCATCTGAACCAAATAAGTTTATCTTGGTCACATCAGACCACAGAACATGGTTCCAGTGATCCATGTCCTTAGTCTGCTTGTCTGCAGCAAACTGCGGGCTTTCTTGTACATCATCTTTAGGCTTCCTTCTGGGACGACAGCCATGCAGACCAGTTTGATGCAGTCAGCGCTGTATGGTCTGAGCACTGACAGGCTGACCCCCCCACCCCTTCAGCCTCTGCAGCAAAGCTGGCAGCACTCACACTTAATTCCCAAAGACAAGCTCTGGATGTGACGCTGAGCACGTGCACTCAACTTCTTTGGTCGACCATGGCGAGGCCTGTTCTGAGTGAAACCTGTCCTGTTGAACTGCTGTATGGTCTTGGCCACCGTGCTGCAGCTCAGTTTCAGGGTCTTATCAATCTTCTTATCTTATCTTCTAATCTTCTTAGCCTAGGCTATCTTTATGTAGAGCAGGGGTATTCAGTTAGAATTCAAAGAGGTCCAGTTAGAGAAAATTTCCTGAAGGAAAATGTCCGGAACATCAAAACGACTAACATTAATCATTCAGTACCATAACATATAGTTGTATCAACATATGTTTTTAGTCAACAACGGACTGTCAAATCAAATAATATTTCAAGAATGTTTACTGTCAGTTTTCACATCAAACTGGAGGGATAATAAATAATAACTACTCTAATAATACATTCTAAATTTAAGCAAACTAAAATAAAGTGCTTAATTTTTAGAAAAAAAAAATTGTAGCTTGAAGTAATGAAGTGTAGTCTTTACCAATTCTATAATAAACACTCAACACATCATAACAAATACAGTTGTAATGCCTCCTCTTCTCTTTCATTCCCTCTTATAGAGCTACCACTTTCCTACTTTCTCTTGTTCAGTGAGAAACGTGAGCTCTAGTTTGTCCTGCCAGCTAGGATTGGAGATCTATGAGATATTCTGGTTTTGAACTGCCGTGGGAGGAATGTCCATGTAAAAATCTGTACATTCTTGATTAAAAGCCATGTGAAATCTCTTTTCCCTTTCATCTCCTCAATTCGTGTGTGTTTCCAAAACGTCTCTGGACTCAACTCGCAAGTATCGGAATGCACAGATTTGATTGGCTGAGAAGCGTCACATGAGACTTTTGATGAGAGATTGGAGCACATGCGATTGGTCTGTGAGTTTCCTGGGCTGCTAAACCAGTACAGTAAATGCTAGGAAAGCTGCGCGGGTTAAAATTGAAACGCTCCGTCACGAGGTAGTAAGTCTCAATAATAAATCGGCTGTAGGTTGGTGGTCCGGAGAGGACAGCGGCTGGGTCCGGATCCATACTGCGGTCCGCCTATTAGTGACCTCTGATGTAGAGCAACCATTCTTTTTTTTCAGATCCTCAGAGAGTTCTTGGCCATGTGGTGCCATGTTGAACTTCGAGTGACCAGTATGAGGGAGTGTGAGAGTGATAGCACCAAATTTAAAACACCTGCTCCCCATTCACACCTGAGACCTTGTAACACTAACAACTCACATGACACCAGGGAGGGAAAATGGCTAAATGGGCCCAATTTAGACATTTTCACTTAGGGGTTGTCTGTGAAGATTTTCAGTCATCCAGGTCATCCAAAGAAGGTTAAAGTCAAGGGCAACTGGACTTGGTTGAAGTTAATAGAAGATGTTTTGTCCCTCATCCAAGTGACTTCTTCTGTTCTGACTGACTGGTAGGGAAACTCAGCTATTTAACCTCAGTGGGGTCGTTTGCCAGGATCATCAATACCGCTGGTTCGTTAGTGTTCCTGATTGTAGTAACGACAGTCGTTGTAGGTGTGTACTCACTTTTGTTGCCAGCAGTTTAGACATTAATGGCTGTGTGATGTGTTATTTTGAGAGGAAAGCAAATTTACACTCTTATACAAGCTGTATACTCACTACTTTATATTGTAGCAAAGTGTCATTTTATCAGTGTTGTCACATGAAAAGATAATCAAATATTTACAAAAACTTGAGGGATGTACTCCCTTTTTTGAGATACTCCGTATGTGCCATGTTCTGTTTTACACTTTCAGCATGGACTGTCTTTAATTAGACCCATGTCATTGAGTCTTGCTGGGGTGTAATAATATCCGAGAAGTGTCCTGTATTGGATAAATTTGCCTCTGACTTGTTTGTATTCTCTACTGTTGGGCTTCAGATCGGGGCTGTACTGAGCTTCCCTGGGGATGTGTGGAGGACTGGGGTTCGGGGCTGTTTTTTCTGCCCAAGCCCCCATCCCCGTACTCTTGCTGGTACTTTCCTTTCTCTGTGGTGTCTATTTGTGTGGTGTTTGTGCCCCCTACCCCTATTTCTGCCCATCTTTGCCTTTAAAGCAGAATCTGTCTGGCACAACATGGTGTCCAGCTCCTCAGACTATATACTAGGCTGCTGGGTGGGACAGGTTAAAAATAAATAAATAGAATTTTCAGACAAATTCAGTAATCCACACATACTGTATGACAACTGTACAACAATATTGGCCAGTCTTCTAAGAACTACACTTAAGAAAGTTCTACAGAGACAACTTTTTTAAATTTTTTTTACAAATGCAAAACTGCTGGATCGTATCAGTAACTAGAATGTGCATTTTCTAAAGAAAATCGTGAGAGCTGTAATCTGTCGGCTGCTGCTCCTGCAGCACTTTTCAAATGTTCAAATTCTTTAGTGCCACCTACTGGTAAAATTGTTTCAAATGCTACTTACTCATTCCACATGCCTATCTGTACAACCTGTCTGACATGAAATGTCACTAAAGCACCAATGCCAACAGAGGACACACTATCCTGATCACATTTGGCTGGCACACCACTCTTTTTCTTCTAAATGTCTATGAAGTCTAGTCCACTGTTGGAGTGACATAAAATAACACAACAAGTCAACCAAATAAAGAAACAGTATATGACTACTCATAAGAAATACTGTTGTCCATGTAGATGCTGAAATATTTAGAAAAACAGAAAACATGTACATTTATTGCAGGTTTAATACTGATGATGGCAGTTTGTAGGAATTGAACATTGTACTTTTATGGTGTTTGCACTTAATGTGCATACACCTGTGTGAGCCACACAGTCATGTGAAAATTGGTAGTTGTGTCCAAACAACACTCCTCCTAAAGCTGGGGTTAGGACGTCTTGCACCCAATAATAGAGCCTCAATGACAGACATGCTGTCAACTGAACTAATGGCTCAAAGTGCAAACTGCTGATGGGTGTCACCACTTCATATTCTGTTGATGGAAAAAGTACATTTGGCTTAAGAATAAAGCTTTTTAGCTGTGATGTTGGTATTTTTGTTATATCTGAGAATAGCTGAGAGGGAGAATATAGAGCATGTTTCCACACTCTGCTGAGGAGTCAGTCTGCCTTTTCTATTGCAGTGATGAGAGCTTGATGGTGGGTTACCTATGTATTAAGGTTTAAATCTAAAATACCATGTCTCAACTGAGATTGAGACTGACTGAGAGCAGTTTAGAAATGTACAGCTCTCACACTAATAAGAGCAGTGCCAGTTCTCACATTAATAAATAATAAAGAGAGAAGATAACATTTTTTCCCACAACTCTCAAATAAGAAACAACCTCCTCTGTTCTATATGTATGTCAGTTATCCTATATTTTGCTCTTCTCCTGTCTCTGCTGTCCAGAATGCTTTACACTGAGCTGCTGCGGCTGTGGGATGAGGCGGTGCAGGCAGTGGACACAAAGGACTGGCAAGGAGCTTTGGCCAAACTCCAACAGATCAGTGAACCCACATCTCGCACTCTGTTCAACGCTGCCTCAGCTCACCTGGCTCTTGGACAGCTGGACCTGGCCCTGAAGGTCTCTGTGTTGGGGGATGATGGGGGTTTGGAGGGAGACTCTGAAATTCCTGTCAATACTTTAATGTGATTCAAACTTTTATATATCACTACTTTGTTTTACAGCTCTTAAGTTTATTAGGAAAACCACTTTGATTAACTATTCGACCTCTGCTGGAAAACAACTGCAGAGCATCTGGACTGAAATTCATTTATGTAAAACTTAAGATTTACAGCTGCAGACTTTATAGATTTTTGTAAGAGCAGCTGTTTTTCAGAAGGTAACTGGTCAAACAGTCGATAATAGTGGTCCTGCTGATCGATGAAAAGGCTAAAAACAGGTGTCAAAAAGGGTAAACAAAATCCAAAATGGAGCTCCAGCATCAGGTGTCTCTTGAGCAAAGTCTTAAAACTCTGCTTATCCGCTTTCTTCCATTGTACATCAGTCTGGATAGCTGCTGAATACTTGTAAAAAAAAAAAAAAAAGGAAGCATATTGTCACAATTTCCATGTGTTTGTGTCTGAGGGGCTGAGCTGGCAGGCATGAGCAGCCTCGGGTGAATTTTTTTAAAGGAGGGTTTTATTTACCAAAAAATAGAAGTTGCAATTTGCAAAAATATATAATAAAGTTCTGCACCCATTTAAAAAAAGGTCAACTAAATGGATCTTAACTCAGGCAATGCCAACTTACCATACACTAAATTGACTAAACAAACTGACCTAACACACTGAACGCAGAGAAATCTGTGTATGGTTCTGTTTTAAAACCAAAACGAAAAAACAGATGAACAACAAACAAAAAAAAGACATTTGTTTTTTGGTTTTCTGTTTTAAAACGGAAAAATATTGATTTTGATATTTAATGAATCCAACTTGTGTAGCTTTGTGTGTCACACTTGATAAACCTGCAGCAGAAACACTTGTATACATTTAGCTGACGCTTTTTATCCAAAGCGACTTACAGTTGCTATATATGTCCTTTATTTCCTTTGTGAGATGAAAGAATTTAGAAAGTTGCGCGGCGCTGTGGGGAGCCTCCAGCTGCGGGGGGGAAAAAAGCATTATGGGTAAAATCAGGCGCGCCACACTTCATCCAGCCAGGGGGAACGACCACTGGCAACACAACCCATAGTAGGGTGAACGGAGGGGGAGCAGGGGGCTGGAGCATACAGGGCGAGGGAGAGGAGGTCGCCCCCTGGCCGTAGCCTCAAGAAAAAACCCTTGAAAAACATATTTGGGTATTTTCTTAGATCGCTCAGGTAACCAGCTGCTTTAGATTAGCCCAAAACAAAATGCTTCCTTGATGCTGATGTACTTAAGCCACGAATGGGAGAATTTTGAGTGTTTGAGGCTCTGTAATATTGCCTAGTGCTCACTTCTACAATCACATTCGCCACAGTTGATATGAAATGCAATGTGACCTGAAAAGAACAAAAAGTCTTATTAGAGACAAAAAGTCAAGTGAAACAAAAAGTAAATATTAGGCTAAATATTTTTATATTAGGCAATATCCTAATATAAAAATATTTAGCCTAATATTGACTTTTTGTTTCACAGGACACGTGAACACAAGTCTCCTGATTCAAAGGTTCTGGCCCTCCAGGGCCTAGGCCTAGGCTACCTGCCTTTACCGCATCATACAAACTACAATACAAGAACAATCAACCCCAACACTACAATCTAAACTACAAATAAAACAAAGCAGGACACTTTGTCTAACAGTATAAATAGGTCAGAAATAAACCAAAACAAAATCTCAACTTTTCTTTTCCCCCCTGTGATGGCCAGGCATTAGACCTCACCATTGCCAAGGACGAACGTCTTGCTGTTGGTTTCTTCCAAAGAGCAGCAGTGTTGCTGCAGATTGACAGGTAGGAGGCAGCAGACTTACAGTTGACACTACATTAAAGACAGTCTGTTTGTTTAATCATTCAAAAAATGCCATTTTGTGGTTTTATGGAGGTTGTATGTCAGAATTGAGTCACTTCAGTGGTTCAGTGGACACTACTGGAAGCTACTGTGGTAGATGAGGGGAAAAATATAACAAGGTGCTGCATTTTCATTACAAAAATGACCAGTTTTTCATCCATTGCTGTACTGTTTGTCTATTTACATGTTTCTGCACTGCTGTCTCTCCAGGTTGGAGGAGGCGCTGTCAGACTGTATCTGGGCACAGAAGCACATGAGAGGAAACATGGTCATTGACTACAAACAGCTAGGACTGCGATTTAAACTCTACAGCTGGCAGGTCTGACATTTACCCTAACAGACACACCGCACCACACTTCTGTATCCTTCTCCGGAAACATTACAATGCAATAAAAAGCAAATCCGATCCTGTGAGGTATGTCAGTACTGAGGAATGAAAACTGTGCCATCTCCACCGTTGTGTAGTTGAAATGTCAAATACTGTACACCTGGGAGCTAACAAAGCCTCATTGATTGAGGCTGAAGAAGAGGTTGCACAACGTCACATATTTCTCACAAACCAGATAAGACAGGTCGAGTTTCCCACAGACAACACACCTATGCTTACAGCCAGTCACTCACATAAATTTTGGCTTAGTATGGCTAACATGCTTACAGCCTAGGTTTAGCGCCATCCACCTCTGATGAAAATTATGAAGTTTTATCATATAAACTACATGACAGTCACTGGTTGTCAAGGGAATCCAGTGAGCTGAATGATTCCCAGCAACGTTCTGATCGGATTCCACACAAGCATGCATGATGATAATGAAAGGGCTCAACAGTGAAATGATGATCATAGAATTAGTGTTTACTTATGATTGGCAGTAAAGGGTGTCATTATTACATACATTTTATGCATTGACAGCTAAAGGTCCCATGAAATGGACACTTGAATTTACTGAAAAACCGCTGCTTCCTGGAAAACAGTGCATCTTCAGTGGTGACCTATTCCTGAATGTAAATTCAAGGGTTTAAATAAAAGGTACAACCAATAAAGTTGTTGGTGTGTTCAGGCTGGAACAAAACTTTAGAGGTGGTGCAACTGCATAAAACCTCAGTGGAAAGTCGAAAGTAGAAGCCACTTCACCTTGGGTGCCAGACATTTAGACAAAGACATATTTGCAGAAGTTGTTTCAACTTTAGCTGAAATACTTGTGAATTCCAAGAATTCAAGTTCAGTTTATGAACAGACTAAAAGCGAAAGCAGACCAACTACAGTAAAGTATGACAAAGAAGAGTCCCCTGAGTTCTCTTGCCTCATCAACAAGGCCCACATTTTTGCGCATGTAAATAACATGTAAATATTTTCCATATTCTGCACTAACTGTAATTTAAACAACAGCCATGGATGTCGGTAGGCCTATTTTAGGGGGACAGAAGCTACCTTAACAATAGTAAGAAAATTGATTCAGTGTAGTGCATGATACACAGCAAAACTGTAAGTTGTTGTAATGAAAGTTACTTGCTGAACTTTAGCTACGTTTACCTGAGGTAAAGGAAATGGGATATTTTAGTTGGCTATGGAAAACACTTGTCTAGCTAGCTATAGTATTTCAAAACTATCAGTCCCCACAGAATGTTGTTGGGAGACATAGTGTCATAGTGTCCCTGTTAATGCTATTTTACTGGTATATGCTTCAGTTCATTGACCTGATGGATATTTGAAGATATTTTAGGAGAGAGAGAGAGAGAGAGATTCTGAGGTCAGTTGTGGTCTACAGGTCAGTAATGGTCAACAGGTCGAAAGAAATGGGGGGTGTTTTGTTTTCTTGGCATGTCTAGGCAAGGCAGAATATATTTGTATATTCTGACCCACTTAACTTCCTACAATTATTGGCTGTAATAAATTAAATAAATATGTTGATGTTGCCTAAATGTAGGCTAGCTATACATGAGCATATACCCACAGATATACACACATTATAATAAAATGAAAGCAATCATACGTACAGCATCCAAAACATATAGTAATCGTTACTCCAAATATTTTATTCCACCAGGTTATTAAATTCAGACAGTAACCACTTAAAATAAGATCCTTATCAACAGCTTACATGATAAAATATTTGTTGTGTGCTTGTATGCAAGACAAACTACAGAGCAAAATCACACACGGACTGAACCAAGCTACAGTGCAGTAACAGTAATTAGTGTTATTAAATATCATTCTTTGGATCTGCAACTTATCTACTAGAAAGAGGAATTAGATGTTGTATTACTTTATCACACATTTACATGAGTAGCTGGATAGCATTTAACTTTGATGGGTCAAAAACTAACATTACAGTAACTGTCATTCAACACAGAAGAAATTGAAGAATGTCGCTTTGTACTTGTTAACATCTGGTCTTCTTCACTCGTGGTTGGTGGACATAAATGTAGTTCTAATACAGTAACAAAAGATGCGAGTGCTAAGATTTCGCAAGCAAGTTACGCATACCCTGGGGGCTAAGCCCCCCTCTCTTTCAATTCTAGTGACATCCTTGACAACAGCCATATTGTACATATCCTTCATTATTAATCCGTCCCTGCAGGATTTCACAAGCCTATCCCTAACCCTGCATATTTAAACCAGCTTACCCAACGAAGGTTAAAGTTAAGGGCAACTGGACTTCTAGAAGTCCCTTGGATGAGGGACGAAATGTCTTCCAGTATCTTCAACCAAGTCCAATTGCCCTTGACTTTAACCTTCTTTGGACCTTCGTTGGTCTATGACCTGGGTGACTGAGAATCTTCAGACAAAACCAGCTTACCTTGATTCTTTCAGCGGTTACTGGGGATGCAGCAGCCTGTCTCACAGTGATTTGTCTCATCTGACGTCCTCCATGCCTTTCTGCCAATTCTCAGCACATGTTTTGCGGCAAGTGTTCGTCAGTAGACGACACAGGCGTCGCTAGACCCTTTTTACTGGGGCTCGTGCCCCTGTATCCATGTGCTGTCCCAGTGAAATTGTCAAGACCCCTTGGCGTTGTTTTTGGACATGTAGGGCTTCACGGTCAAGTTAGCAACAACTGGTTACATCTGCAATGTCCGGTCAAGTTAGCAATAATATTACAATGTTACAATTTCAATATAAAACTACTTGTTGTGAAAAGGCACATTGTTACAATATGAAGAGTCACAAAAAAAGACTCAATGTTGAAAAAGAGTATTTACAACGCTGATGAGAGGACTGAGTGGGACTATCCTTCTGTGCACAAGAAAAGAAAGTAACTCAATGAGACTGACTTTCGAGAACAGCAGTCAGGTAAACTTGTGTTCTCTCCTCTCAAAGTCTGTTGTGAGCAGCATTTGTAGCTGCAGTGAATCGCTGTCTGTCTTGCTAACCCAGCTGAGCAGCCAACGTGCAACGATGTTTATAAACTGCAGCACTGAAAAGAAAACCACATTGTGTGTGAACATGCGCTCATACGTATATGCATGAAATGAAACTTGTGCATCCTGCTGAACAGGTTTACAATCTGCAGCTGGACCTTATTGCATTCCAGCAGCAACATTAGTGCGACCAGTCCAGACAGCACACAGATGTGATGGCACTCCTCATAGGCACACATAATTTTAAAACGAGACAATAATCATCTGTCTCTCAGTGAAGGTTTAGTTACAACGCTGGACTAATGCAAGATGGAAAGCATGGGATTCACATTAACTATTACAGTTTTGATAAGTGGGGCAGACTGGGCAATATGAATTTACATCTTTCAGTAGATAATAAACATCACAGAGTCATGTCATAGTATAAATAGTATTTTCCTTTTCTAAATGTATTAAAGGAAACCTGGGGAGCCAGTTTGAATGGGCTTGAAGCAGTTGATAACATTAATATCTTGCAAGTATTGATATTTATCATTTACAGGGGCTATGCTGAATTTTGGCAGTAGAGTGATGGATCATTAGCTAGTACAAGCACAGCTGAACCAAATCCAGTACTAGCACAGACCCAGTCCAGACATTTTTCAGAATCAGTTTTATTGCCAGGTACAGTATGTGTACACATACGAGGAATTTGACTCAGGATTGTACATTGCTCACAATGTGCTTACTTATACAATAATACCATAACACAATAAAAAAATAAAATAAAATAAAATCGGCACAAACTACAGAATAGACAACACTAATAGACACACTATGAACAAAACAATATAGACATATTGACGAATAGTGCAGTGATCAGAGTGCAAAGGATGCAGGAGTAAACTATTCTCATAATGTACATGTTGAAGGTGGATATGATATACAGGTACACATACATGTACACAGTGTGATGGAGCATAGTGCAAAGGATGCTGGAAAAAATAAATAAGACTTATGACCTGAGGTAGGTGTATTGGTATACAGTATATACAATATGACATAGTATGAACAGCACTGAAATAGAGAATGGTGAATAAATAATAAGTGGAAACCAGTAAACAGGTGGCTGATTAGAGACAGAGTTACTGGGTTATTGCACAGGAAATGTTCCTGACACTGTGAGTCAGAAATCAGCTGTTCATCAGAGTGATGGCTTGTGGGAAGAAACTGTTCCTGAGTCTGTTGGTTTTGGCTTACAGTGCCCTGTAGCGCCTACCAGAGGGGAGGAGCTGGAACAGGTTGTGTCCGGGGTGAGATGGATGTTTCCTGCCCGTTTCCTGACTCTGGAAATGTATAAGTCCTGAATGGAGGGCAGGTTGGCACTGATTGTTTTTTCTGCAGTCCTGACTGTCCGTTGTAGTCTGCTCCTGTCCTTTTTGCTGGCAGATCCAAACCAGACAATGATGGAGGTGCAGAGAACAGACTGGATGATGGCTGTGTAGAACTGGATCAGTAGCTCCTTAGGCAGTTTGAGCTTCCTGAGCTGGCGCAGGAAGTACATCCTCTGCTGGGCCTTCTTGATGATGGTGTCAGTGTTGGACTCCCACTTCAGGTCCTGGGATATAGTGGATCCCAGAAACCTGAAGGATTCCACAGCAGACACAGGGCTGTTTAGAATGGTGATGGGGGGCAGAGTGGGGGGGGGTCTCCTCCTGAAGTCCACGGTCATCTCCACAGTTTTGAGCGTGTTAAGCTCCAGGTTGTTCTGACCGCACCAGAGAACCAGCTGATCACCTCCCGTCTGTAGGGCGACTCGACCCAGATGAGGCCGATGACCGTTGTGTCGTCAGCGAACTTCAGGAGTTTGACAGATGGGTCCCCTGAGGTGCAGTCGTTGGTGTAGAGGGAGAAGAGCAGTGGGGAGAGCACACACCCCTGGGGGGCGCCAGTGCAGATAGTCCGGATGCTGGATGTGATGTTCTCCAGCCTCTCTTGCTGACTCCTGTCAGTCAGGAAGTCTGTGATCCACTGACAGGTGGAGGCTGGCACAGTGAGCTGGGTGAGTTTGGTGCTGAGGATGTCCGGGATGATGGTGTTGAATGCCGAGCTGAAGTCCACGAACAGGATCCTAGCATATGTCCCAGGAGAGTCAAGGTGTTTCAGGATGTGATGCAGACCCAAGTTGACAAACTGCAGGGGGTCCAGCAGGGGGCCTGTAATGCCCTTCAGGTGGGCCATCACCAGTCTTTCAAAGGACTTCATGACTACAGATGTCAGGGCTACGGGCCTGTAGTCATTTAGTCCAGAGATGGAGGGTTTTTTTGGGACCGGGATGACTGTGGAGCGTTTGAAGCAGGAGGGAACTTCACACAGCTCCAGTGATTTGTTGAAGATCTGAGTGAAGATGGGGGCAAGCTGGTCCGCACAGATTTTCAGGTACAATGGTGAGACACTGTCAGGTCCAGGAGCCTTCCTGATCTTCTGCCTTTGGAAGAGGTGGCTCTTCACAGATCTTGAGTGCAGGTGAGAGGTCAGAGGGGCAAGGCAGGTCACATAGACCCAGGTGAAATACAGTGTGCAGAGGTCAAATAAGCAGTGGTATTTTCTAGAAGAGGTTTCCTTTCAAATAGCGCCTTTCTAGTCTTTTTGACCACTCAAAGCGCTTTTAAACCTAGCCTAAGTGCTCAAACAGAAACTTACATTCACACACAACCAATTATCTTGCCACTTCAACATGCAGCCTGGAGGATCCGGGGATTGAACCGCCGACCTTCCGATTAACGGGCAACCTGCTCTACCTGCTGGTTTATTACAGAGACAAACTGTTAAAGGAGGGGTAGTAGTGACAGCAGGGCAGTGTCAAGTGTGACTGTGCAGTAGTGGCAAATTGTTTACATGGCTCACAAGTCAGGTATGACTTGACGGGTAGAATTTTTCTTAGGTGGTACCATAGGCTGTTGACATGACAGTGCCAATATTAATAGGCTAAGCAAGGGAAGCTGGTGAGGCACATACTAACACATTTCATAAACTTAAATGAAAAATATATCAAAATCAAACATTTACATGGTGAATGAGGGGGTCTGTGCCCCATTAGAGCTTTATGTCTAGGAACACCCCTAGTAGACCATTTGTAGTCAAACTTTATGTTTGACTATAATACTGCACGTTTTGCAAGCTGTTTGTTTTGTTGGCAAAGATGTTGGTTTCACACGTCTGCTGCGTCTTGTAAACAAGGAAGTGAGATTACCGACGTAAGACAGCCTTTTACAGGGAAACAGTGATGATAGGTCACATTTGCAAGTCAAGCTGAATTCAGGGTTGCAGGGTTTGTTGAATTTGTGTTTGTGTACAGAGCGTGTTTCATCACTACATTGAATACGTATGAAGAAGAAGAAGAAGTAGTGGTAGTAGTTTGTTAGAGGTAAGAAGAGAAGTGAAATTTGGGCAAATGGAGGACCGCATGTATCAGCCACCCCAACACGTTTGGAAAGAGAAGGGTGAGCGATGAGTGAGCCGTTAGTTCAGCACTACATTTCACTAAAACTTACACACTGAACCATTCATTCTGTTAGAATAGGTGCGTTCAAGATGACTGTGGCTGACTTTCGCCGACTCTAACGTGAGCAGCAGGCAACTGCAGGGACGGGAAATAAACACGGCGTTGTCAAGTCGGACACATTCTACCTGCATGAGCATACTGTGAGCTGAGATCAACGACTGATCTTGTGGCATTTGCAAAGAAAAATGCTGCAAGACCAGGCAAAAGGTGGTTCCAACTTTGTGCAGAAAAACTCCCGTGAGGTTTTAATGTCAAGTGACATCCCGACGTTTTGCAGCACCAGCGAATGTCTGACACAATTTCTAACCAGCAAGCCGTATTTTAAGTCCTGCATGCATTGAGTTAGTGCTGCGCAGCGTAGTCAAACGCACCTAATATGATGTGTAGGCAAGGACCTCTCTGTAGCATGACAATATTTAATTTAAACAAATATTGCACATCCTGTGGTTTGAAAATAGCAGTAGACCATATTGTGATTTACATAAAATTTAGATTAATTGTGGGTGGTGGTGTCGCATAGATAAGATGCTTGCCTTTGGTGTGGGAGACCTGGGTTCGATTCCCACTGTGAGACATTCACCATTATGTCCCTGAGCAAGACACTTAACCCCTAGTTGCTCCAGAGGCATGTGACCTCTGACATGTACATGTATAGCAGTTGTAAGTAGCTTTGGATAAAAGTGTCAGCTAAAAAATGAAAAAATAAAAAATTTAATTGTTCAGCTGTATTAAATATGTACATAGAGGACCCAAACATAGCCTTGGTACTTCGACAATTTCTATGGCACAATTTAAAAAAAGGATAAATAATTCTTCCTTCTACATTTACTATAAAATGTTATTCTTCAAGGTGGAAAAACTTGTGAAATTGGCACAGGCCTAATAGAAGCTTTCGATGCATAGACATATGGCCCTGATGAATACTCGAATAATAAAGCTGCTTTACAGCCTCTATAGCAGAATAGTGTTTGCTGGCAGCTCCATCCTGCAGTGTTTAAAAACCTACTGTAAGTGCATGGGGAGTTTTTGTTCCAAAACCAGAGAGTGAGTTTGGAAAAAAAAATTAGTTTAGTCATCTGTCATCTACTCCCCCTCATCCTCCACAATCCACCAGAAATAAATTATATGGAACTTTCTGTTATACTGGTTTTCACATTACCATACCACTACCTTGTATAATGTATGTATATAAGAAACTCTATATATTGTCTTTATTTTTGTTCCATTCTAATTTTAAATATTTGGATACAGCATGGGGGGCTACAACTTTAATTTAATTGCACAGCCCTGTGTGTAGAATGACAAATAAATATACCTTGAACCTTAAACCATCACAGACAGTTATTTTTGGTAGATGATTATGTAAAATCTTTATTTAATAAATAATTTTAATCTCTATGATACTGACTAATGACTAATGTATTTTGGTGATGTGTCCTCTAGGTGTTATATAATGCTGCAGCTGTGTACTGTCAGATGGGCCAGTGGGAGAAGGCCAGAGAGGTTCTGCTATCAGCCTCCCAGGAGAGAGGAGGAAGTCGAGGGGGAAACATAGAGGTGGCTTTGGACAGCATCCTGGTAAGTGTCACAGCTTTCACAACAGACTGGAAAGGACATGAGACAGACTGTGGTAACAAATTTCCAAAGTCAATTGCCCTTGCACTATTTATGCTGTGTATGTTTGTTGTTTGCATTTCTGCAATTGCCATACTTAAAGTCCTAACAAGGTAAGAAAGATGAGGATGATTCTCCAAAGTGGGGAAAGTTTGGTCTGTCCTTTAACTTCTTAACTTATACAACTTTATCTTCCTAGAAAACAGTGAATTACTTACAGTGTTTCGTTTGATCCTGCTGGCCTGTTACTTATCAGGTAGCAGCAAGAGCAGTAACCTCATTTGCAGGTCAAAACCCCAGCCACAACCCGGGGGTGTATCTCCACCTGTTGAAATGTGAGTGGAGGGGTATGAAATCAGAATCAGAAATACTTTATTGATCCCCGAGGGGAAATTCTTTTGTCAAAGGTAGATAGATAAAGAGTATATAAATATAATATCATACATATAAAAAATAAAGACAAATATAAAGGTGTGCGGGTATGTACAATATTTACATTATTAAGAATTATTACGGTGAACCAAAAAGGACAGGTGAATAAATACCAGCAGAGAATATTGCACATTAATTATTAGACAGGTAATATTGGACAGAAAATAGATAATGAGGTCAGGAATGACTTCCTGTGGCGCTCTGTGTTGCAATTTGGGGGGATGAGTCTTGCACTGAAAGTGCTCCTGTGTTTGAGCAGCACGTCATGGAGTGGGTGGGAGACATTGTCCAAGATGACATGTAGTTTGGACAGCATCCTCCTCTCTAACACCACCGACAGAGAGTCCAGCTCCACCCCCACAACGTCACTGGCCTTGTGGATCAGTTTGTTGAGTCTGTTAGTGTCCGCTACTCTCAACCTGCATGCAACAGCAAACAGGATGGCACTGACCACCACAGATTCATAAAACATCCTCAGCATCATCCTGCAGATGTTGAAGGACCTCAGCCTCCTCAGAAAATAGAGACGGCTTTGGCCCTTCCTGCAGAGTTCTTGAGTGTTCTTGGCCCAGTCCAGTTTATTGTCAATGTGCACTCCCAGGTATTTGTAATCCTCTACAATGTCCACACTGATCCCCTGGATGGAAACAGGGGTCACTGGTGCCTTGGTTCTCCTTAGATCCACAACCAGCTCTTTAGTCTTTGTCACGTTGAGCTGCAGATGGTTCTGCTCGCACCATGTCACAAAGTCCCCCACCACAGCTCTGTACTCAGCCTCGTCACCCTGCTGATGCATCCAACCACAGCAGAGTCATCAGAAAACTTCTGAAGGTGACAGGACTCTGTGTGGTAGTTGAAGTCTGTGGTGTAGATGGTGAAGAAGAAGGGAGAGAGGACAGTTGCTGACCACGCTGTCTGACACACAGTGTTGCAGTCGCACATACTGTGGTCTGCCAGTCAGGTAGTCAACAATCCAGGAGGGGGGCATCCACCTGCATCGCTGTCAGCTTCTCACCCAGCAGGGCCAGCCTGATGGTGTTGAAAGCACTGGAGAAGTCAAAAAAACATGATCTCACAGTGCACGCCGACTTGTCCAGGTGGACGTAGATGCGCTTGAGCAGGAAGATGATGGCGTCCTCAACTCCCAGTCGGGGCTGGTAGGCGACTGTAGTGGGTCCAGAGAAGGGCTGACCATGGGCCGCAGCTGATCCAGAGCCAGTCTCTCCAGGGTCTTCATGTCCTTGGAGTCACTGGGACATGGTAAGATGTCTTCCACAGCACAGGGACCCGACGGAGGCTCAGGGTGAAAACACGGTGAAGGACCCAACATAGCTGGGGGGCACAGGCGGGACGGACACCGTCAGGGCCTGCTGTATGCATCCTTAACGTTAGCATGCAGCAGGTCCAGGGTCCTCTCCTCTCTAGTATGGCAGCTCACATACTGGGTGAAGTTAGTAAGTGTGGTGGTCATGGTGACGTGGTTGAAGTCACCCGAGATCACTATGAGGGCACTCGGTTGTTGAGTCTTGAGTTCATTAATGGCGGTAGCAGTATTATCCACTCACCTCAGTCCTAAGAGTTGAGTTAACATTACTGCAATTTCAACAAAGTTGTTAGGAACTGGCCTTGGTGAGGACAACAGGACAGACATACTACTAATAATATATACTCTTATATATAATAACATATTTAAATACAAAGTATCATAAACATAATGGATAAGCTAGAAACAATATGCCTTCAGTGCAGGTTTGCTCCATTTTCAGGAATGCCCTGACACAGTTACACAGATTCACATTTGAAAGCTGCCTAGTACAACCACAGTCTGACCTGCTCCAATGGAGAGGTTGGGATTGGTGGTAATGAGGGAGGGATGCTGTTTTTAAACTTTCTCTCTAAAGGGGCAATTTCATTGTGTCATTAAATGATACCTTTTAGTGCTCTTCCTGGCAAAAGGTGGGGCTCTGGTTATTCAATATAACAGTTTAACAACTTTTACATAAAACAAATACAGATTTTTCAGTTCAAAAGTTAACTCCAAAAGCCCAGAGCTGAAAATAAAAGTTATTGCTCCTCTCATTATATTTTGATCATATAGTGTAACGTCCTCATGTGGCTCAAGCCAAGGTGGAGAGGAGTAACAAATATAAATGAAAACTGGGTCTAAAGAAACAGGAAACAGATTATGTGCAGACAAATAGATATTTATTAACGTACATATCTTACAGAAGAGACACAGACAAAGAACTAGACTACTTAACAAAAAGGTGGTGACATAACTTTTAACCAAAACACAAAACTAGCAACTTAAATTAAAAACACATTAAACGCCCTCCTTCTTCCAAGGGAGTATGCGAGCCCACAGCTCTGCTAGTCCCAAGCACACAGCTCCATGCAGCTCCACTCCTGCTGCACCAAAACAAAAACACAAGACCCATGGCTCTAGGGCCGTAACAATATTCTAACTTAAATTTGTGATTTAATATTTCTAAAAAAGCTATTTGAAAAATCAGAACATGTTAATTCTTTCATTTGCGTTAAAAAAGAACACTTTACTCTGACTTTAATTACAGAAGAAGGATCTCCTGCCCCCTCTCCTGGTCCCTGAGGGTGTGGTGTTTCGTCCTAGGAAACAGGATGTGGAGCAGCTGCAGCAAAGAGACTTCCTGGGCAAAGCAAAGGTAGACTGTCCCCATGGTGAATGTTGTGTCATGGGTGTATGGTATGATGATTGAATTACTCCAATTTGCTTTTGTCACTTTCATAATACTAATGACAGAAATGAAATCAATCATAATAGTGCAGAATTCAGAATGGAAGTCACATCACCTCTGTGTGCCCTTTTTTCATTGTTGCTTTACTTTATACCTAATATGAAGCACATTTGGTAGTTGTGGCTTGGTAATTGGGTCCTTGTGCCCCAAGTGCCTCAAAGGTCCCCGGGTCCATTGATTGTAATTCATTTCATTAATTGCACATTTGTTTAGGAAGGAGTACCACTAAAATACAATTTCAAGTAAGGCCTTGAATCTAATTCCATGTAAAGGCATGTGCAGACTACACAACTTTCAGCATTGGCAGATCGCCGCGCTGTTCAGACTACACAACTTGCCGTCTTGTAACGGGAGTCTTGAAGTCACCAATGAGTCACACTATGTGACTCATTGGTGACGGGGGTCACACACTCACCCGGCTGGTCTCAAACCACATTTTGTCAAAAAAACACAGGTGAAATGTGAAATGGGGAAAAGACGCAAAACTACACACGAAACAGCTGTTGTTTATTATTATAAAGATAAACATTATACAGACAAAGAATAGGCCAATGGGTGAAAGAATGGATTAGCACATGCTGGTAGCAGAAATTTTCTGTGCTACAGAGAGAGCTGGAGGTGAGTAAAAAGTGTTTTCTAGTGAAAAAGTGGCTGCCTGCTCTGCCAGCTGCCTGCTCTCATTGGCTGGATGTAGATGTCGATTCGACAGAGTCCACCAGATATTTGGCATGCTAGATATCTGGCTAGTGTTGGCGATGCATCAGTGATGCATCGGAGAGCCGTTTTGAAGGAAGGTAAATATTTTCCCTCTGATGTCCTCTGGCTGCTCTGCCTCAACTCTGTGATTTATTAAGTTTGATGGACAGATACCTTTACTTGTTGCTAACGCTACGGATTGCTAACTGCTTGCTGTCGCTAACAGTAGCACCTGTTATCAGCTGGCTCTGAACCAGCGATCCAAACCTTCTGTAGTAGTGTTAAGAGGTGTAAACACAAACACAGTCCGGGCAGAATCAGCAATAGGACAGCTAGCTGCACGGCTAACTGAGTTGCTAACTTAGTAGTAGCTGCTAAAGTAACCAGTATCATATAACTCCGTAAATTGGCAGTGGGGGCAGAGCAGCCGGAGGACATCAGAGGGATAACCGGACAACATTTTCTCCATCAACTCCAATCCAGTTTTGGTAAAACCAGAGAATGAAGTTGCGTTTTTGTACAGTAAGGGCTATTCTTGCACAGAGGTGGTTACTCATGTGACTGTAATTGAGTAGCTTTTTTGTGTACTTGTACTTTTTAGTAGTTTTTTGAATCTGTAATTTTACTTATACTTAAGTATGTTTTGTTTAAACCCTACTTTGCTAAATTTTCAATCACATCCGTTACTGAGTAAAAAGAAAGTGCAAGGAAAAACTTGTGAAGTTGAAATAGTCACAGGAAGTGCAATCTGTTTGACCGCTGTCATGTAGACCGCTACATTGTGTCTACACGACAAGAAAACCGTAATTTTCAACAGTTTCAGCACTGCCCCGAGGAGACCCCATTATCCAATGCGCAGTGTTGAGGAAGTTGCCACCCAGATTTCAGGTGCTAAAGTGTTCTCTGTGTTAGACACAAAGAGCTCATTCTGGCAAATACGTCTCAATCACAAGTCATCAATGCTGACCATATTCAGCACACCTTTCGGGCACTAATGATTCCTTCGCATGCCATTTGGCATAAGCTCAGCAAGCAAAGTTTTCCAGCGCTCAATGGAACAGCTGTTTGCAGGATATCTGTGTGCTATTATAGTGGACGACATCATCATAGGAGGTTGTAATGCTACAGAACACAACGCCAACCTAAAAAAAGTGCTGGACTGGGCCCGAGAGGAAAAACCTCAGGCTGAACCATCTCAAATGCAAGTTCCGCATGGACCAGGTCTGCTATGTGGGTCACATATTTACAAAGGAGGGCCTCGAAGCCGACCCGAAGACAGTGGCGATCACAGCGATTCCTTGGCATGGTGAACTATCTTGGGAAGTTCATCCCAAACTTCAGTGAGATTGCAGCGCCTCTGAGACAGCTCACGCACAAAGACACTGCGTGGTGCTGGTTTCGTCCGTCTCAAGTTTTATCATACTATGATGTGAGAAAACCAGTTACCCTGACCTGTGATGCGTCATGCTATGGACTTGGTACTGCATGTCTACAGGAGGAGAGACCAGTTGCCTACGCGTCTCGCACGCTCACGGACGCAGAAACACGATATGCTCAAATCGAAAAGGAGCTGTTGGCAGTGGTGTTTGCATACACCAAATTCAAGGATTACGCGTATGGGAAGCCTACGGTCATTGAAACCGACCACGAACACCTCGTCACAATCCTAAAGAAACCCATCCAAACTGCTCCTGCCCAACTGCAAAGGATGCTACTACAATTACAGGCATATGACATCACACTAGTCTACAAGAAGGGTAAGCACATGTACCTAGCCGACAACCTATCACAAGCTCCAAACAAAACTGTCTCACAAAGTCCAGCTGCAAACAACACATTTGAGGTGATGTCCATCAGCTACATCTCAACTAACAGACTAGAGGAGCTAGATGATTCAACGTGGATGGCCTGACAAAGAACGCAGCGTCCACCCATCCATCTGTTCATTCTTCCCTTACAGAGACGAGCTGGTAGTGGAGGATGGAATAGTCATCAAGGGCCACAAAACAGTAATTCGGGGCGGCTGTGGCTCACGAGGTAGTGCAAGTTGCCCGTCAGTTGGAAGGTCGGCGGTTCAATCCCTGGCTCCTCCAGGCTGCATATCGAAGTGTCCTTGGGCAAGATACTGAACCCCCAAATTGCCCCAGGTGGCTGTTCCGCCAGTGTATTAATGTGTGTGAATGTTAGTTTCTGTTTGAGCACTTAGGCTCAGTGTATGAATTTGTGTGAATGCAGATGTAGTGTAAAAGCGCTTTGAGTGGTCGAAAAGACTAGAAAGGCGCTATACAAATGGGGAGCATTTATATTTAATTTATATTTAATTCTCCACTCTCTGCACCGGGAATACATCAATATTGTACACAACCAGGTCAACCAGGTGCAGGGCCAGGAGCACTGTCTTTTGGTCGTCAATGAACAAAGACATTGCAGAAGAACTGCTATCACGCTCCGTCTGCAACAGCACCAGACCACCCCAGCAGAAGGAACCTCTACAGCCACATCCATTTCCTGCCTTGCCATGGTCTACAGTGGCTACTGATATGTTTGAGTGGCACGGACAACAGTACCAGGTGTTGGTAGACTCGTACTCAGTGTGGTACGAAATCGACCTTCTCCGTGACACAACTTCAGCAGCTGTGATCACAAAGCTGAAAAGGCACTTTTCTGTCCATGGAATGCCTCACACCCTCATCAGTGATAATACGAGGCAATACTCAAGCCAGCGCTTCAAGGATTTTGCTGAGCAGTGGGACTTCATTCACGTCACCAGCAGCCCAAAGTATCCACAGTCAAGCCACCCACTACAGCCGCTTGCAGAGGGACAAGTCGTCAGGATGCAGACCATCAAGGGACACAACCACATGGGCACCGTGAAAGAAGTGTGCAAGGAACCACACTCCTACATCATCGAGTCCGATGGAGGGACCTCTAGGAGAAATCGCCGTCGCATCCTCCCCGTCACTAAGCCACCACCACGACAGGTCGACCCTGCAGACTTTGATCGTCAGTATGCCGATGCAGCTGCACCAGACAGTCCCCCACACAAACCACACACATCTCGAGAGACTCAGTTGACCCCTCAGCCCACCAGTGGGCAGCAGAGGCCTGCTGTTCAGTCTCCAACGAAAGTAACACCAGGTAACACACTGTATGTGACACGCTCAGGTTGCGTCTGCAGGCCTAATCCAAAGTATGAACAATGAATATTTAGTTGTTATGGGCTGCAGACCAAAGACATTTAAGAGTCAATGAAAAAAAAAAAGAGAATTCTGAAGTAGACTCCATGGGACTCTTTCTGGTTGTAGTACTTAGCATATAGCCTTGTTATGTTAAGAAAAAAAGAAAGAAATGATAAAACAAATAGACAATATCTGCACTTAATTTTTTTCTGTTCCAGTGAGAATGTTTTCAGCTACTACTCAATGTACTGAATTCACATATGAATGTTAAAAGTATAATTTCACTATATGAGGGAATAATTTCTTTGGCTACCGTTGAGTATAAAAAATGGTTGTACTACACTTTCATACTCTACAGCAATGTTATCAGATCAAACAGTTAATGCCTAGCCTTTTATTCTGTTTGCTGTAAAGGGCACAAACTAAAGAAAGGGGATGTTGATCATTCTGGTGGACACTACAAGACACCATACCTGAGGAAGTTTACCTGTCCTGTGTGTACATCTCCCACCCGTTTTGCTAGTATAGCTTGTTGCCTGTGGCTGTGTAAGTTCATTATACTCAACAGAGGTTTACGTAATAAACACATCCGGCTTGGATTCAAACTACGGACTCCTCACTCATTTCTACACTTCCAGACAATAATTTGTTTAGCTGCCCCAGACTTCTGTGCCCTGTGGTATTAAAAGTCATCTGCTGTTAACACCAGAAACTACAGGTGTCTCATGCAAAATAACGGCATCTGCTTAATAGCATCCAAATCATTAATTTGGATGCTGATTAATGCCAATCAGAGTTACATTTACAGATTTTAACCATCACTCCTCAGTGAACTGCCTCCTTGTCTGAGAGCATTTTCAAGTTAAGTAGGCCTATGTAGTAGCCTATGTAGATTTATCATTATCGATTAGGCCTACCATGTTTTTAGGAGTCTGTTTACACTGATAGAAGCTAACAAAAACATTTTACATTCATTTTACAGTTGACAATATTAAACAGTAGGTTTATATGGCACTTATTTTGAAAGTCTGGCCCTCACAGTGTCTGTTTAGAAAAATTAGTGCCCTTGAACAAATGTAGTTGAGGACCCTTGATGTAGAGGTCAGTTAAATAATAGCCTACTTCTATTGGTGGTTAAAAAATAAGTTTTCATAGTTTGGTAAGATGCTTTACTCTAAATAGCCAAAAAGATACTGATGCATGACAATCTTGGTTGGCATTAGTAACTTGCTGGTAATTAGTTATTTATTATACTAACGCTTATGGTATCCCATTAAATAACCACCTGTTTGAATGTAAATATGGATATGACTTCATATACAGTCCAGTGATTCCCGTTTTCCCAGTCCAGTGCGGCTTGCCAGAGTCTAATCTCTTCCGCCGCAGTTTTCTAATGCCGAAAACATTCTCAAACTTCTCATAAAATGTCATTGTTTTTCGCCATTGATTTGGTATCTGTCAAACAAACTAAAATTGAAAGTTCCATATGACTTTGTTCCATTATCAAATCGCAAAAGACTGCAATTTAATTAAATAAGTATAACAAGTATAAGATATTAAATCAACATAAATAAGTTGTTTTAGGAGGTTAAAGAAGTAAGTAAGTAACCTAAGTAACTTTTACTCTGAGTAAATTTTAAATGAGCTCCTTTTTACTTTTACTTGAATAGATTTTTATACCAGTAATTTTACTTGTACTTAAGTAAAAGTTCATCAAAGTAATCATACTTTTACTTAAGTAGAATATTTTTTTACTCTTTCCACCTCTGGTCTCCTATAGCATGCCTTGATTTAGCTGGTGCCGCTAAGGCCGGCCCTCTTCTGTGCTTGGGGAAGTTGGCCAATCGGAAGCAAATGGGCGGGGCACTTTATATAGACAGGAGCTAAAACTGAGTGTTCAGAAAGAGTGTGAAAAGAGGTGGTGAAGCAGTCGACAATGGGAAATATGATGTGTTTTTTGAACATTAAAGCATGCAAACATTTTCTAGTAGAAACCCTAAATACAATTATGAATGTGAAAATAAGCATTCTATGGCACCTTTAAAGGGATTTGGCATTCAGATGAAACAGTTGCCAGCTGATGTAGATTATCCTAAAACAGAATATAGATATAAGACAAGGTCAAACTGCAGAGAATCCTTTTTTTTGCTTGGTTAAAAGTAGGAGTTAAGGGTACGGTAGGTTAGAGAATGTTGTCGCCTGTCAGAGGGCTCAGCAGATTTATGACACCAGCCTGATTCCCACTGAAGGGCTTAATGATGGCTAAAACATCACATAACATGAATACTGGGCTTCCATAGGAATGCTTACCCAACTTTTCACTGTATATTGATAGCTAACTTTGGACATTAAATTATCATCACATATTATTTGTATACAACATTTTTGGGAATGGCATTTTGATAAGCAATTAAATGTTTGATTAAGTAATAGTTAATTTTGCTTTCGTCTGCTTTCTTGTAGAAATTTCACCCAAATACTTTGAGTTACATCCAAAACATCCAAAAACATTACAAATAGTTGACATGGAAATTAAACTACATCTGAAGTCAAGTGTGTAGAATTCAGTAATGTATGGTGCTCTACTTGCAGGTGATTTCCTCCATGATTCCGAATGATGATTTTGGAGGCTTTGAACCTCTGAGGCTGCAGGTAAGAATGACCAAATTGTCAGTATTCACCAGCAAGGACCACACCATCAACCGATGCGTTTAAATGATTTACTGATGAAACCAAAAGAATGTGTGCGAGGCTTGACTCGCTGTACAGCTTTGGTTTGCTAGTGCATTGTAGGGATGCTTCTGTGAGAAATCTTCTGTAGTAGCTGGGCACGATGGACCCCCAAAAGCTTCCAGTTATTTGAGAGAAGATTGGGTTGATCTGAGATCTTTGAGATCTGAACGAATGTAGCTTGGTACGCTTGGGAGGACCATTGGCCCATGATCTATCATGCCTTTGCAGCAGTTTGAGGTGGCGGCTTCAGTCCTGAAGGAGTGACCGCAGTAATGGACAGGAGAATGCCTGACAAAGAGAGTACATGGCTACAGGGTACAGGGCTGGTTGAACTAGAATAGAGTAGCTACCTGTCCGGACTCTGACATGAAGAGAGGATCAGTCATGGTTATTCTCTAAGATTTCCAGGATTGCAAGTAGTTTGCAAGGGAACGGTTGGATGCAAGAGGAAGACTGCAAGGATTTTGAGCTGGCTCTTGGCAATCCCCTGGGAAGTAATGCTATCTGTGGAGGGTTAGTGGCCTGGCTGGGGCTGCCGGTTAGGAGTTTGGAGAAGAAGCTAATGCCTCTACGGTAAACTTTGATGGTGTGCATTTTTATGGCCATCATGGAATGGGCATAGCTGACTAAACAGGACATGGTAACCTGACTGAACAACAGGAAAGTTAAGTTAGAAAGGGTTGAGGGCGCTATACTGTTGATGATAGAATTCTGGTGATTAACAATTATGGGTATTAGGGTAAGATTTACATGTTGAGTATCATGGCAGAATATGGAGGAACCAGTGTTGGAGGGGCCCAGCTTATGGACTTCTGGAATGAGTAATGCAAAATGAGAAAGAGAGTCAACGATGGCATTGGAATGACCGGGAACATGAGCTGTTCGAAGAACGTATTGGTGTGTAATACTGTACCAGTTGGTCTGTGGTCTATTCACAGGGCTTTGAAAAAAGACTATTAGAACACTGCAGCTGGGATCGTGACGAAAACTAGGAAATTTGACACATTATTGAACTGACTTCAAAATCTTGCTGCTCGTCTACAAATCACTCTGTGACTCTGGGTCCACATATCTGATATGCTTGTGCCATATGAACCCCCGAGAACCCTTAGGACATCTGGGACTAGCCTATAGGACTCTTACATTACCTGGAAGAGAGCTGATGTTGAGGGAACTGTGGGCATGATTGAGGTGTGGTCCTGCTCCTGAAATTCTGCTAGATAGCTTAAATTTATAAAGATATTGTAGTCATTCCCTTTGTTAACTTTCTCTCTGTTTTCCCCACAGAAACCTGGTTTCTATGAGCCCAAGGTGGATGGAGCGCAGTGAGTTTTATCACCAGACACACAGAAATATTATTAACACGAGCTGGGGCCTCATTTATAACCGTTGCATATGTACAAATAAAGGAGTGAAATGTGCGTATATAAGCATAAATTGAGATTTATCAAGAACTTTCCAAGGGGTCACATGATGGCGATGAGCTGAGCAGACACTTTTACCAGAGCTCTATGCCACTCGGTGCAAATTTTTTAAGACATTTTTGTTATGAACATAACAGGCTATGTCCTTGGAAAACTTTTTTGCCACAGTCTTTTGATGAGATGGGAAGAACCAGAGGACATAAAGACAAAAAAGACGTCCCGGCCGAATTTGATACTGCAGATTAGGGTGACCAGACATCCCCGTTTTCCGGGGACAGTCTTTCTTTTCTTAACGTCTATCTTCAAACGGAGAAATTAAAATAGGAATTTCAAAAAACCAAAATCGGACCATTATTTGAATTTGGTTTAGTCATTTTTCAATTCAGAAACCAATAACTGGAGAACGGCTCTTTTTTTCCGTTTCTTCGTTTTTGGTTTGAAATGACAAACGAAAAAAAGGTGGTTTCTTGTTTGTTCGTTTTGTGGTTCAAACGAAAAAACTAACTATCACGACGTACAGGGACCCAGGAGATGCTAAATTGCAAAGGAGTTGGGTGGGGCAAGTTTTTGCTCATATTCTTCTTTCAGTAGGTACATAGCCATTTTGATTAGTAAATAGCTGGCATTTAGGTCTCTTGATTGTGTTAAAGATAGCCAGGTTCGGTATGTAATTGTTAAAGGAATACTCGCAGGAAAAGAGGTTACATTTATGAATCTATATTGTCCACCAGCCTATTCCCCTTATTTTCTCTCCAAGGCTTTTACAGTTTGTTCATGTTTTACAGGCTTCAGGGGACTCTTTTGTGGGAGGAGATTTAAATTGTCACCTTAATCCCTCTCTTGACAAACTTCCATCTGACATTTCACCCCTCCTAAGAAAGCGAGGGTGCTCACTAATATGTCCTCATATTGAATATTCTGATGTGTGGAGGCAGCTTTACCCTACTGCTTCGGAGTTCACTTTTTTCTCAGCCCCACATAAAAGCTATACCAGAATTGATTACATTTTCATCCCCTCGTCGAAAATGTGTCTTGCTTTATCATATTCTATAGGCAACAATTTGTTATCAGACAACGCCCCACTTTATTTGTTATATTCTCTTGCTAAGGACAGGGCAATGTCACGGTGCTAGAGATTTTGCCTTTATCTTCTTAAAGATAACATTATTTCCTACTTTACTTCAGAATTTAAGATTTTTTATTCTATCAACTCACCATCCACAGATAATCCCCCTGTCCTCCAGGAGATGTGTAAAGTATACTCTTGTGGACTGATTATGTCTTTTGTTGTAAAAGACGTGGGAAGAATGAACAACTTAAACTTCTCGAATCTCGATTAGCTGAATTGGAGAAAAATCACATATCTAGCCTGAGTCCTGCTTTGCTTAAGGAACTGTTATACGGACGTACTGCATTGAATACTTTTCTAATTCAGGATTCTGAACAGTCCCTTAAATTTGGCCAGGCAGAAACTATATAAGTCTGGGGATAAACCTGGAAGATATCTTGCTAATATTGTCAAGAAGAGGGCAGATTCTCAAAACATAGTCTCTATTACTTACTCTAATGGTGTTAGATCGTTCGATACTAGAACCATTAATAAACACTTTGCATCATTTTATTCCAACTTATATAGTTCCAAACAGCCTTACAATGCCTTGACCCTTATGTGTCAGTTTTCTGCAGATTTAAGACTTCCCAAAGCTACGGATGATCAAAAATTACAAATAAATGTCCCAACTACTAGAGAGGAAGCGCTACTTGCTTTGAAATCTATGCCGTCCGGTAAGACCCAGGGCCGGAAGGAGTTTAGTGGTATTCTTTTAGACCCTCTGCTGTCTATGCTCAATCATTCATTTGAGAATGGGACCCTACCGCAATCCCTTAGGGAGGACAACATTTCTCTCATCGTTAAAAAAGGAAAATGCCCAGATAGCTGCGCCTCATACAGGCTGCCCTACTTAACTCTGACCAAAAGCTGCTCTCCAAAATTCCAAAATAGAGAACGTTCTGCCCCATATTAAGGCTGCACAATATGAGGAAAAGCTGCAATGTGCGATAACATTGTTCAATATTGCGATGATATGACTTGCGATAAATAAACAAATATTCAAGTGTGAATTGTTAGTGATACTGTTCCAATGTCAGTCCAATGTTTTCAGTCACGTGACATGCGCGGTGACCTGGAGGGCAAAACAACAGACCAACACAGCGACTCCCCTGTAGAGACGCTGCAAAAGCACCTTTCACCTTTCAACTTAATAAAAAGAAAGATATGCACACAAACTGTAAGTGTTGGGCACTACCGATCCATATAGCATTACAGCATCCGCTGCCCCATTTCTACCGTTAACAACCGCCAGATCTCTGCCGCCGATCGACTGCGGTAATGTTTACTTTTACCTTCTGGGGAATCCCTCACCTAGCACAGCCCAGACTTGTCTCCTCCTCGCTTAGTAGGCCTAAATCTGAAGACACAACAACCATCCAGCATTTTGGCAACGCAAAAAGTAACAAACTCAAAGTAACAGTGTATCACTTGCATATTGGTTGGCAGGCAACAGAAAATAACGTCTTTTTTGCCCTTCAAGGGAGCGTTTTCCTTGGAATGTGACGTCACGTGAAAACTATGAATAGGTTCTTTGAGAACATAGAACCTAAACATTGATTTGCTAGGTTTCAAACATGTATGTGGACATGTTATCACATCCCCTGAAGTGCGCGAAGAGCTTCTCTGAGGGTGAACTAGTCGTAGGTATACAAAGATACTTCCGAACAAGTTTGGTCAGCTTTGGGTAGGTGACCTGGTGGAGTTTCCACCAGGCCAAAGGGTCAGCTTCACTGTGAATGGTGGGGGAGAGCAAGTAGCTGTTAATTTCAGCTTCAACAGCTTGCTCCAGATGCATGAAAGATGCTGTTGGAGTGGGGCTTGGATTTGTTTTGAGCAAACAGCCCAATGATCGCTGTGGCTCCATGGTCTGGGCCTCTGTGTTCTCAGAAGGTGTCCCCTCCTTCTGTGCTGAGTCTTTCATTTCTGACATGATCCTGCTCTTGATGTCCTCAACTTTTTCACTGCTGATGTAGGTAACCTTGAACCTAGGGTCCATGAAGGATGCAATGTCCAGAGGTTCTTGTGTTCCTCGGTCATCATACTTTGTATTCATGTAATCCAGGATTTTCACTTTAATGGACTTGGTTAAATCTGTGTCATCTTCCTTTTCTGCAAGAACCGATGTCGGACGGGTTTCACATATGAAGCACTGACATAGATTTCCCCGGAAAGAGCAAGTACATCCAGGTCTTGCCAGGAGGGAACCAGATGCCGTGTTTTCCGGTCTGCCGATAGAACATCAGACCCTCTCTATCATCATATGCCTTCAGCCCCACCTAGTTGGACATTCTGTGATGAGTGAGTGCTCAGGGAGGTTGTGCTCCTGTTGTGCTTTTTTCAGTGCCGTCTTCTGCTTCCAGCTGTGGGAAAAATGTCCCACCAATTTTTTGCAAAGCCCAGCAGCACAGTCAATGCGGCTGTCATCCTTAACAGCATTTTCTGAAAAGAAGATGTGAAATAAATTGTTACAAACTATTCAAACTAGCAGTAATCATTGTGGCCAATTAATTATTTAATTATTGTTATAAAGTAATATTTCAGAGGCTGCATAATTAACTACAATTATTACACAGTGATAATTCAGGTACTACATACTATAGGCACTGTCCCTGTTGGATAATTCAGAGCTGACCATGCAGTGTGGAAATACAACTTCAATTAATATTCTTAATTTTACAAGTCCTCAGTGTTTGCAATTGTTTATTTTAACTTAATAATATTCAGACAGTTGCCTACATGCCATCACATGCTTTTCCCCGCTGAGAACTCAATCTTTGCCAACACAGAGAAATTGACAAAAATTACATTACGTAATAAACCAGGCATAATCATCTCAATGATTAATATGGTCTGTTGTTCAGGTTATAAAATAATACTTGCAATAGCCTACAATAATACCATGTAAAGCAAGTATCATTTACATTTACCAATGGCAAGATGCAGCCTATGGCCAAAGCACTGAAGTCGTTGGTTGAGTTCTGTGGCTTTCACAATGTTTGGCCCTTTGTCGGTGGTGATGCAAACCAGCTGTTCTTCCCGCAAATGCCAGCTGGCCAAAGCATCACATAGTCCGCACACAGTGTTTTCTCCGGTGTGTTGTCCGGGGAAATAGGCTCTCTGTCGACATCATGTTTTCAGTTCAAAGTCTTGATCCAGAAAGTGCAGTGAGGCTGATGTAGGGCTCTGTCGTTCGACTGGACCAAAGATCTGTGGTACAAGCGTAGTGTTCAACTTGACTCAATTCCAATTCCACATTATTGGATTGGCGACTTGCGAAAAATAAGTCCGTGATGGAATATGGTATCTTCGGTCCATTTTGGTCAGGCTCACCAAACTTTAGTCACTGTGTTTATCGGCATCATGTCCTTCGCCAAATAACGAGTTATGGCCTCTGATTTCTCTGTGGCGTTTGGATGATTTGTCATATGGAGTCACACTCGCAAAACCACCTGTTAAACTGACTGTTGTTGTAGTGATGGCAAAGTTTTAGATTTGTTTCTACTTGATGTTTGTAGTTTTGTTGTTTGGCTAGTTTTGAACTGTTCGTGTAGGTCTTTATGAATGTATTGCAGGTGGTGATGGAGGTTGGTCATGTTTACCTCTTGAAATTGCCACTTCGGTTTGGCATGTTTTACACAGTACCTGCGTTTGTAACACGTCATTTCTTCTGAATCCAAAATAATTCCATATAGCTGAAGTGCTGTTCTTTTTCACCACAAGGTCTTTGTCAGACACATTTTCCTCACTCTTCTCTCCTTCCTTCGCCATTGTATTTGCTAACGGCCAACCACTAAATTGACACCAATCAATCTGAGCGTAGCGGACGCTTCCAGGGGCTTCATCTAATTGGCATGAATGCACCAACCTCGTCTTCAGGGCTACACGTGATGGGTCAAATGGCAATGCGGAGTGTGAATGCTTGGTGCGTGTAATAAATTTTTTTCCCATATTCATCGTTTCAGGCAGTATTTTGCGATGTGTTCACTGCGCATGTGCATTTTGCGATGATGATGAAAATGAGATGTATCGTTCAGCCCTACCCCATATTGCTAATATATATATTTAATATTGAGAATTTTGTCAGTTGGATTAGGGTTCTGTATAATACTCCAACGGTGGCAGTTCTGACTAATGGACTGAGATTCGACAACTTCCCCCTCCACCGTGGGAACAGGCAGGGTGACCCCCTCAGCCCCCTGCTCTTTGATATTGTTATTGAGCCGCTGGCCCAAGCAGTAAGGCATCTTTGTTAGTGAAAGGGAACACAAAATTACCTTATACGCAAATGACATTTTGATATATTTATTGCAACCCCAAACTTCTTTTCCCTGCCTGATTGAGGTCATTTCATCATTCAGCGTCTTTTCAGGATCTAAAATTAACTACAAAGTCCGAGGTTATGCCCCTGGGGTTGTTAACATGTGTTCCAGATGTGGCTGAGCCCTTCCCGTTCCACTGGTCTCCCACTGGTTTCATTTATTTAGGAGTGCAACTTCCCCTCCATCTTAGATGCTATAAGGGCAGACCTAGACCTCTGGGCCCCTTTTCCTCTTTCCTGGTTAGGTAGGGTTGCACTTATAAAAATGAACATCCTGCCTAGACTGCTATACCCACAGCAAATGATCCCTATCGTATTATCCAACAAGGTTATTAAGGTGCTTGAAGGCTGGCTAAGCTCCTTCATTTGGAGCAAAAGGAAGCCCTGTCTCATGATGGCAAAACTTCAAATGGCGGGTTGTGATGGAGGGCTAGATGTACCAAATCTTAGACACCCACAGGGGATTGCAAGTTGGCACAACTGTGATCCAGCCTCGATTTGGCATGATATTGAATTCTCTCAGTCGAAGTGTCCCTTGTTCAATCTATTGTTTATGAATAATCCGGAATCTGTCCAAAAAACACTGCTCTAACCCTATTACTCTCAGTACCATCAGAGCCTGGAGATCCATTTGCTCTATTGAATGCTCAGTTATCATCTCCTCTTACTCCCATTCTTGATAGCCTCGACTTCCTGCCAGGCTGTAAGGACCAGGACTTTAAAGTATGGAGCATTCAAGGGCTGAAGAAAATAGGAGATCTATTTAAGGGCCAGATTTTACTATCCTTTCAGCAGTTGCATCAGCAATTTGGTTTATTTAACCAAGGTGACTTCAGCACCATTTCATGTGTGGAGAAGGCCCCGTCTCTACAGATTAGTAAGAAATCCATTACTGTTTTTTACGGAGCCCTGAATTGTAATTCTCCTCTTACCTCACAAACCACCATGCATTATTGAGAGATAGATCTAGGTGCTGCTATAGATGATGCTGGTCTGGTCTCAGGCCTTAAACATTTCTGTGTGTAACTGTACCAAATCCATACAGTTCAGATTTGTACATATAACACCTGTTGTCAAGAACAAAATGGACACTAATATTTCCCCGCTTTGCTGGAAATGCAATTCTGAGACTAGTAATTATGTTCACTGCCTCTGGTCATGTGTGAAGTTAAGTATTGGTCTAGTATTGTGAATTAACTGACTGCTGTCTTTGGTGTCCCAATACGGATAGACCCTATGTGCCTATTACTTGGTCTCACACAGGAGACTTTTCAGTATACAGACTTTTGCTGCTAGAAAGAACATTCTACTCTTCTGGATGAAAAATGTTGCTCCAACAAAAAAATCATATTCCGTACGGCATTCCTAGTGAATACATCACGTGCTTGCTTCACTCCAAAATAGACACTTTCTGTAAGGTCTGGGACCCATACTTACAGCATATTGGGCCCACGCTGTCATCCTCCTTGCTCCGTGGATTTCCGAGATCAGCCTAGCCTGTCTTTGTGACTTTGTTTTAAGTGCTCACTATCTAACAAGCACCTTGTAGCCTTACTGTTTGTATGCTCTGTATTGATTCTCATCTGGTTACTGCTTTATCTTGCTGCAGGACATTGAAAGGGATGGATGGAAAATGTCCCCACTGTTATTTATTTTTCCTTTAATTTACTGTACCCACATACCCATACTCTGCTGTTTTTTCCTTTTCTGCTGTGTCTGAACAGTTCTAGGTGTGTTGCATTTTGCGAAAATGTAATAAAAATACTTTTCAAAAAAAACCCAACAACTTTACAAAGACATTTTCATACATTTAGGGAAACTGTGACCCATGTGCAGTGATGATAGTGATGTGGTGAATTCGAGCCAGATTAATGATGCCTCTCACACATTTAATTTCACTTAGTATCAAATGTTAATTATAGATCCATTTTATCATAAACATTCAAACCAGCAGTGTTATTTGTAGGCTTCATTTGCTTGTAGTGCACTGTAACTAGTCTGTCCAGTATTTCATTAGTACTGTCTCACATCGCTGTGTAAATGACCAAAGTCTGGAAATAAAGTAGGTGACAGCTCTTGCACTGTTGCTATACTCCTCATCGTCAGTCCTGATCATAATGCAGACCAGGCATAAAAAAACCCACATTAAAGTGTTCACCTGTCAAACCTCCATCTTCAAATGATATCCCAGGGTGGTGGAGACCACTGACTGATGAGATCAGTTCAAGATGTGAAGTATGATTGCTGTAAATATAAATACTGCGGTGACACTCGTGTAATGGTGCATGATGGATGCACTGGCACTGCAGGGCACTGCAATGAACAGCAGAAGGAATGAGTGTTCAGGGACCACAAAGATTTCCTGGTCCATGCTGATGACTGGCTAATATGCTGACTGAATTTATGTTCATCCGTTTCAATTGAAACAACATGCAAGAGTTTAATGATTCACTCAATGTGCAGAGTCTCTATCAACAGAGATAGACAGATGCTCGTCTCCTCTATGAAATGTGTCCTCACTGCGCTGCATTATTCAAGACTATTATGAACTGGTGGTGGGTCACAAGTGTCTCTCCCTGTTTGTCTCCTTCAGTTCTCATGCATTAGTTGCTGTTCTTGACTGTTCTGCTGTGGCTGCTTTGACGTAACGTATGTTGCCGTTCAAGTGTGCTGTATGCTGTAGTGTCAAACACCCTGAAATAGTTGTAATTTGTTGTTATAAAGTATATATAAGTTATCCTGGCCATTCAAATTAATTTGCAAAACGTGAATTTCACACAGCATTTAGTAAGACTATAGTATTACTATAAAGAATTACTATAGAAGTACCACAGAAATAAAAATAGTAATATTAATATTATTATAATGATATGATATTTTTTTCTTTTCAAAATTTAGTACATTAATACTATAAAGTTAGCTTTGGTGATCCTATAGTGAAGTTATAGTTTTACTATAGTATTTATATAGTATCACTATAGTATTTCCTCTATTATTACTATTGTTTTTCAGGAAATTACTAGTTATACTGTATTGTTTATATAGTATTACTATTTTGTTTTCTATGTTTTTTTTTTAATGCACTATAGAAAGTTACTAGAGTAATAATCTATGTTTACTTTATCATCATAGTACTACTATAGGAATGTTCTATAGTGTGTTAAAACAACTACAGAAACACTATTTACTATAGTGATACTTTTTAAGATAATGTAGGAGTACTACAAAGATCTACATAGTATTACTATTGAAATATTATAGGGCCACTATAGCTAATAAAATAGCACTGGCATATTAGCTCTTCAAACGGGCCCCCACATGTTTAAGGCCGCTCCTGAGAGATATATATATATATATATATATATATATATATATATATATATATATATATATATATATATATTTATTGCATTTTTGTGTGCATGTACACTTTTAGTATGGATTCTATGCACTGTTTTGTAAATGAGGACCCTGGTGAGAAGGTAATACTGCTACTGAACAACACGTTATAGTAAAACAATTCTTGTAGATATATGACTGCTGCTTTTGTCTTTTCACCACCTGTTAGAGATTCTCGATACATGCGTGTGCGGACCGCTTACATGGCTCGGGGCCCAGGACAGTTGACCGTGCCGGGAGGGGCCATGGTGTTTTTATTTGGCGAGGAAGACCGGGATGGCATGGCAACTGTCATATATGACGGACAGGTAAGAGGAGAGAGAAGTTGAAAAATCCTTGTTTCTCTTCTCGTGTTTTCAAACACCTTAGATACAATTACATATAAGATTAGAAGGTTGGAGACTGCATTTAGTTATTTTGTGGGCACATAGGGGCAGCTCAACAAGCTGAAAACATTTACATGGTGTGACAAACTGTTGCAGGTCAAATTTATTTTAATTTTTATGGTGGGAACCCACCTTGTGTAATTTGTATGCAAATATTCCTCTCCAGGTTGTTAAAACCCTCAAATTCACAATACTGAGAATTTGGTGTTGCTGACCCTGGCTGCTGGTGACAAAGCTGTGTCTCTATAAAGGTCCAGTGTGTATTATGAGGAGTTATTGACAGAAATGCAATATAAGATCCATAACTATGTTTTAAGCGGTGTAAAAAGACCTTACATAATGAACTATTATGTTTTTATTACCTCAGAATGAGCCATTTCTATCTACATAGCCCCCCTTCCATGGATGTCGCCGTGTTGTGTATTTGTATGTGTATCCATGTTTCTATAGTAGCCGACAACGGACAAATAGCGCTACAGAGCACGCTTTGTCACTGCGTTATTCTTCTTCTTGTATAATTTTGGCAGTGTTCTTCACTACGTTGAATGCGTACGAAGAAGAGGAATTACTAATAATATTAAACAGTCTCTGAGTAGTCATCTGGTTTATTAGAGGTAAGAAGAGAAGTGAAATTTGGACAAATGGAGGAGTACACATATTATTTAGCACAAGCTGAAGACAGATGATGGCAGAAATAAAGGACATAATTGTTGTGGATTTTCCCAGATGGAAAGCTCTGATGGGACAAATGTTTTCAAAGCAGTGCTGAATCTGTTCTGCTGGACAGGTGATTTAAATTAGTGATGCGATGCAAATGAAAACTGTTATTTGATTGGTGACGTGTTTTCCCCTGTCAGTGTTGTGAAATATATAGTTGGATTGTAATTTCATTAATATTATTCTCCAGTGTGTGTTTTGGCTTTGCTACGTCGACAGAAATGTGCCGCTTACGTTTGTGACACAATAAAATGTAACTTAGAGCATAGAGGCTCAGATCAGCCAGCTTCACATTTTACTGCTGTTGTAGAAAAATGGAGTTAGATTGTAATTTCATATAACTTTATTCTTCAGCGCTTTGACTTTGCAATGTGGACATAAATGTGTCGTTTATGTTCCTGAGACATTCAGCTGATTAATTAGCCTACAGCATGGAAGATCAGATAAGCCAGCTAAACTTTTACTGCCCTAGAGAAAATATTTTGCTGGATTGTAATTTTAATATTATTCCCCAGTGTGTGTCTTGGTTTTGCTACCTGGAAAGAAATGTGCTGGTTACGTTGGTGAGACAATCAGCTTATTATTATTGGAAATAAAACGGTACAGCACGAAAGATCAGCAAGCTAAACATTTTACTGCCCTGGTGGAAAACACTTTACCGCTAAGAGCATTATGATAACAAGACCAGTGCTGAGTGAGGAGGGGGTTTTTTGCAATTTGTTGCAATTTGCAACCCTCGCCACTAGATGTCACTAAAACTTACACGCTTAACCTTTAGGTCAATATCTTTTATTTTTCAGAGAGGACTTCTTCCAATGTCCCTGCTTGAATCTGCAGATGTCAAGACATCCAAAGGGAAAAAGGAGAATGTAATGTATTTGTCCATGTAATAATACCCTTTATGATGCTTTGGCCAATATATTTAATTTGCTCAAAATTAGACTCATGCTGAGTCTCAGGTCTCATGCTCTGCTTCATCGCCAAGACCAGGAAGCAAAACTGTTGTGTCAAGGAAAAGACAAAAAGAGCTATAGTTATAGCCTGTCAGTCAGAACAGTTAAAAGATCATTCTGCTCTTTTTAACAAAAGATACAAGTTTCCTGCTGGGAGAAAAATTCAATGTTGTTTTCTTGGGTAAAAAATTATAAATAGCTGTTTCACTGACCTTCCTGTCTTGTCTTATTCCACAGAGAGTTCCTAGTGGAATCCCCCTCCCACCAGGACTCAAGCCACCCACTCGCCCAAAGCCGCAGCCCAGCCCTGCACCCTCTCCTCAGGGTAACAATTTATCACAATTCTTTGGTCTTACACTGTTATCTCTAAAGAGGAACACCTCTCCATCTTCTTTAATTTGATCTGCTGCAGCAAGCACTTATGTATCATAACAGATCATTCCAGGGTCAGAACAATATTCTTTATGTGTACTGACTGGCATTTCAAGGTACAAAGTAAAATGTAATTGTCATATTACAACAAATGAAATGCACTTTGGGCTCTGCATAGGCACCTCACTATTAACACTGATGCTCAGTAGATGGGTACCAGTGATCTTCAGAGGTTAGTAGATGTGGACTCCAATCTGAACCATCTGGGGTCTCTTTGTGAAAAACTCCAATATCCAGTCCAGAGTGCTCAGAGTACAGCATTCTGATGTAGGTGTTGTTTTTCTCCAGGTGTGTGAGGGCTAGTGCTAGGGCTAGAGTGGAGGGTAGTGGAGATGGCATCTGTTGGTTCTGAAAGCAAACTGGTGAGTGTCCAGGCTGGCTGGAATGTTCTTTATGTGCTCAAGAACCAGTTCCTCAAAGCACTTCATTAGAATGGGGGTGAGAGCCACAGGACAGAAGTTGTTCAGACTAGACACTGCAGAATGTTTAGGTACAGGAAAGATGGTGGCTGTCTTGAAGCAGGTAGGAACCCTCTCCTGAGACAGTGATATGTTGAAAATGTCAGTAACAACACCAACTAACTGACTGGCACAGGTTTTTCGTACACAGCCAGGGATGTTATCAGGCTGACAGCGGCTGGTCCTCTGGAGGTGCAGTAGACTTTACAGATGACTCTTTGTTGAGGAGATCACTGTGAGTATAAAAGGTGTTTAGCTCATCTAGTAATGTGGCCTCAAACACATGATGGGGGAGGTCCTGATTTTGTAGCCTGTGATGTTTGGTTTTTTTATTTATACAGGGAAAAACCCACTGAGACGAAGGTCTCACTTACTGAGGTACCCTGTTTTACAAATGCAGAAACAAAGAAAGTACACTTAAAACTACACAAATCATCTATTTAAAATACAATAAAACACATTCAAAATAAAGTACACTTGTTAAAATGTTCTATGGAAACAGTATCTTTAAATCTTAAGTCATGCTGTAGAGTATTCCATCGTTGAGTGGCACAGATGGTTTAGTTTAGTTTATTTGTTTATAATATCCTGGACAGTCCCTTTTGATAAAAAGAGCAGCTTTAGCCTCTACGGCTAATTTCCAACTGTTGTCCCCAGCCAGTTGTCAATAGGCATACTGGATGGAAAATGATGATGTACCTATCTTAGACTGAGTCCGGGGAACCTCAAGTACTAACAAGTCCTGTAATCGTGTATGGTAAGAGCTGTTTTTAATTTAATGTAAGAGGTAGGATAATTTTGAAGTTTTATGTAGGGTGGCTTTATAAACAAACAATAAAAAGTGTCTGGCCCTTCTCGAGCACAAGGAATCCCAACCAACAGCATTGTATAGAAGACAGTGGTGTGTCTAAAAGCTTTCCCCAGTAATAAAACACAAGGATGCATGGTAAACAGTCCAGACAAATTAAAACAGAAGCCGGAGCATGCATATATAGAATATCACCATAATCTCCCACCAACATGAAAGTGGCCTGAACAATGCGCGATGAAAAGCATGTTTCCTGTAAAGAAAAAAAGAATTCTGATATTCAGTTTTTTTTTTACCAGTTCAGCGATATGGGACTTAAAAGAGAGTTTACTATCTAACCAGAGATATTTGTATGAAGAAACACATTCTAAAATCAGATTGTCCAATGTGGTAAGTTTAAATGAATCTGAACTTACACTATGTTTCCAGATCTTGAAAACACCATATACCTGGTTTTATTTGAATGTAAAACCAAGCAATGATTTAAGAGGGAATTCTGCAAAACCTACATTACTAAGCTTACAAATATTACATATATATATATATATATATATATATATATATATATATATATATATATATATATATATATATATATATATATATATATATATATATATATATATATATATAATATATTAGTGAACAATATTGGACCCAGGATTGAACCCTGTGGAACTTTTATAAACTGCCTGAAATTTTTTTTCATATCCATTTGAGATAACTCGTTGAGCCCTATCACTATGATAGTTTTAAAACTACAAACAAATATTCCTTTTCGGTCTGTGTACTTGGTGGACAACAGATTTGTTTTGAATGAAAAAATAAAAAAAGCGGATTTAGGAAATAGGGAAACCAAAAATGGAAAACAACCCTCTCGTTCCACATTTTATTGTATGTCATGTAATGTGGGGAACTGGTCTTGGTCTTGACTGTCTCTCTCGCCCTCCTTCTGTCTTGGTCTCGATTTGGTCTCAGCCACTTAAAAGTCTTGGTCTTGACTTGGTCTCGGTTTGGGCAGTCTTGACTACAACACTAATGCCACATACCCATAAGTCAGGAGTTTAGAGTTTTACATCTATGGTTGCGGTCGAAAAGTCAAAAAGCCTTTCCAAACCACTTTTGACCTCGGTGGAAAACGTCATAAGGTCAAGGAAAGATGTGAAGGAGAATTCATAAGGACTTAGGAAAAGACAACCGTTGGGCTAAGAGAATCTGACTGCACTTTTCTAGGCCACGTAATTATGTGATGGCGGATGTTACTGACGTGGCCTGGTGTGGTGAAACTACAGTGTTCCGAAAATGGACACAAAAAGTGCATCTTTGACCTGTGCGTTCTTACCGCGTTGCTTTAATTTAGGCCATCTAAAGGTGGACAACACAATTACATCATTACCAAAGTTACAAAAAGGCATATAGGGTACCAATCACCAAATAATGTAAATGGTTGTCACATTGAGAAAACATTATCCTAACTTTGACCATTTGAGAAGACTAGTAACTATATGGGTTTCAGTTATTGTTGACAGTTCAAAACAGTTACATATGAGCAAGTTATGGCATAAGAGAGAAAAGGCTTAACAGCCAATGGTAACTTACATGGTGATCGACGTCCTTTATCTGTTATGGTCGATGGATTTTCTTTTTTTATTGTAGGAAATTCAAATATAACACTTTATGGCAGGGACTTGTCACTTGTCCTGATAGCCAACTTAAAGTTGTATTTTAATTTCCGATTTCCATCTATAAACCCATCAAAGACCATCACATATTGTTATCTATAACGATTGCTACCTGAGTAATGTTAGCCTATACTCTGTGTGTTTGTGTATAATAGCTTTTGTTAAAAAAAACGTGGTAATTTGCCTTCTCTTCGAAGAATAACATTGTGGGACCTGCAGACCCCAACAGACCTACGATGCAGTCTGCAAGGCTTAGCTTCACTGAAAACTATTGACTGTTTGAGCTGTCTCAAACAACTCAAACACTCACTAGCCAACGGGGATGCACCCCTGAAAAACCCACCCAAAAGAAACTTGTAAGAAAATTTGTGTCAAAATTGCAAACAAAATGTCAGGCAGCGCAAAAGAGAGAGCTGGGAGCGTGTCCACAAAGCTGACAGTGAGGGGAAGGGGGATATCCACTTGATACAGTGTCTATATTTGTCATGTTAACTTTAAATGAATGTGCACTGAATTTGCTCCAAAGCCACTCCACCAAAACATAATTTCATTTGTACCAAATGAAATTATTGGGGATGCTTATTCCAGTCCTTCATTTCACTTTCATTTTTGTGGCAGAGCATTCGATTTATTGATTCCTAATATAACAAAAATGCTTCTGAAATAAATGGCCTACCCCAGCTTTAAAGCTGTGGGGGTGTAATGGTAGGCTTTAGAGCTGTTCACAGCTGTTTGCTTTTTGTATTAGCATAGTGGAACAGACTCAGAGAACATCTACTTTGTCTAACATTCCATTAGGCTTGTACTGTGTGTACTCAAACTGTACCTGTACTGTATTTTCCCTGCAGTACATTTTACCTCAGACACTCCACCTCCATCCTACACTGCCACCTATGCAGTGCTGCCAGCCTCAGAGCCTCCCAAGTACACAGCCAACTCATCCAGTGACCAGGTAATATACCCCTCTGAAAAGCCAGATTCATCTGTGTGAGCTGAAAGATTAAATCACATCAAAGTTATTTTTCTCACACATCCAGCTCATGACATACACACACATGCACTCGCCATATCTTTATACTTGATCTAAATATAGAAAGATTGTGTGGACTTGTGAAGAAACTGCTTTGTAAGGTTGAGCTTAGCAGGGGGAATGCTGATGTGTCCCAATTAAGTCACTACGATGCTCAGAGGAGGCAGAGAAAGTCAGCGTATAGATAAAAATATTCTTTTGTGTCTCTGCATGCCACAGTGACCTGAAAAAATTTATTCTTGTGTGAAATAACTAATAGACGTCCATGGAACCAGAAGACAATTACTTACTCGGGAAGATTTCACTTCAAATGGATGAGCATGATGCTTTGACATATCTTCCAGCCCATAATAAGTAGACCATGACAACCTGTTGCTTCTTCAATAAAAGTAATTAGTTTATTCATCATGTAGAACACGCGTACAGGGAACTTTTCTTAGTGTTGTTAATAAAGTCTTGATGAAGTTTCACAGTCCTGAAACACTGACCAAGGCCTTCAGGAGCTTCCATATACACACTACACACATTATCATATACAGTCAGCATTCAGTCAGCTGATTACTTTCTCCATTAATCGATTGTAATAAATACTGAAAATAGTGTGCAATGTTGTCACAGTTACCCAGGGCCCTAAGTGAGACTTTCACAATGCTTGTTTTGTCAGTCCAAACTTCAAAATGATTGAAAATACATTAAAATAATCAAAAGTAAAAGCAGCAAATCTTCATGTTTGTGAAGCTGGAATCATAAAACATTTTTACATGAAAAATAACTAATAAAAAAACAGTTGCCAATTCAATTTCTGTCTATTAGCCTAACTGATGTAGTTCTACTAGCTGGACTTCTATAAACTGTTAAGTAATTTAAATTATATCAAACATCCTATTTTTTAAACTCTTCATACGTTTTGTGTATAAAAAGCTTATATTTTTAAAATAGCCTTTTTAAAAGTTCAGTACAAATACCTTGTGTACTTAAGTAGCTACACTACTACTTTGTTACTGTCCACCACTGCTTGGCTTTGGCTACCTGAAACTAAGGAGAGGACTAGAGATGTTTTGGCTCTGGATAGAAATCATCCATCATGATGGTGAAAATGGCTGGCTTTGAGCCACAGGGCTTTAAAGTGGGAGTCCCTTACCCCTATCATCAAGGCATTAAATGTGCAACAAACACTTCCAACACAAAACACCATTCGTAAGCTGAAATGTGTAGCCTACTCACACACACAGCTTGGCATACATGCATAGGGCAAGTTCTGCCATCCTACTGTAGGCCTATGTGTACAATATAAATTGAGCACTGCTGTTCAGAGGCTCGTTTGGGTCCAAATTTCTTTTTATATTTGATACATTTGTATTTTTGAAATACATATACTACATAAAACTGTAACGTTACATGATCAACAATAAACCTGTAAACTGTTTGTAGGCAATAATTAACGTGATGGCAGCCAGCGGGATGTAAATGATTATGTTAATCGACTACCACATCTTTTCATAACATCTAGCGAACGACAGTCAGAGTTAACCTTCTGTAGGTTGTAGCTAAAGCCAATGCTGAGCTAAACATGTTAACTGACCTGAGGCTAACCTATTTTCATTCAGTGCTTCTTTTGTGTGGGCCTTGTTAAATACAATCAATGATGAATGGCACAGCAGATGCCGGGGCGGTCAACATATTTATTGTCATCTCATGTGTGGTCGTGTGCAGCAGATACATAGCATGTGTTATGTAAGTAGGTAATATGACCTCAGCTCATTGCCTAAAAATAAACACTGTTCACAAGTCCAGCACCTTGAGTCCAAGTAAAGTCTGAAGTCTTTTGAGGATGAGTCTCAATTCAAGTGCGACACGAGTCTGAGTCAAACTTGAGTCCCCATCACAGGAGAGGAGGGATATTGTCTTAAACCCAATATTCACTCAAAGTCACAGCGCCACCTGCTGGCAACAGGAAATGATACCCTTAACACATTGATGAAGGCATGTTTCAAAACTGGTGAATTTTCGGTTAATGGCTTGGCAGTGGCGTGGCGGTGAAGTGCCATGCTTTGCCATGACACAGTTGTAACTTTACTGTACATGATCAGATCTGTATCAAATTTTACACGTTTAAGAAGAGTCCCGCCCTGAACACATGTACATGCCAACATTCACCCATGGTCATAGCACCACCTGCTGGCAACAGGAAATGACTTTTAACGAAGCAGCCCCCGTGGCATGTTTCACCTACATGTATGAAATTTCTGTGGCACATGTATCATGTCCAGACGTATCAAAAAGCCTCTTGGAACGATGCTCAAAACAGATTTGTGCTGTGCACTCTAAACCCATTGATGATTAAAAGTTTTATTTATATAGCACCAAATCACAACAGCAGTTATCTCAGGGCGCTTTTCATAAAAGAGCAGGTCTAGACCGTACTCTATGATGCTATTTACAGAAACCCAACAGTTCCCACCAAGAGCAGCACTAGGCGACAGAGGCAAGGAAAAACTTCCTTTTAAGAGGCAGAAACCTCGAGCAGAACCATGACTCAGGGTGGGCGGCCATCTGCCTCCACCGGTTGGGGGGGTGAGAGAGAGAGAGAGGGCAAGAGAAGAACAGAGAAAGAGGGAGGGGGATGGAAGGAGAGTGAGAGGGGAGGGAGGCAGCCTGCACAATATCCACACAGAAACAGTAAAGGTGATGCTTGCTATAGACTAAATGAAAAAATGGTACAGATATTTATAGTAGTGTTAATGATAACAATCGTAATGTCAATGATTATAATAACAATAATAACAATAGGACTAGTAACAATAGTTGTTGTAGCAGAGGGTGTCGAGCAGGAACACGGGGGCAGCAGGTGACCTGCAACCACAGATCCAGACTCCACAGCTCCAGAGACAGAAACACCTGCAGGAAGTGATAGGAGGAGAGAGGAGAGGGACGAGAAAGCACAAGACTACCGGAAAGGGGAGAAGTTGTGTTAGTAACATGCAATAATGGGATGGGGTTGCATACAGAGGGAGAGAAAGTAGAGGAGAGAGGAGCTCAGTGCATCATAGGAAATCCCCCGGCAGTCTAGGCCTATAGCAGCATATCCAAATGTAAATGCTCCGTACTTGTATAGCGCCTTTCTAGTCTTTTCGACCACTCAAAGTGCTTTTACACTACATCTGCATTCACCAGTCATACACTGAGCCTAAGTGCTCAAACGAAAACTAACATTCACACTCATTCATACACTGGCGGAACAGCCGCCAGGGGCAATTCGGGGTTCAGTATCTTGCCCAAGGACACTTCGACACGCAACCAGGGGGAGCCGGGGATTGAACCACCAACCCACTCTACCTCCCTGAGCCACAGCCGCCCCACTAAGGGATGGTTCAGGACTCACCTGAGCCAGCCCTAACTATAAGCTTTATCAAAGAGGAAAGTCTTAAGCCTACTCTTAAATGTGAAGATAGTGTCTGCCTCTCGAACCCAAACTAGAACCTGGTTCCACAGGAGAGGAGCTTGATAGCTGAACGTTTTGAAGTGACTATGTTTATGCTGTGATGAACCACTTCTTGCAGGTTGGCTATATGGACTTCAAAACTATCTCAGAAAACACATTGATGATGTCATGTTGTAAAACTTGTAAGTTTTCTTTTAACGGCATATCCTTGGCGGTGTGGCGAAGTTCCATGCTTCGCCATGAAACAGGAAGTCATTGTAACTTAACTGTACATCATAACTTTCCAGCCCCAAACACTTCTACAAGCCAATATCCACCTGTAGTCATAACGCTAAGTGCTCTGCAGCTCCACAAAAGGGACACAGGAAGTGAAGTATAACACCTTTGTGCGGTGTCCGCAGCGTGTAGCAAATTCACAGCTGCACGGGCAGAGCTTGAGAATCTGCAACGCGGTCGCACTACACGTGCGAGGGCCAGCCCAACGCTGCTTGCAGCTTTAATTTATATTTGTACTTTCCGGAGAAGGGACTGTGGTAATCCTGAGTTTAATGCTGGTGTACATTGTGGCAGGGAAATTCTGTTCAGGGCCCCAAAACCATTTGAGCTGGCTCTATCCCTGTAAAATACCTGAAATAACTTCCAGCTCCTAAAATCAGAGGACTACTACTTCATGGTTTTGGGTCTTGGTTTAGTGTCCTTCCTCATGTGTCTTTTTCCCCATCTGTGTAATTGTCTGCCCTCACTCTTATTAAAACCACTGTTCTAAACCTGATTTGCCACTAAAGTCTGCTACTAGGTCCACTGCCTTGTGTTTTACTATTCCTTGCTTGAAACCACTGTGACACTGCTGGCACTACAATTCCTATTAGTACTAGTAATACAAGTACTATAATACTACGAATTGTAGAGGCAGGAGTAATGCTAGCACTAGTAATGCTAGTGCAACTATTCCTATACAATCATGTAAATGATTCACACTGACTGAAACAGAACAATAAAAGCTTGCATTCACTTGTGTATTTCTGCTTTTTGTTCCTAGCACGCTGGTAAAGCTCAGGGAGCAGAGGCGGGCTCTGTGGTGGTGAAGGTCCACTATACTTACACTGTTGCTCTGTCTGTTCCTCTGGAGACATCGCATTATGACTTAAAGGAAAGCATCGCACAGAAATTGGGCCAGCCAGCGTCTCATCTGCGCCTCAGGTAACCACAAGCCTGCCAACCCACTTCTGTTTCCTTCAATTTATGATGCTAAATTTCAGAAAGAAATATGCTTTTCTTTGTCTGTTTCACCCTGTGGGTCCTAGAAAGCAGCAGAATGGGATTGAGACAATATTATAATGTAATAAGTACACATCACAAAAGCAACAATGGGACCAGTCAGTAGCCATGTTTCCATCTAACTGTCATGCGAATTAAGCATACTTTTGAAATGTCAGCATTCATTGAGATTCAGCAAAAATATGTGGTGATAACCCCGTTTGATCAGTGTGCAGAGCAAAGTTTCTGAAAAGGACCTTTAAAGAGGTGTGTGCATAATTTGGCAGAACAGATGATAAAGACTTCCTGCCGAGATTTGCATCCACCACTTTTCTCAGCACAAATGTGCGTTTCCAGCCGCGAGGTGCATGAAATTCAGGCATGCAGAACTTCGACAGCAGAAACAGCTTATCAGTCATGAGTTACAAGTTCACTACGTCAGAACTCATTATCCCATTTAGCGCATAATCTTTTTCGACAAAGGCAAAAACCACCTCAAGTGAGCATATAAACTTCTTTGCGAAATTAAGGATTTTTTTTCGAATTTTGCAGTTTCCATCAACCTTTTCTAATGCGATACTTGAAAATGCGCATTAAAAAACGTTGATGGAAATACAGCTAATGTGTCTAGCTAAAAATATGTTAAAAAGGAGCTGATATTAATGCTTTGATGCTTGTAATCTGTGATGTCCTTGAATAATGCTGTTTTTTCCAACTACCCTCTGCCTACCCATTTGGCCCCAATGCCAGCAATTTCCCATTTACTGTATTACCCTGCTACCACACACTCACTCACTCACTCACTCACTCACTCACTCTAGATATAAACAACATGGCTCCCGGGTGCTGATACCTCTGGATGGGGAGGTAGAGCGAGGCCTCACTGTGCAGGAGGTGGCTGAGGCCGGCAGAGCCACCCTTTGGTGCCAGGTGAGGATTTAATCTTACAACTTCACACGCAGTAAATATGTGTCTGGTAGGTCACAGTTGCCTTCTCGCCAGATTTTCCCCCTACTATTTTTAAATCTGTGCTAATCTGTTTTTTATAGTAAGTGGATGAAGAGTCTGAAATAAGTAAGAACATGTGTCCCAATCACAAAAGAAAGGCGACAAACTTGAAGTTGAGACAACATTGCATCTTTAACATTGCACTGATCACTGGCCAATCTCCACCAGTGTTGGGCAGCAATGAGTTACTCAGTAACGTGTTTCCACTAACTAGTATTGTAAAGGATTACTATTTCTAAAACAGTAATAATATTACAGTTACTAATCCAAGTAAAGCCACATTACTGCGTTACTAGAATGCACCATCTTTGACGTGAATGCATGGCAGGTCAGGTGCAATTCATTTCGAGACGCTAGCCTACCTAGTAGTAGGTAAAATAATATTATTACTTTTTAAATAAGTAAAAAGTAACTTATTATAATTTATGATTAACTTGCTCTCCATTTAGCCTGTACCCCCATATGGCCTTACCATTCCAAATCTAGTCACGCACCTGCTTGCCAGGTAGTTAATCAAATTATTATTTCATCCTGCTATACAATTGCAATAGCCAACATCATACACTTGGTCATGTGCACTGCAACAATGAGGGGGGATTGTAAACCCTTAAAGGAGAGTAAGTGATTCTGCAGTAGGAGTGTTGATATTTAAACTGTTGCTAATTGGCTGGAACAATATTGTGAGGCAAGGTCCACACCACTTTCTTTGTTTTCCATTTAACATTAATGCATTATTGTGACAGGTATTGGGCAGGCAAGTGGAGGGTTAAAATAATATATTTAATGGTGGTGTGGGCCTTTCTTTTTTACAAAGTACAATATACAGTTCAGAGCCCTCCTAATCCCAGTATTTATCCAGGTCCTTGGAAATATAGCTATACTAATAAAATGTTCCCTCATTATACTTCAGAAAGAGGACCCCCTGCACAACCGTATCATGCTCTACCAGATGGTGGCTCTGTATGATTACGCTGCTCAGGGCCCAGAGGACCTGGAGTTCAGCGAAGGAGACACCATTGACATCCTGGGTGAAGGTGAGGCACTGCAAGTCAACCTACTTTGCTTACCAGTAGAATCATAGAAACTGTTTTCATCTGGCACTTTCATTAAAATGTTCTAATTGGCTTCTCTGTTCAGATGTTAGTCTTACTGTCTCTTTATGTTTGTCTCTCACACCTCCTTTAGTTAATGAGGAGTGGTTGGAGGGACATTGTGCAGGAAATATCGGCATCTTCCCCAGCTGCTTTGCCTACAGGGAGAATGGCAACATCACCCAGAGCCTCGAGTTATAGAAATAGACGTGTTACTGTATAGTCATCTCTAATAAACATATTAACCTATGAATGGAGGCTGTTTACTGCCTTGGAAGACCCAAACTACACACTTAAAGGCACATACAGTGTGCTCAGTAATGACTTTATTATAAATGACTATATTACAAAGATTTCTTTCTCATATGCTATCACTATAATGTTACTATAGTGGCTCACTAGTCTATGTAAATGCTCTGTATTTGTATAGTGCCTTTCTTGTCTTTTCGACCACTCAAAGCGCTTTTACACTACATCTGCATTCACCAGTCACACACATTCATACACTGAGCCTAAGTGCTCAAACAGAAACTACCATTCGGGGTTCATTATCTTGTCTAAGAACACTTCGACGTGCGGCCTGGAGGAGCCGGGGATTGAACCGCCGACCTTCCGATCAACGAAAAAATGAAAAAATCAATATGTGGCGGTCAGCTTTGGTACAGTGGCAGGTAGCCACAAATAATCAGTGTATGGGAAACACTGGAGTGATGATGTAAATGTGCCAATATTATGTAGCTGCAGTTTCAGGACCCCCGCAATTCTGGGACCGCAGTTCTAGGACTGTAGTTCTTTTGCGACAACGGCATCTAGTGGAGTGGGGGTGGTAACGCACAGCAACACCGAAGGAGGTTAACCCTGCCTTCCAGGACGTCGGCCGGTCGACATGTATATTGCAGAACACAACAGAACACGACAATATAATCAATAACTTAAGTTTAGGCACACACTTGGTGGTTGTGGTAAGGGTAATTGGCTTCAGGGGGTTGTAAAGAGTAACATAGCTAGCTGGCTAGCCAGCCAGACAGCTAGTTGGCAGTATCAAAGTAAACAAGGGTCCTAGAAATGTAGTTCTGGTCCTAGGATTGCAGTCCTGAAACTGCAGCAGATACACTTGGGATGGTGGTGCCTGATTAAATGTAATTAAGATGAGCTTGAACATAAGTGTGTTTTTAGTTAGAAAAACAAGAGGCTCAATGTTCAGTTTATTAGCAAGTAAGTTAGCAACTGGGACAGGAAGAGAAACGCCTCAGAAGTTGCCTGAGAATCCTCTGGCTTTTAAGATCTCTTCAGTATCAAATTAATTCATAGTTGTCAGTACATCCAGTGGCATGCAGCAAACATGAACTGTTATTAGTTAATTCAGCGAACTGTATATTAATGAATCATACACGTATTAAAAGGGTCGGGTTAATTTTCGGTCATTATTTAAATATATATAGCCTACACCATACTGGGCTCATTTGGAGTAAAGCTCAGCATTAAAGCACGGTATGGACAAGCACTTAATGGCAAATAAAGATGTCTTTATTAACTAATTTCAGGCATTGTTTATTCCTTTTATTATTTTATGTAGCCATTTTGCTACAATTAGTGGGAAGGAGATACAACAGCTGCAGCAGCCTCTCTGTTTCGACCCGACTGTTTCGACCTGACATTTATTTTATTTGTGAGATGGAAGAATTTTGAAAGTTCCGTGTAGCACATGGATAATGCGTAAAACCAGGAGCGTTGTACTTCATCCAGGCAACACAAACCATTGTAGGTCTGTGAGTGGGAGCGGGACGCTGGAGCATACAGGGCGAGGGAGAGGTGGTTGCAGGAGCGGAGACCCCCCAAAATATCACAAATCATATTTTCAGGGGAGCCTTATTAAGAGGAGCTTAAGTGCCCCCTGGCTCCCCCGTAGTTCGCACTGTCCCTAGCCTCCAGAAAAAACCCTGGATAAACATATTCTGATTTTCTTAGATCGCTCATGTAACCAGCAGCACAAAACAAAATGCTTCCTTGATGCTGACTTACTTAATCTAAAATTGGAGAATTTTTTGAGTGGCTCCTAGGCAAAGCAATGCGCCACAACAAGGAAATGTTTTTGCTCTAGTGAGTTCGAACCCAGCTTGACACGATCTTGCAAAACAAGTAGCTTACTTGCTCACTTCTACAATCATATTCGCCACAGATGATATGAGATGCAATGTGACCTGAAAAGAAATAGCCTTATATAAAATTAAATAAAATATATAATATTGACTTTTTTCAAAGTCCGGGTTCCGGCCCTCCTTTCTCCCCAACCACGTCCTTACTCAGTCTTTTCTGTGTTGACCTATGACGCTATAGGTATCCCCAGTGCGTTACAAACAGACACCGATGGGTCTTGACCATGCCTCCACAAGTCAGGGAGTGAGAAAAGGGTTGTAGGGATACAACAACGGTCATAGATAAAACAAAACGCAGCTCCTTTGTTCATTTTGGGTTTAAAACAGTAAAACAACGATGTCAGATATCAGTGTTTTTGTTTACCATTCTTGCATTTTTCCGTCTTGGTTTTAAAACTGAAAAAACAAAAAACTACTTGTTTTTTTGGGTTTTTCTGATTTGGTTTTTTAACGGAATAATTCTAGACCATACTCTATGATGTTATTTACAGAAACCCAACAGTTCCCACCAAGAGCAGCACTAGGCGACAGAGGCAAGGAAAAACTTCCTTTTAAGAGGCAGAAACCTCGAGCAGAACCATGGCTCAGGGTGGGCGGCCATCTGCCTCCACCGGTTGGGGGTGAAGGAGAGAGAGGGAGAGAGAGCAAGAGAGGAACAGAGAGAATGAGGGCAAGAGAGGAACAGAGAGAAAAAGAGAGGGATGGAAGGAGAGAGAGGGGAGGGAGGTAACCTACACAATATACACACACAGAGGTACAGACAGTAAAGGTGATGTTGCTATAGACTAAATGAAAAATGGTACAGATATGTATAGTAGTGTTAATGATAACAATCGTAATGTTAATGATTATACTAACAATAGGACTAGTAACAATAATTGTAGCAGAGGGTGTTGAGCAGGAACAGGTGACTCGCAAACACAGATCCAGACTCCACAGCTCCAGAGCCAGAAACACCTGCAGGAAGTGATAGGAGGAGGGACGAGAAAGCACAAGACTACCGGAAAGGGGAGAAGTTGTTAGTAACATGCAATAATGGGATGAGGTTGCATACAGAGGGAGAGAAAGTAGAGGAGAGAGGAGCTCAGTGCATCATGGGAAATCCCCGGGCAGTCTAGGCCTATAGCAGCATAACTAAGGGATGGTTCAGGACTCACCTGAGCCAGCCCTAACTATAAGCTTTATCAAAGAGGAAAGTCTTAAGCCTACTCTTAAATGTGGAGATGGTGTCTGCCTCCTGAACCCAAACTGGAACCTGGTCCCAAGGAGAGGAGCTTGATAGCTGAACGCTCTGGCTCCCATTCTACTTTTGGAGACTCTAGGAACCACAAGTAACCCTGCATTCTGGGAGCGCAGCGCTCTGGTGGGGGTAGTAAGGTACTATGAGCTCTTTAAGATAAGATGGTGCCTGACCATTAAGAGCTTTGTAGGTAAGAAGAATGATTTTAAATTCTATTCTGGATTTTACAGGAAGCCAATGCAGAGAAGCTAAGACAGGAGAAATATGATCTCTTTTTCTGGTTCCTGTCAGAACACGTGCTGCAGCATTCTGGATCAGCTGAAGAGTCTTAATAGACTTTTTCCAGCAGCCTGATAATAAGGAATTGCAGTAATCCAGCTTAGAAGTAACAAATGCATGGACTAGTTTTTCTGCATCATTTTTAGACAGGATGTCCCCGATTTTTGCAATATTACGTAGGTGAAAAAAGGTGGTCCTTGAAATTTGCTTAATGTGAGACTTAAACAACATGTCCTGATTAAAGATAACTCCAAGATTCCTCACAGTGGTGCTGGAGGCCAGGGCGATGCCATCAAGGGAAACTATATCTTTAGGTGCTTAGGCCCCAGAACAATAAATTCAGTTTTATCTGAGTATAACATTAGAAAATTACAGGTCATCTAAGTTTTAACATCCTGAAGGCACATTTGAAGTTTAGCTAACTGATGAGTTTCATCTGGCTTGATAGATAGATATAACTGAGTATCATCTGCATGACAATGAAAGTTTATGGAATATTTCCTGATAATATTGCCTAAAGGAAGCATATATAAAGTGAAGAGGATTGGTCCGAGCACAGATCCTTGTGGAACTCCATGACTAACTTTGGCATGCATGGAGGACTCATCGTTAACATGTACAAACTGAAATCGATCTGATAAATAGGACTTAAACCTGCTTAGAGCGGTTACTTTAATGGCAATGAAATGTTCCACTCTCTGTAATAGGATCTGATGGTCAATGGTATCAAATGCAGCACTAAGAGCTAGTAAAACCAGTACAGAGACAAGTTCTTTGTCTGATGCAATGAGGAGGTCATTTTCACCAGTGCTGTCTCTGTGCTATGATGAGCTCTAAATCCTGACTGAAAATCCTCAAATAAACTATTGCTCTGTAGAAAGTCACACAGCTGTTTAGCAACTGCTTTCTCCAGGACCTTAGAGAGAAATGGGAAGTTAGATATAGGTCTATAGTTGGCTAAAACATCTGGATCAAGTTTGGGCTTTTTCAGAAGAGGTTTAATTACAGCTACTTTAAAGTACTGTGGTACATAGCCTGTTGATAGAGATAGATTGATCATATCTAGTATAGAAGTGCTGACTAAGGGTAAAACATCTCCATCACCCAGCCAGGTTTCAGTAAGACAAAATAAATCAATATCATAATCCGATATTAGTTCATTTACTAGTACAGCTTTAGAAGAGAGAGATCTGATGTTTAAGAGTCCACATTTAATTTTCCTATTAGTTTGCACTATTGCTCTTGTGGTTTTAATTTTTATGAGGTTTTTATGCACAGCTCCTCTTCTGTTTACCTTTGATTTAAATAACTTTGATGGTCAGGGGGCAGACACCGTCACTATAGGGTTTCACTAAGTAACTCCTGAAATGGAGGGGCAGAGAAGTGTGTTAGACTGCGACTCTGCGTAGGGCTCAGGGTGGGTAACTGCTGAATTAGAATGGCAGAGAAGTGTGTTAGACTGTGACTCTGCGTAGGGTTTTGGGTGGGTAACTGCTGAATTAGAAGGGCAGAGAAGTGTGTTAGACTGCGACTCTGCCTCCTGGTCTCAACTCTGGGTTGTCATGGATTTGGTCCACTAATAAACTTGGCCAGATTTCTAGAAATGAGAGCTGCTCCTTCCCAAGTGGGATGGATGCCGTCTCTCCGAATCAGAACAGATCTTCCCCAGAAAGTCTGCCAAGCTTCCAGTAAAATCCAGAATAGAATTTAAAATCATTCTTCTTGCCTACAAAGCTCTTAATGGTCAGGCACAATCTTATCTTAAAGAGCTCATAGTACCTTTATTATCCCACCAGAGCACTGCGCTGCCAGAATGCAGAGTTACTTGTGGTTCCTAGAGTCTCCAAAAGTAGAATGGGAGCCAGAGTGTTCAGCTATCAAGCTCCTCTCCTGTGGAACCAGGTTCCAGTTTGGGTTCAGGAGGCAGACACCATCTCCACATTTAAGAGTAGGCTTAAGACTTTCCTCTTTGATAAAGCTTATAGTTAAGGCTGGCTCAGGTGAGTCCTGAACCATCCCTTAGTTATGCTGCTATAGGCCTAGACTGCCGTGGGACTTCGCATGATGCACCGAGCTCCTCTCTCCTCTACTTTCTCTCCCTCTGTATGCAACCTCATCCCATTAATGCACGTTACTAACTCGACATCTCCCCTTTCCGGTAGTCTTGTGCTTTCTCGTCCCTGTCCTCTCTCCTATCACTTCCTGCTGGTGTTTCTGGATCTGTGGTTGCGAGTCACCAGCTGGCCCTGTGTTCCTGCTCGACAACCTCTGATACAATTTTTGTTTCTAGTCCTATTGTTATAATCATAAACATTACTGTATATATCTGTACCATTTTTCATTTGGTCTATTGCAACAACACCTTTACTGTCTGTACCTCTGTGTGTACAGGTGCTGGTCATATATATCAAAAAGTTGATTTATTTCAGTAATTCCATTCAAAAAGTGAAACTTGTATATTGTATACATTCATTCCACACAGACTGATATATTTCAAGTGTTCATTCCTTTTAATTTTGATGATAATAACTGACAACTAATGAAAACCCCAAAATCAGTATCTCAGAAAATTAGAATATTGTGAAAAGGTTCAATATTGAAGACACTTGGTGCCACACTCTAATCAGCTAATTAACTCAAAACACCTGCAAAGGCCTTTAAATGGTCTCTCAGTTTAGTTCTGTATGCTACACAATCATGGGGAAGACCGCTGACTTGACAGCTGTCCAAAAGACGACCACTGACACCTTGCACAAGGAGGGCAAGACACAAAAGGTCATTGCTAAAGAGGCTGGCTGTTCACAGAGCTCTGTGTCCAAGCACATTAATAGAGAGGCGAAGGGAAGGAAAAGATGTGGTAGAA